GTTATTTTCGGTTTCCTGCATGCTCTAACTGCGCTTGTTATGATGCTATGTCTCGTTTGCTAATAGCCAGTGTAATTAGTAGTTCTTCAAATGAAATGCGTATTTTCTATTTAACCTTGCATAGGCCCCATCGTTGTGATCATCGTATTACACTCGCGGAGCGAGCGGTCACCATGAACACAATGAAGGCTATCTTAAGGAGGATTTCAAAATTATACATACACTCTGCGATAAGCAGACGCCAGCCCAAATCCTAAATGTCTCAAATCGACAGCGGGCTCAGAAGAGTCCCTTGGATGTTCGCTTTAAACAGCGTTCATTGTTTATAGGTATCTTAGTATAAGGATCTGGCCATGGAATGAGGTGACAAGATGCCGTCGCAAATGCTTGGGATGATAGTGGTGAAAAGTCGCGCATTCGCAAATGGATTAACTTTGACGGCCCGAGCGCTAATTTCCTGCACACAATTATAAACCAAAATATACTGAAAAAACAACTGCCGTCTTAAAATATGCGAAAAAATTGAAACGTTCAAAGAAATCTGCAAAAGAGAACAAAACTGGGGAAAAGGAAAACTCAACACTTTTCAAACACAAAACCAATTAAAAACTTTATTCTTTATTTTTCCTTTTAGAGTGAATAATCCTTCCTTCTGATTGGTGCCATCAGCCATTGAGACGAGCGATCGTGGATGGTGATCTTAGGATTATATAGTGAAGAGCTTAAAGAATAGAACCTTAAGCGAAATACATATTACCAAGAGCTATTTTTCGCAATATTTCTGCCAAAACAGTTTTTACTTTACTTTCTCTGTATTTTTATTTCATCGATCAATCATTTTCTTTTCCGGAAAAAAAGTAAACATCAAAAGTGGAGAATAGTCCCAAAGGCCAAATCTGAGACTTCGACCAATCAGGTCAGTGACCGCCTGTTGTGTTTAAGGCTCAGGGGTTCCCGAAGAGAGCGTAAAGGCTGTGCGGTGGAGGAGGGGGTGGTACTTTCCTTCTTCCAGGCATAAATGCTTTTGGAATATCAATGTGTAAATACTTTTATTTTCTGTGAGTTACAAAATTCAAATAACAGTTAATGCATTGAGATTTTTCAGTCCTGCCGGCTTCAACTTTAATTTCAAGTCACGTGTTACTCCTTCAGAGCTCTCAGCTTTACTAACGATTTAAGATACAGATATAGATAACATTCCGCTTATTACAAACAACCGTAAGATGACCATTAGTTAAGCTCATAGGGCCGTTTTTGATGTCTGTTGATTAATCTTAGCATTTCTCTGTGAACATGATCATTATTTGAAGCAAGAAGCAGCATAATTGATAAGCATTATACTAACCTCGTATTACTTGGTGTGTATTCGGTATTTAAGTAAACATTGTCTCTTTCAGCAATTTTATTTGATTGTCGAAAATAATCTGAGATTGCATTAGTTTTGATTTACCTTCCATTGTGATTGGTTCAGAAAACTAAACCACTCAGATGCAAAACTAAAACCAATCACGACTTGGTCGTCCGCGTTTTCCCGCGCTTTGGGCAGTCTGCTTGTTTTAACTTTGAATTTTCGTTGGCTCTTAGAACATTTTCCTTCCCGCTAGTTGGTCGTTGTGTTTACTTTGGTTTGGTTTACGACACTCAATCGAAAAGCGCTCTACAGTTACTCGACAAGCCAAGCGTTAGCTTTTCCTCAGGGCCAATTGACGAAGGACTAACACTCAAAACTGACGTCAGCTTTGAAACTCTTTACAGTGGCCCATTTACGTAATCAACTCAGCTGTTTATTTTAAATGACCTTGAGAAGGACTGGCATAAGAAAATGAAAGCAAAGTTTGAGACTAGCTTTGCATTTCCAACTTCATAACGACAAAACAACTTACTGAGTCATACATTGTTACGTGTGGGGCTCGCTCAATGGTAATCGGGACTTCTTTCTTTGACCCTCTTTGAGCACTGATCTGACAACTTTGACAGCTTGGAAGCAGAGAAGGAAACAAAAAAGAATAAGTATTGCAGACCACCATAGGTACACAATGCTCAGCTTCTGAAGAATGTAGTTAATTAGCCGCTGATTTTAGACCAAGCGGATTGACTTCGGTTAATTAGTTCACTGGTGGTCTTTTCGTATATTCCCTTCCTCATAGCTCTTTACTAGGAATATTTTATGAGGGCTGAAGTAAACAAAAGGCAAGAAAAACCTAAAATAATGCAAAAAAAAAAAGCCATAGTAGTTTAGACTAGACCTCTCAATCAGACCTTATAAGTTTCATTCTGTGAGGGCGATGGCTTCCATGATGATGTTGGACTGTTGTTGCCTATTAACAACTTATTAACAACACTCACAGGAAAATTGCTGATCACAAATTACTTCCTACTTCGGGAAGTAAAGCGCATACTCGTTTTCTTTCGGAGTCACCCACAGTAGACAATGAAGTGTCCTCTTTTGAGCGCCATTTGCAGCGTATTTACTGTTGTGAACTACTATTAAATTAGAAGTATTTGAGAACTACTTAACAAGGGATGTTCTGACTAGGTGGTTGGAAATTGTTTAGGCCTGTTAGATTATCTTGAAATCCTTGTGCGATTCTTGTGAGCCTTGGTTTTTCATGCACTGCCAGACCACACATTTATTTTTACCTTTTCAGTGATGTGACCTTGACCGTTGTAAGTAGCATAGTAGTTGGCGATACCAGATCACTTTTTTAAAGTGGCTGGTATCGCCAACTGGTACCAACGTTGACTCTCTATACTACTTTCCACATGATGGAACGGAATAATTTGATGGAATCATTTTATAATATCAAAGCGTTGAAATAATATAGGAGAATAGCGCTATGATCTCACATCATTTTTCCATTGCGTGACATTTTCAGAAAAAGCAAGAAGACTTTCCCAAGAAAAATCTCATATATTAGAATAAAAATAATGAATTGTAATTCAGAAATTCATCGTGAATTTAAGAATGTGGAAGAGTTTACTTGCCCTATACGTGATGAACAACTGGAAGAACATGCTATAAAAAATGGAATGCTTTGACAAGTTCAAACTTGAAAAAAATAATGGAGAATATGTGTGTATTAATTACGGTTAGGTTGATAGATATGAAATTAGTAAATGAGTTTATAGATTTTCATGAGAATCGACATAAGATAATTCGAAAATCAATTTACCATCGAAAGTATCACATTTGTAATTCGATTAGCAGTATATGCACTACAATCGAAACAGTTTAGCTTTCCTCCTCTGAGTCAGTAAAGAACTCGATCTCCTCTATATCGGCTGGTTCACTCATGCGGTAGTCCGGTAAACCATCGATATTTATTTCACTGTCCCTGCTACCGGAATGGGTAGTGAAATTCCGCATTTCACAAATGAACGGATCACTGTGTCTTTCAGCCGGCGCGAGGTCTCTTGACTTGCCGTACCCACCCATTTCGTGAAAAGCACACGCCGATCACCAGCAGTCACTTTTCCCGTCATAAAGCTCTCTGGATTTGCGGACAAGTGTTCCTTGGCTAGTCTGTCAACACTTTTCTTAAATTCCGCATTAAATGTAACATCGAGTAATTGAACCTTGCTCGTTGGGCCCGAAGGTACAAGCCCCAATGTTGTCTGGCACTCTTGCGTCAGAATGGTCTTTACCCTCTCTGTTGTTTGAGCTCTATGCGCATTATAGATAAGAAGTCTATCGCCTGGTTGACCAAACATGTTTGGCTTATTCTACATAATTCTGAGCCAGAAAACCATCATTTCCTCGTTGCACCACTCGTTTTCTTGGAACTTGACCACGACTTTTGGATAATACTGCCTCTTTTCTCTGTCTGGAATTCTTTGCCCTGTACCCTTAAAGATTGACAAGGGTTTGATGCGAGGCTCATCATCGGAAAATATGGTCAGTTGCACGGTACACTGACTCTTATCATGGCCTTCACCTGTCGTCCGAGTCCAAGATGACATTTCTCCTTTTTCTGCATAAGTAGCTCCCTTGGTGTTGAAGCTTACTAAGTATGAGACACTTATTAAGTTCTGCGCTTTGTTCTTTATTTTTTTGGAATTTAATAATTTTCACTTCTTTCTATTCCTGCAGGGATTTTTTGATATGTACTTCGATTTAATTTCTTCTTCTCAACCATTTAGTGTTGATGATTACCGTAAAATCGCATTTAGAAGAAATAAAGTCTTACCACTTCCCCAAAACTATATTGTTCCTTAGACAGAACATTATGCCATTTAAACTTTAATACATTTTTTTATCTTTTTAGATAAAAAACTGGATTGATACATTCTCCACTTAAGGGGAAAAGTGGATTGTTTATGCAAAAGAACGTGTGACATGCTACATGCATGCAGCAGCATACCATATTCCCAATATGGTAACCATACATGGAAACCTCAGGCAGTTTAGTGGTCAAGGTAAACTTTTAGAATTTTTGGGAAAGAAAAATATAGCAACCAAAGTTCTGAAAACAAGAAAATCCTGCTTCTATAAATTTTATTTTCAAGTGTGGAAAAAAAACAACGATGATGCAAGACGAATACTGCAGTGAAAAACAAATCACACTGATGACCCTGCCGACATATTGCAAGCAGAACATCGCATTTGTTCTCTAAAACACAGGGAAAGAGAACCCAGAAATTTTAAAAAGAAAACTGTTGAGTACTAGGAAGACACTATCAAATCATACTGAAAAACACGCAAACACCTCAGCTATGACAAGCCCAAAGAATTGCAACCCGTAGAGGAGGAGGCAGTAGCAGTTGAGCCTCCACCCAAAAAAACTAAAAGGGGAAAACGAAAACAGTCTGCAAACAGCAGTAAATCTAATACGAATAAGAAATCAAAATGTGCAAAAAAATCACATTGCTAATTTGGTTATCTCCCATTGGAAACTAAAATATGTGATATTATTGTAAGTATAACAATATTTAAATATGTTGAAAGGCTGCATGGTCTTAAGAAAATCAGAGGAAAATACTTACAGAAAATGCTTTCAACTCTAAGAGTCATCTCCAACAGCTACTTTAATAAAGGTAAGCTTCTCCTGAAAAGCTCTAAGGGAAGGATTGTGGTCATCTATGTTATATTTTTTTGGAGACCAGGAAATAAAATGTCTAACCTTTATTGGATAGAACACTTTTACTCCCTGGCCATGACTGTACGCACAGTGGTCCCAAAAGCGTGGAAAATATTTGCAGGGAAAGTCATCTTTCATATCAAACTCATGGGGTACAAATAGTCTTAACATGAATGTAGTGACCACGCCCACTTCAACACCCCACTCAAATCGAGTGAAATTTTCGAATGTTTTACCATCGTGCGGATTCTCTACGGAAAAAGCACTCAATGTACCTCTGAAATATTAAACTATAATATTGTGGCTTTCTATTTCGCTAATTTTCTAACTTAAAGGTTAATTTTTTCCCTCGTCATTTTTACCTTTTCTCCGAGCGGTTGCGTGAAATTAACAAGGCGTTTTTGATCAAAACACGACCGAGCGAAGGGTCTCGGGTGATATCTCTTTTACGCAGGCGCAAATTAAAAATGTACCGCCAGAATCAATAAGAGGAACAAATTTCCTTTGTTTTGATATGTAAAGTGTCGAACAAAAAGCAGATTTACCTTCGTCAAATGGCGTTTAAAAACAGCTGCATTTTCCTCCTTTTGATTTTTCCTCTTTTGTAAGCGTGAAAGCAGTAGGAGAGGGATCGGGAAACTCAGAAAGCGCTCCGGGAATTAATCTGCCATCGTTTACTTACAAGATAAACAAGTAAGATTTGTGAAGTTCGTTGAAGTATGAAGTCTAAATAAATGCCTTTTTAAAGCTTGTTTGCTGGATTTTTCGTAAACTTCCCTGATTAATTTTTCGTTTCAGCTTACTAGTCTATACTATTTCAAAGAAATGTCAAGACGAAGACGGAGAACCATGAGTCGGTCCTTTCAACAATCGTAAACAAAGTGTTTGAGCAATCAGGTATACGAGGTGTAATAATCAATAGCCGCATATCAGAAGTCTTCAGAAAGAAAGTATTCTGTCTTCAGAAAGCTGTCAAGAAAGCTAATAATCATGGCGGAAGGCAATTAAACGGGTCCTCGGTATCGATTTAATATCATATCGATCTCAATGTCATACAGTTTTGTATCTTTATTCCGTGGATTCGCCTTTCTAACGAGGGTGTATGTTGAGAATTCATTGCAAAATCGCTTTGTTTTTTTAATTTCCCTCTTTGACCTGTACGCCATTTTGAAAATTCGTAACGGAGAGCATGCGCATTACGTGGGGTAAGTGGTTGCGTATACCTGGAACCGAGAAAAACAAATGTTCGTCGCACTGGGGAAAGAGTTTGATATGGTTTAGGAAATACCAACCATCCCTGACAATTCCTATCTTTTTGAAAAGAAATTTGTTGACATCACCATGGAATGTTATAGTTACAGGTAACTTTGACTTGGATTTGAGATGTTGTTGAATGGCAACTCTAAGAGATGCACATTGATTGTAGATAATCACTTCATCTTTGGATGGATTCTCAAAAAACCCGAATAAAGGAAAAAGATAAAAGTTGAAATATTTCAACTCCATTGCCAGTTGACAATTACAAAAAAAAGACAAGCCAGCTTTTTTATGCCTTTAATGAATAGACTCTGATGGTACTAACTAAATAGAAAACAGGCCATTCAAAAGCTTGATTTTGTTGCTGAAAAAGTGAGGCATGACATAAATTGATCATATCTGCTCTAAATTCCTGAACGTAACATTAAAGAAAGTTAATAACCCAGTAAAGAGAATTACGTTTTTGATTAACACTGTGGTAAGGTTGAGTGTCCTTTTCAAAATTAAAATAACGTAGTTTCCAATGATAGGAATCCTGAAAAAATGGCAGAATATTGGTATTAATCAGTCAGTCATACCGGATACGATCGAGGGAAATGTTTTCCTGGGGCTCCCAAGAATAAAGAAAGAATAATAAGCATTAATGGAGTTATTTGTCTGATCACTCTCGGTAGCTCAAGGGCGTGAAGCGTTTAAGCAAAATTTTAGCCTGCGTTGCTAGCGGTCTGCGATTTTAGAGGAGGAGAGCAAAATGAAAAACCGCCTGCCTGCAAACGGTAGGTTTTCGAGTAGTCGCCCACTGACCTGCTCATCGAACCATAACGGACTTCTCCTTTTCACATCCAATCAGAGTGAGAGCGTAATTTGACATGTTTGCTCAAGCGTGGAGTTCAAAACAAAACTTTTCTCAGCTGTCAAGTCCACGTGCGGTAAAATGCAAAACATTCTAATTCCTAAAAAACCGACAAAACCAGGACGAAAACCAAGGGTGGAAAGTGTCAATGACTTCTGTAGATTTTGTAAGAGTCCACTGAAGCTAAAATATGGTAACTTCGAGAAGACTACGTATATTTCAACTAAAAATATTTTCATTTTTCTCTCCGCCCCTAAAGTCGCAGACCGCCAGCAACGTAGAATATTTTGGATTGTTGATGGTAGCAAGGCTAGTGACACTTTTGATGACATCTCATTTGAAATGACAGCATTTCAGCCAATCAGTAATTCCAGTTCATCAGCGAACGGACAACTCGAAAACCTTCTGTTTGTGGGCAGGCGGTATTTAATTTTTCTCTCCGCCCCCAAAATCGCAGACTGCCAGCAACGGAGGCTAAAGTTTTGCTTAAACACTTCACGCCCTTGAGCTACCGAGAGTGATCAGACAAATAACTCCGTGAATGCATATTATTGTTTAAATCCCGTCCATTTTAAGGAAAAATGGAAGAAATGAAGCCTTCGTGGAACAGAAATCCGCGCAAGAATAAGTATATTGTGACGAAGTTACAGTCCTCCAGTCCAAAAAGGCGTTTGCCTATAGCAATTCTGGTTGCTATTATTTTAGTGGTGGTGGGAGTCCTTTTTGCTCTATTGATTTTCACTTACATGAGAGGCAAGGGGAAACCTGAAAGCACCAGTGGTAAGATGTGTTATGTGTTCATTGTTCGTTGTGATGCAAATTATTGATCAGTGAATATACTGAAAGAAAATAACAAAGCAGTATATTAGTTCAAATTATCGTTACATATGATCGTTGCATATGATTAAAAGCTCCTCAATGTGGAACGTAGAGAGTGTAGTAGATAAGTAGTAGTAGTAGTAGTAGATAGTTTGCTTTAACTGAGTCAGATTGAGTGTTCAGTTTATAGGTTTCTTTTCTTGGATAAAGAGCAGATCGTAAAATAAGCATTAAAATTTTCCACGACATTTCTTGAGGATGGTAAATTGTTCGTGTAAATTTTTGTTCCTCTGATTGTGGGCGTATACTCGTTATATAAAAAATCCAATATTCTTACGGCTGGCTCGTCTAATACGAAGGATCTTGGGGCAAATTGCGATTGTTACAGTCCATTCAGCTTTAGGATACAAAAAAAGGACAACTGATACCAATGGTGGATAAAACCTTTATTGATTAACTGAGGTCGCTAAATTTTGTGGTTAGCCATATTTCACTTCTCAGCAGTCCCAAAGGAAAGCGTAATAAAAATCGCTCTATCTTTATTTTAGAAAACATTCAAGAACAACCGAACGGTAAAGAATAGGCCATTTTACAGTTGTGTACTTAGTTGCCAAGCCTTTGATTTGGAGTGAGGCTGAAGGTGACCTTGTTGTGTTAGAGACCAGAATCTAGTTAGCATGATAACAAATTAATTTGCATTTCAAAAGCAGCAAGGTTTGTATCATAACAAGGTCACCCTTAGCCTCACTCCTGTTCAAAGGCTTGGCAACCAAGCACACAACTGTAAAATGGACTATTAGACAGCAGAACTAACTCCGAAGTTGCTGTTGGTGTAACAACTAGAACATCTGTTTTCCAAGGTTAGAGTAATTGGTTTAACAGCCTCATTACTGCTAAATTCATTGAAATACTCAGTGGTAAGGCGAAGAGTTCTTCTGATATAACTATAAATTGCCATTATTTTAGTTCTTATTTATTACCATATCATTGCCATTATTGTTATAATTTTGATTTTAGGGTCTATTTTCAACACTTTGACATCGAAGCAAGAAGGCTCGTTTTTAACGACTTCCGAAGGTTCTTCATCTGTTCACTATCAGACGTCACTGAACCGATCTTCTATGGCCATTTATGCCACAACAAAGAAGAAGAAACCAGGTTTGTAGCCAAGTAATGTAGCCTTACCTTGATCTCCACGGCAGTCAAGTTTTTTTAACTTAAAACCTGCCAGAGTTGTTTGATGTCTTAGGTCTAGTAAAAGACCATAAAAGTTTTTTCAGAAAGTCTATGATCAGTTTGCACAACAATGATCCATAGTTTTTTCCCTTTAGAAATTAATTTCAAATCATATCAAGGAGCTATTCAAGTAACGTTTTGTGGCTATTTGGAATATGAATAAAGCTGAAATTGTCAACATATTCATTGACTGCTCTAGAAATTATCACTCCTACCCAGGGGCAGGTAGCTCTCCCGTTTGGTATATAGCTGCCCATGTAAAATTCCTTATTTTAGTTTCTTTAGTTTAATCTCCTAGAAAGATCTGAATTAAACATTTTGTGGGTAGCAATTTCCCTTATTAGACACATTCTGATGTCATAAGTGTTTGCTTTCAAAAGCATCGTCAAATTCACATGAGTACAATATGTTATTTTTCTTAAAACAAGAGGGCAGTCTGTCCTTGGTGAGCTTGAGTGCCTTGGAATATGGTTGAACGATTATGGCCAGTGGTACTAAAACAGGGATTGAGATAATTGTTTGGTGCTCTCTTATCAAAGTATACAGCTAAAACAAATGTTATGATATCTTAAGGTTATTCATGCTCTGTTAAGTTGCAGGGCTGTTGCATGAAACTCAATCTACGAGTTTAAGGGGACTGTGCTATATAATCTGATTTCTTTGTAGCTGCCACCTCATCACTGATATCGTCGAATACAATGCCTTCACCAAAAGCTATGTTGGCAGTCTCTGAGAAAGTTCAGACACCCTCACTATCAAGTATTGTGTCACTAAGCTCAAAGAAAATGAGAGGGAGTGTTTCTTCAATAATATCATCAACAAGTGAAGTACACACATTTAGCAGTGTGGCTGACCCAACAGTTATCGCGAATCTTTTGCCTAACAAAGGTGAGTCTGAAATTCTTTATTCCTCTCAGTGATGGAAATCAGAAGATAGAATGTTAAGGGAATACATTTACTTGAGAGTCATGTTGAAGAATTGTTTCCTAATGGTGGCTGTATTTCCATGAATGAAGCTAGTGAATCATCATCGATCAAACATGGATCTTTCAATTTGGTCTTTTTGATTTTTGTGTTTTAAGATATGTATTATGATTTCATTGCAGTTTTGGGTGTCAGATTTTTGATAATACACCCACTGGTGAAAATGTGACACTTGTTTCAATCACGTAATGCAGCCCATTGGTTGTGACATTGAAGTTGGTTGCTTGCCTCACAATAACAAAAAACAAATGAAAAAAAAAAAACTTGTTGATCATTCAGTCACTCTTGCTCATATGTTCTCTGAGTTGAAATTGATATTTTGTCCCTGGTTTTTACATTTCCTTTCTGCCCTCTTTCTCCTTCATCATGATAAGCTGTATCAAATGCAGCTGTGTACAGAAGAGGACATAAATTGAACATTCTTCTTCCTGTATTGATTAAGGAAATGATAAACATTAATAAAGCTGTGAATATGAAAGTGATCTTTGCTGTAATGAACACTACTTGAACAGTTTAAGTAAAAAATAAGGCCTGAAAAAAATTCAGGCCTGTACAGGATTTAAACCCATGACCTTTGTGATACTGATGCAGTGCTCTACCAACTGAGATAACAAGCCAACTGGGAGCTGATCATTATGTTGTTTTCAAATAAACCCATGAAGTGGTGATTAAATGACAGTGAATATATGAAATTCATATCTCTGAGTTGCAGATGTGAATATGAAAGCGATCATTGCCACAATGAACACTACTTGAGTAGTAGTTAAAATTAGGCCAGAAAAAATTTCAGGCCTGTACTAATAAAGCTGTCATCCTTCTACCCATTTTGCTAGCAATCTATTACTACATCAATTTCAGAATCTAAGTGGTCTCAATGGAGCTCATGGAGTGATTGCACCAAAACATGTGGTACTGGTTCACGATATCGTAACAGAACATGCGTGGCCATTAATAAGGGGACAGTTTTCACTCTTATCTCATGTGCTGGAAAATCTTCGCAGACTGTGTCATGTGCAGAATGGAACTGCCCAGGTAGACATGTTCTCTTGGTATATATTGTGACATTGTTTATCCCGTAATTGTTGCTTCTAAGGTGCTGTCACGGATGAGTGACTGATTTCTTCTTAATGTAGATTCTGTAGACTTCCTTATGAATTTCTTCTAAGGCGGGAGATCAGCTGGGGGTGGGGGAGAACACCTGCTGCTTCCTCAAAATCTAGTCTTTTTATAAATTGTATCATCATGATTGGGCATTTTCTTCTCTTGGTTTGATTTAAATTTCTATTATTATTCTATTTTATTCTATTTTATTCTTTTATGATGAAATAAGATGAAGTTATTTGTTGGTGAAATGATATGATGTTGTCAGACTGCCTTCTTAGGCATTGTTAAAGATCGCGGAAGTCATTTTTGGAAATTTGAGTGAAGGCTAGGTTTGGTGTACAATAATGAGCCCCCCTCTCCCCTCCCATGTTTTAAAGCTTCATAAGCTCAGTGATCATGTAGCAATTAAAGAGAGAGAAAACATTTGATGCAGATTTATTACTGAATATAGCATTTATTACATTTACTTAAAAAGAAGCAACGTACCACAAAGAGTGTAGACTGTTGTTTCTTTATGTTAAATTTGGTTGCTGTGCTCCACTGCTTTTTGTTTTAGCCAGGCAATGCCCAGACTAAAAAACAATGGGACTTTTTTCATTTTAAGTCAATTTACAATTAAGACATAAATTTCATCTTATCACTGCTTTAGATTGTTCAAGAAACTGCACCAATGGAACACTGAATGATGCCTGTGACGCATGTACATGTTATCACCATGTTCTTTCCGGCAGGATTTTGACAATAGAGAATGTGCCACTGTCAGAAGTAAACATATCACTGGCAGAGACACCGTATAACATCCTTGCACAGACAAACGCCAGTGGACACTTCACGACTCTGGGTGTCTGCGCGGGTGAGCAGGAATTACTACTGCAAAAATCTGGGTTCGTTCCCATGAGAGAAAAAGCCAATGTACTGACTCCAACAATGGCTATAATTACTGTAAAATTAGAGTTTGCAGGTATGTGCCTATAAGCCATAAATTTTGGTGGTCAGCTCAATGTCTGTTTAATATAGTTTACTTTTAATTTAAAATAAGTTAATCTCATTATTCGATAGAGTTTGCGTCTCCATCCTCTATCATCTCCCTTTTACTTTTTGCTGTCTGTTTAGCCCTGTCCCTTCTGACAATGATGGTCGCATCACTAATTGAATTAATAAACCTTTGTTTGGCTAGCAGAATTATTTACTTAGCTGCTGAATTAGAGACCATAAGGCAACTTTCTAACTCAATGACAGGTAGACTTACAGAGTTACTGACCTCTTACACCACAGACTCAAAGACAACCTAACACATCAGTGGACTATATACACACTGAGACTGGAACTTACTGGCCTTCTGACTCACACATAACAGACTTGTTACCTATTGATCTCCTGAGGGTCCCAACTATTGACTCATTAATGCACTGACATATTGATTGACTTAATGATGGAAGGACTGACTGACTGACTGATTGACTGAGTGACTGACTGGCTGACTGGCTGACTGACCGACTGATTGACTGATTAACTGACTGGCTAGCTGATTCACTGACTAACCGCAGTTTCTCTAGAAACCTACCCCCTTTATTCATTTGACTGACTGACTGACTTTCTAACTAGCTGACTGGCTGATTGACTGATGGAAGGACTGATTGACTGACTGAGTAATGGAAAGACTGACTGACTGACTGACAGGCTGACGGACTGACTGACTGACTGGTTGACTGGCTGATTGACTGGCTGGCTGACTGATTGACTGGCTGGCTGATTGACTGACTGACTGACTTGTTGACTAGTTGACTGACTGGCTGACTGAACGACTGAACGATAGAATAAATTGAATGTATGACTGAATGAATGGAGAAGTGGCTGATCAAAGGAGTGACTGAAGGGTAAAAAGATTAAAAGACTGCACTTTGCATGTACTAGAAATGGTCTCTAGAAATTAGAAAATTAGCAAAAGTCAGTTTTATCCTACAGGTATTTAAAAAATACATTACTTTTTTATGCAGTCCCACCATTTGTTACAGTTCATCCTAAAAGTAAAATGCGCATGCCTGGTCAGGCTGTTACATTTTGTTGTCATGGAAAAGGGAACCCTCCACCGGAAATTGAGTGGTAAGTACTCTACTTCTTGAAGATGTGACTGTGAAATTTTTTTCATTCTGATCTAGTCGATGATGCACATGTTGGCAGGTTTTTGTTGATAAATTATGGAAGCAGAAATTTAATATTCCCAAAGCGAAATTTCCATACACACTAAGGAAAAAGTGTTTTCCCGTGGAAAATTTGGAGTAACGCTTCTCTTTGACGCTTTTTTTTCAATTCACTTTAGGTTTAAGGAGAACAACGTCATTGACAAAGATTTGTACAACTATAACAACACTCTTGAGATAAGTGACGTCGCTGGTCTGAATGGAAGTTTCCGTTGTCGTGTGGTAAATCAGTTTGGCTCCGAATTCTCTGAAGCGGCAGAGTTGAAAGTCATGGGTAAGTATTCTTCGTTCGTTACTTGAAAAATCTGCAACACTAAAATGATGCAGCTAATTATAACCGCGTTCGTGGCTACAAATCAGTTTCGATCCTTCCCTTGTGTTTAGTACATCGTATAAAATACTTTCAAAACAGTAATTGTACCCATTAATTCAGAAATTTTCTCGGTTTCGTGGGATTTCCTGCACTTATATTATCTTATATGCTGTCACTTCTTTACAAGACTCCACAAAGAGTAATAAAGAAATCTTGAGCTCCATACAAATGAACCAGTGGTGGACTTGAGGGAAAGAAATTATTCGCCAAATAAACGAAGTGTGTATTTAATGGTAATATAGGACTAAGTGGAGTCCAATTTGGTCTGAAATGATAACAAAATCGGACAACCGCACAACCAATTAATCATAAAAATTACAATTTCATCGAAAAAGTCGTTTAAATCATCTCAAAGACATTTTAAAATGCTATAAATCACTACTGTCTTCTAAAATATTGACATTGTTCAAGGGGGAAAAAATTCAATTTTGAAGAAAGCCCCTACTTAGGAGTCTGGACACTGTTTCTATGGTGATTGAAACCAAGGTTGTGATCGGTTGATTTAACCAACCACGACTTTGAATGTGATTGGTTGATGTAAATTACAACTTTTAAGGTGATTGCTTGATTAGTCTGTCCCATGGATAACAAACTGTCCTATAACAAATTGTCCGACAGCAACTTGGCAAGTGAATTGGTGGAAAATAGGAATTTTAAACCAATCACAATCGAAGAAATTGTAATTTTTATGATTTATCACGTCATTTTCATGATATATAGGGATTTTTTTTTTCATTTTCAGCAAGGTCGGACGATTCATGCCCCTCGGCGCCTATTTCTAAGAACCAGACGCTGCCCCCTGGTTGCGTTTTAAACGGCACAAACATTACAATCTTAGACGTGGGAGAATGTGAGCGTGTTGCATGCGTGAAGAGGAAAGACACCTTTAATTCTTCTTGTTCAGAGCCTCTGCAATGCTGTGGGCCTCGCTCTTTTGATAACGTCCTTGTGAGGTGTGGAGCTTTCATGTCATTCACTCTCTCCAAAATAAAAAGCTGCGGTTGTGACCAATGTATCGACGAACAAACAATAATGCAAGGTGTTACTTTTGGTCAGGATGGCAAAGCGGCGAAATTTATAGATTTATTTTTTAATGATAAACAAGTTGATAGAACCGATGCTGATGGAATGTTTTCAATTTCTGTTCCACGGGATACGAAAAGAGCGATAGTGACTTTTAAAGATCAAATTTTTAAGAAATTTCAGGAGGAAGACAAAATTTTCTTTCTAAACGAAGGACAGAAGGCAATGTATAAGGTGACACTGAGAGAGAAACCAAAGCCTCTCATTTTTAACGCGTCGGGACCATTGGATTTACCGTTAGGAGGTAACCTCGATAGCTTTGCTGATCTTGAGCTTCCCGAAAACTCCCTCCTGACTGAGGATGGCTCGGTTTTCCGGGGAAATGCTAAAGTCTCAGTTAGTGTCACTGATCCACGTAACCTCTCTGACATCTTGACAGCTCCTGGAGATTTTACCACCGTGAGTGAAGACGGCCAAGAAGAAATCCTTGAGACGTATGGTATGATTAGGCTCAATATGGAGGATGATAATGGTAAACCTTTAGTTATGTCAAAGCCCATGAAAGTGTACCTAGATCCAGAAAAACTTAACTTGACTGTTTCTGATGGTAATGCATCCGTCAAACTTTATTGGCTTGACCGGAAGACGGGACGGTGGAGAGAGGCTGGTGATTTTTCTCTCGAAGATGGAAGCAAACGTAGACGAAAACGAACCAACAGAATCTTTCTTGCAGGAACTGTGACACCGTCCATAGCTAGGGAAAGTCTTAACTTTGATCGGCCACATGCGATAGTCGGCTTACGTGTAACAGTCAATCCAGAAGAGGATAACGTCGTTATTACAGCCATCCGCAAAGACAACAGGGGATATGTTCAGCGCACCACAAATCAAGGCGTGGTTTGCATGGAGATTTGGAAAGACAAGGACTATTACCTTCAAGCCCAAAAGGATTCCAAGTATTATGATACTGATGAAAATATTAAAAACCACTTAAAACACGTTAATGGTGATATTGTATCAGTTGAAGGCGGCGGTGAGACTATTAAATCATTTGAGTTTCATAGCGCCTTGGTGAATCGAAGTGGGCCGATTTACGAAAACGACGGTGGTGGAACTGAAATGCAGAAGTGCAAAATGTCCTTGAACGATCCACATAGGCCAGGAATAGGCAGACAATTTGTGTTTAAGCCACGTCAAGACATCAATCCGGAATACGCATTGCTCAAAATGATTGTTACGACCGCTGAGTGGATCTCGCAAAGGGGCGAATATTGTTTTATCAAAGTTAAAGTAACTGGCAGGAATACTTTGTTCATGGTCACTAGTTATGATACAAATGCCCAAACTGTTCTTGGCTTTCACATCAGGATGCCAGAAAACGTTACCTCGGGCTCAGGCAGCGTTGCTTGTTTCCAGTTCAGGTGTCCGAGAGCTAATAGTCGCACAGTCGTTCTTTTGACTCCAATGACGTCGGGCGTTACATGCAAGCATAAGAAAACAGCTCAGACTTTGAGTGATGTACAGTCAAACCAAGGATTGTGTCCGGGAACTCTACTCACCTCTGAAGGAAAGGAAAAATGGCTTTGCATTCCGTTTTTAACCACGGATATGTTTACCACCTTTTCGGGAGTGCCTGAACAAAATGGCGAGGCGAGATGTCTTAGAAATGACCAACATTATGGTGGAGTAGATATATCATCTGTGAAATCTTCCACCTGGTCATCCGTGGAGTATACATGCAGGTATGTTAATCAATTTTCATTACAAAAGAAATAATTCGTTCAGTCAATCAGTCATTCGTTCATTGTAAATTTCATTTATTGACTCCCTCACTCACTCATTTATTCATTAACTGAATACTTCATTCATTCGGTTTTTTGGAAGGGTTCCGAAGTTTCACATTGCGAAGAGTCCTAATGCTCAATTTAAGTGTTCAAAAATTAAAGATGTGACTATCAGAAAAAAATCATTCTGCGAAATGTTGTGGACATATTTGCTTTTACTTCCCACGAAATATTCATAAAGGACGGTTTTAAGCCACTTAATCCTCGTTCAATTTGATAATTGTACCATTCAAGTTGATGAAATTTGCTGTCAACGCCTTTAAAAGTTAGCATAGTGAGAACGGTCTGTTATGGGAGAAATACATGATTATACAACTTTCTTTTTCAACTTTCTTTGTCATGGAAGATTTAATCTAATTTCTGTCTACGTTCAAATTGTCATGATCAGTCTGGGGGTTAAGGCAAAGGAGAAACCAAAAATTACTTGAAGAACATCTAAAATTATTATTTATTGTTGTTTTTTTTTTTTTAGGAATGGACAATGTCTGGCGTGCGTCCATCCAATGCGGAATGCACGCGGATAGTTGGGAGTGCACGAAGGTAGCCTAAGATATGCTCGAGGCGCAGCTGAGAAAATCTCTAGCTACTAAGTGCTCTCCCAACCATCCAAGTGCATCCCAAATTGGATGGACGTGTCCCAGACATTGTCCACTGGTTTTATAACTGACAGTGAGACGTTTTTCACGCTGAAAAGTCGCTTTTTCTGTACTGATGAAATTGCAATGATGTCAGCCTGAACCATCTCTATGAACCATCCATTTCTTTTTCATAAATATTAGCCAATCAGAGCGCGCATTAGAATGTAGCTATGTTATAAACAGAGATGATCTACGATATTTTATTTTTTGGCCAAACTCAAGCATTATTGATGATACCTAAAAGTGACTCTACTGCTTGTCATCCTTCATTCTATAGTTAAACCCTGAACGTGAAGTTTTGTGAAGGCATTGCAACGTGGACTTGACATTTTGCAGAAGACTGACATCATTATGGGAGGCGTTTGTTTTCAAGTAAGACTTTTCATCAAGAAAGGAAGTTCGTCCTTCCATGCTAGCGATCTTTCTCTCACGGTGAAAGTTTTGTTATATATATCTAACCTAAACGTGACGTAGCAGGTACACGTGGTCAGCACACCTCGTTCGTGTAATCTGATTATTTTGCTTCGTGCGAGTTCTGGTTACTTTACGTAAATGATTGTAGTAAACCGGATTCGCTCTAAGGAGTTGGCTTTTTTAAGATAAATAACTATTTCATATCTAGCTAAATACGCGTCATGTACGCCTCTTCGCAAAGGGAGTATACCATTCGTTGCAGTGAATCGCGGTTCATTACTACTATTAATTATTTGCATTCTTAGCGAGACTTTCGATAGCTTTTAAGTGGGTGTTGTTTTGATTTGTGTTCTAATGAATCGTCTTAAGACGATAACTGTTGAACAAACTTGTGAAGTATAGTCAATTGAAAATTTTCCCTAGGAACAAACGATCGAGAAGCAAAATCAAATCACAAATAAGCAACCTACTAGTTTTGCATCTGGTGGATAAAAGGATGGTACGAATTTGCAACCTCAATTTATCAGAGCTGACAAACGAATAATCTAACGCAGACAACTTTATCAGTTGTATCCCTGGAACTGTAAATGCAAGAAAATGTGTCCTAGATTTACAAAAATTAGTATGGATTTTCCTTTCAAAGCCAAAAGTTACACAGCAAACAAGAAATACCTGTACGGTTACAGTATTGATATAACGAGACCCTTTTTGGATAATCGGACAGCATTGGCCACTTGCCTTGAATATATATGTAGTGATGTTATGAATAATGGTTCTTTAATCAACAACACTTTTATTGTAATCAAGCCAATTGGTTGCCAATTCTTGAAATCAGGACATGATCTTTATCAGGGCCAATACCCATATCCCCTGCCCCACTCGACAAGGAGTGGCTCGTTTCATATGCGACGTCTCACTGCCATCCTTTTTACTTCCTGTCCCGGGTTTGCATGACAGTCTGAGTATTTTGCATAGGGTACCACTGACAGCGGTTGCAGAACTGGAGACCTAGGGTTAGGGTTTCTTATTTTCTGGTATATTTTTCTTCGAGCTTTGCTTTACATTACGATTGTGCATGAATTAGTGAACTCAGACTGGGCCAACTTAGGGATATGAGCAAAAAAATTGGGGAATTTTCGTGTCAATCAGGATTACTTTACTTTTTCTTTGCTGAGAGAGGAAAATTCGTTAATCTGGGCCAGGTACGAAGACTCTAAGAGACCGGTCATTATTTATCGCTTGGGGAGGGGTGAGAGGATTTTGGGTGTGTCACTATTGAATTTACCTGATTCCCCCATTAGTCACTGTAAAATTGTCATGATCCTCCCCCTTCCCCCCCCCCCCCCACACTGGCAGTTAATTGACATCCAAATTTCTATAGTTCCCCCTTTACACTTTGTCAGCGACGACTGATCCCCCCAAAATCCTCTAAAACAGCACCCCCTCCCCCCCAAGAGTTAAAAATTTCTAGTCCATAAGTTGTTTACTTAGTATGAAACTCAGAGGTTCCTGAAGGGTAGGCCAGGAGAGCGTAGAAATACTGTCGTTCAAACCTTCGCGTGCCAGGCATAATTTCTTTTTTCCTTGGGTCCTCTTAGGCGTGAACATTTCCATCGATTTTCAATTTTCAATTTCAATTCCTTTGTCACTTTTCAGGGGCCTCTTTTCAATTACAGATTTCAGGTAAAAGTTGATGGCATGAATTTTGTAAGTCAATTTCTGAGTGCATGCGCAGTTGCGGTTTTAGTGTATTAGAAATATTGAACTAGGCATTGCATGTAACATTTACTTGGCAGGCTTAACCCTTTAACTCCCATGATTGACCAAGACAGAATTTCTCCTTATATCATCATTACAATATCAAGCAGACAAGTGATGAGAATATAGACGAATATTAATTTTGGGTATTATTAGTTGATCCAATTCCAAGTTCTCTTACTTAAAATTATAAGGATCGTATGGCAGAAAGTAAGGAGAATTACTGAGAGGATCTGGGAGCGAGGGTTAAAATGAATGATACCGCGAATGTTTGGTATTGCTCTTAATTATATTCAGACTAATAATTTTTTCATAACAAGTTCGTTTCATAATGTTAACAATTTTTATTCTCTTAGACAACATGCGCTATATAATGCTGTTGATAGGTTGAGTTTTTCTCTAATAGATGCATGTAAGAAAAGAAGTGAGAAGGACCTTTTAGACGTTTTTATTCTGTACACTGATCCTTGTTGCGCGGTGTTTACAACGGTTAAGCAATACAGCTGTAGTTTGCCTTTTGTTTAAAACGCATTAAAAAACATTTTTTGAAATAAACCTAGAAATAGCATATGACTAGCTTAAACTGTCATAGTAGTTCGAGTTTATTAATAAAAAATAAAAAATGTTTTTTGCATGACATCACCTTACTCTTATACCGTGACAGAACAACTCGAGAAGAAAGTACACTGGGGGGAGGGGGACGCAGGTTGAAGGGAGGGGAGATAAATCAATGCTACCTTTTCATTTTCAGTAACGAAGTTTATTGATGTTCACGTAGTCTTTCTGTTTTAATTAGATTTTCCACTCTATTTTATCCAAAAGGTTTTAAAATATTTTCTCTTTTTTAATTTCTCCTTGACAATTAAGCTGAATGGGGAGATAGGACAAACCAGTACTAATTTATAACACAACGATACTATCAATGCGAATCCTGCGCATTTTCTATGCTCAAGGAAAAATTGATTTGCTAAGAATAGTCTGAAATAGAGTTATGACAGGAATGCCATGCGAAGCGCGAGCGCGCGGGCCTTAAATCCGAGCGGGAAATATTGGTCAGTATCTTACAGTACGAAGCTCGAACTCAGTTAGTGATGAGAGGAATGGAATCTAACCCCACCAAGCACAAGGTCCTTAATTACAACAAAACTTGTAAAATAGTTTTCAGCTTCAAAGCTGAGCATTTTTTATAAATCTGTTGCCTTCAGAATTCTTTCCAGAGTAGTTGTACCGAATACGTCCAAACGTCCCCTTGTGTTTCCCAGGAGCCTTTGTGGTACTGGGTAGTGGAGTGAATCTTGATATTTCTACGCTTTCTTGCATTTGAGCTTTCTGTCAATCAAGAAAATTATAACGCAATGAAATTGGTATACTACGGTCACAGAGGGCGTACTTTATTTGAGTTTTAGATTTTCTTAATTGGAGAAAACGCGTTTCAATGTCACAATTTTCTGTAACTTACCAGGTCGGTTAGTGAAGGAGCAACGATCTTCATGTAAGCACCAACCCTCTGTGCCTCTCTTTTCTCTGCCTTTTTAACAGGCCTTGAATCGAGAAATGTTAAGTTTGGCAGTCGGTGAAGTACATAATATCTGAAGAATGAATCAAAGATTAAAGAAAATTCATGTTGTACAGGTCATACAGTCGAGCTAACGTCATCATATATCATTAGCATTGTGGTCACGTCATCGTCATCGTTATTAACGTTTTTCATAACAATCATTATTAAGAGCAACATTGTTATCATCATTACCGTTATCATTTGCGTCATTAAAATCACAACTGATTAGCATCATCATTATCACCGTTAACAATGACGATAAGACGGAAACATAACAGGTCACTCCCTTCAAGTTGACAAAAGCTCAAGTCTTAAAACCTCACTCGATAAACTGAAAATTATTTTGCACGGGATTTCTTATTTTTAAGAGTTAAAATGATTTTAATATCAAAGGCTTTGCACTCAAAGAGAGAGGTCCCGGACTCCCGGGCATCTTGGAAATAACTTATACATTCCATTTAGATAGTTTGTTCACTTTGTAACAACGATAAAAACATTTTCAAGCAACTCGTCGCTAACCTAACCTGAGAAAAGTGGAAGTTAACCCTTTAACTCCCAAGATCTAACTGTTAATTCTCCCCTCTAGCTGCTACACATTTTCGTCTGAATCAATTATGAGAATTTGGTGTTAGATCAAGATGAAGTAAAAAAGTAACCTGTATCGCTGGTAATCTTCCTCGTCTCTGTAGGAAAATGACAGTTCGTTTGGGCAGGCCTGGTTACTAAGCAAGCTGAGATATTTCAGAGAAGGTAAATTCTTGGAAACTTTGTCCAAGAATCCGTCTAGATTGGATATGTATTAAAAATTAAGGATCAAACAAAGAAAGAAAAAAAGAAAAAAATGATGAAAACGTTTTACATCGGCCTCTCTTGACAATAGCCTCAAAGGGAAGGATGCCAGTTATCAGCACCCGAAGGATATGTTTGTGGCAAGTTACAGGGCCGCTCTATCCAGGGTGCAAGTTAAAATGAAAAGGATATATTGTTTTTGTTTAATGTCAGTGTGTGTAAATTGGCCATTACGGGAATTTCCACATCATCTCCTAGCTGGTTATTATCAAGAATGAGTTCCTCCAGATTTTCGAAACAGTACAACCCGTTCAACGATCTGCAAATAAATAAATAATGAAAAAAGCAATCAAAAGAAGAGTCTGATTGGTAGCAAAAGGTTAGCTTTGTGTTGGGAAACTTTCTTATTTGGCCACGATGTGTTTGTTCCGCTGAAAAGGGCGTAGTCTCCTTGGGGACGGCAAAGAATCCCGTGTAGCAGGGCACTCAGTAATGTTCCCGGTAAAACCATCTCCCAGATCTTCTCCATCAGCACATCTCGGTAACGTGACCTACAGGAAAGACTAAGACTTCTGACGAACTCTGATTATGGGCACCGCCGTATGTCACCGCCCAGTGAGCATTTTGGGCGCTGTGGATATGAAGCAGTAAATGAAAAAAACGTGACAGATGGGGAAGGAGGAGGATAAATTGAACTTATCGAAAACGGCTATTGCTGCGCAATTTTTGTTTTACCTCAGTCCGTTAGAGCTTAGGTCCAAGATCTTGACTACTTTCCCATATTTCCTGCCAATAGTCTCTGGGATGTTCTTAGCCTCACGACAAACAAGCGACAACTGACCAAAAACAAAGGGATAACACAATCAAGATTTAACTGAAGTTTTACTAAAGGAATTGTGTTAAAATATCCAACTGATATCTTTAAGTTCAGTTTAATTCTATCCAGACCACGTTCTTTTGATGGAGTAAAATAAAAGACACTTTGGACTTGGCGCCAGCCAACTTGAGTTAAATTAAATTACGAAGTTTTTTTTTTTTCATTCCAATTAAGGTCGCGTAAAGACAATTGTGTTAAAATCGAGTTTTAATGAGTGCATGTTTCACAGCCTATTTTCTCAATCAAAATGTACTTTTACTGATTTAAAGATTCATCCCTTTCATAAACCGGAAACTCTTTTCAGAAAATTTGAATTCTTTATCGGTGTGCGTCTGTTGAGGATATTTTATTACAGCACCCTACTCCCATCAGACCTGTGGGTTTCTTCACTACTTGTTTAAACTCAATTTTTTTAAACAACAGGATCGCGTACTACTGCTTAACTTAATGTAATTACAATATATGTCTTCAAATATTTATTACCTTATTAAGGTTTTAATCTAAAAGAAAATAAATGATCGAGTTGATGGATACATCAATAAAGGATTGTTTCGTTCATCAAATAGGCGTTGCCTCTTGTTGACAGATTTACTTAATGACGAGAATTGTGATTGACATTAATTCCATAGATTGATTTAAAAGCGCTAGATTATTATGTTTTAAGTCAGTTTTTCACCGGCATCGAAGTGAGAAATAAGTTATTTTGTTATCATTTTTTCTGTCTCTAAATCCGCTTACCTGGAGAATCTGTTAACCTGTAAAGTGAGACTGTTGTAACGACCCGCTACAGAAGTAAGTTTACATTGAAGTTTTTGAATTTAGCTACGAGATTAAGACTTGATTTGCGTTTGTTCTGATTGCGAATTATAAATGTATTCCTTTTAGATCGAATAATTATTAAAGCTTGGCTTGATATTATACAGTTTGTGGTGGTCATTTGATCTAACCAGTTCCGAGTAAGGAAACATTGACAAAAAAAAAACGTGTTTTCTGAATCAAAGTTTAGACATCACACTTCCCCCCTTCCCCCCTTCCCATCAAGAAATTCCTGGTTCCGCCATTGTACAAAAAATTCCTTGAAAAATATGCAGCCTAATGATTCTATAAGCGTTAAACCCGTGTATGAAAATTGTTGTCGGTCCCAGTCCTAGAGATTAAAACTGTGACGATTTGAGACTCTGAGTGACTGTCGCCTCCTATCGTTTGCGAGTCCCAAAGTAGTTGAAATCAAACACAGTACAAAAAAAAAAAGGTTTTCAGACTGTTCCATTGAAATCAAATTTGAACCATTTAGATTATTCGAAGATGTTAGACAAAGACTGCTCATATTGAATCGAATTCAACTTTGAAAATTAAAATATGAAATAGGGCCAATTCAAGTTCAAAACAATGTTAAAGATCATATGACAGAAGGATGATTCGGAACAGCAAATTGAACACACTCAATTAAAACACCAAAAGCCGAGAACAAACATTTCTCCTTACCTGGGTATCACTAATTATAAAACCTGCGTCTGAATTTTCCATTGCTTTGTCCAAAAAAAAGGGATTTTTTTTAGAGATTAGTTCCTGGGTAGACCTTGTCTTGATAAACGTGCGGCCTCCATTCAACTTGTGATGTTTTGCATGTAACTCGGTACCAAATCTGTCCCTTCTGGGCAATCTTTGAAAAAACCCATTCTATTTTATATTGTTCCTGTCAGGAGAAAGTCACGCGATCCACGTGAATCACGCACCACACACTTCATGGATGTGCTCCGCGTCAGTCATCTTACGACCCGCTAGGGATTAATCGTTATTCTGGCCCTATCGAGAGCTCGCGACAGGGAGTGGTAACCATATGACTTTATTACATCACCGCAATATTTAGCGTCATCAACAGGGCATCCGTTGAAAGTTTCATCAACAGTGGTCACACCGAAAATTTCAGAGGAAGTTGTCATCAATTTTGCCTTCTTTTCTTCATAATTTGAAAGTTTGATCAAGGATGATCCGGAAAGGTTTTTCAAAGCAAGCTGTCATCAAGTCAACTATCCTTTGTTTCTCCTGTTTTGTTACTCCATCTCAGTTGTAAGCGGAAATCGTGTAACGCCTTCACCGAAATTACAGGCCATCTGAGCAGTCTAAGTACCCTTCTGCTCAAAGGTAAGTCACTTCACTGCACCAGAAGCCTAGATTTTCCTTAATCAAACGCTCATGAAAAATAAATTTTTGATGAAGCTTATGTTCGAGTACCAAGATGTTCCGACTGACAAAATCAACAAATCGGCATAATTTTTCATACTTCATTTGATATTTCGTGACAGTGATATAAATACATGGATGACAGGCCTTCACGCATTGTTTTTGTGTTATTTTTGTTAAAATTCCTCATTCGGCTTGCCCATTCTCCTTCCTCTTTGACTGCTTCCATCCTGTTCGACATTTTTGGGATCAGCTCCTGAGCCAAAGGACTATTATTTTTAAGAATTTGATGATTTTAACCCTATCGTTTCCAGGAGTGACCAATAATGAATTTCTCTTCACATCATCAATACATTCTCAAGGAGCAAGATCACGAGAGGTGAAAGAATTATCAAAGGTGTCAACTGGTGGGATATTATTCAACAGATCACCAAATTAACTAAAACGATATGAAAAATCTAGATCGTGGAAGTGAAAGGGTTAAAGACAGTTGTATATGGCTAAATATATTTGATGTGATCAAAACTATAACAAAATTCTCGAATGTGATTGGTCATCACCTGTCCGCTTTGAACACTAATGGGACAGTGTACGCGTCACGTTTATAATTGGACAGTGTAATAGGACAGTTAAAGGGACAGTTAACTCGTCATGTTTGTTCAAGTGGACAGAACGCGTCATGTGCGCGCGCTGTTGTCTCGCATTTCGCCGTGTTACCTGTTGTTATTTATGAAAACGTACAACCGATGTCTGGTTTCTTTCTCAAATGTTGTCATAGTTTTGATTAATTGGTAACAGGACTTCGTAGAGCAAAAGTCATAAGGCTGGTTCCCCCAACCTCACATGCCTAGCTTCCATGTTATTCTTCGGCAAGAGGAGTGCCACGTTTTAGCCATGTCTACCATAGCAACGTACATTTTTTATTATACAGTGGCTTCAGCATGTTAAATTAGTGATATATACACACTATACACCATCAAGTGTACTAGTCATAGGAAAGAGGCATGTGTGGCCTTGTCAGTTAGTTACAGTATATAATTACAAGGTTTGTGTGTGTTTACGCGTGATCATCCGAGTGTTGAAAAAAGCATCTTTAATACTACGGTAATGCGCTACAGTCACACCGATTGTAAACGAGTGTAGCCTTTCCGCTGGCTTCCACATAGCTCTTTAAAAGAGACCTTCCCAAAAAGATCTTTAAGGAGACTAATTTTTTTTTCATATATAACTTTTCTTCGAAAACGCTCACGTCACTTTGGTGGGGATAAGACAGTTCCATATTGCGTGCATGCTAAAGGATCATTGATGCAGCCAAGCCTTCTCTGTCGCTAATAATCGCGGTAGGAGTATGTATGAAAGCAAAAATGTTTATCCTTTATCGGCGCGGAGCGAAAAATTGTCATCGTGTTCCTTTTGTGCAAGCTCGGTTTCTAATTTATTTGGCGCAATATATCGGACCAGAGGTTTTCCTGAACACATTTTCCGTATCAACTTAATTGAAGCTAACATAGTATGTATAATCCCTGTCAAGATTGTTAAAACATTTCCCCTTCCCCCTTCCCCCTCAGTAGGGTTGGCAACAGGAAAACCGGACCGCCTGAAATAAAACTCAATATTAAAAGGAGAGCGCGGTGTTTCAACAACACTCGACGCGGGTTGCAAATATTAATATTCCAGATTTTGAACAAGAGGACTTATACGAGAAAACCGAACTTTTCAAAGACGAATTTTTTTTGTCTGAATGAATTATCAGACTCTTAGTCAGTTTAAAAATTGAAGTAACTTGCATCGTAAACAGTATCATTACCACGCAATAGTTTTTATTACATTTTTTTTGTGTATTTATTTGTATCTATCCTAATCAGGATTTCCAAAGTCTTTCTCGACGTCATCGCATTTAGTTAAGCTTACTATAGATAAAAAGTTAAAATCGCTCTAAAAAAATAGTCATGACAATCGAAAAAAGGGAACTTCAGTTTTCGACGTTAAGGCATTCTTCATACACTTTTCAGACTAAAACAGAAGTTCGACTTGTACATTAAATAATTCTTTCTTTCCCTTAAAATAATAACAAGAAAAAAAACCTTTCCGATTACGAAGGAAAGTTGAGCAAAACAATACGGGTTTATTGTTAGAATTTCAGAATAAAATGTCGTTTTGACATATATTCTAAAGTGTTTCACAAAAGGTTACTTTGGACAAAAACACCTGTATATAAATAGAGCGATTTTCAATTGACTGTCGAAAGTAATCTGGGATTACTTTGGTTTTGCTTTTCTTCACCCTGATTGGTCCAGAAAACTCGCACCACCCTCATGACCAATCAGATGCAAAACTGAAACCAATCACGACTTGGTCGCCCGCGTTTTCCCGCGCTTTAAGCAGTTTGTTTAGTTTGATTTTGAGTTCTCATTGGCTCTTAAAGGTATTTTACTCTCCTCTGATTGGCCGATGTGGTAACTTAAGTTTTGGTTTAACGACGCAAAACGGAAAAGCGCTCTAACAATAAAACTCTACTAACTTCCTTAATATATTTTAATAACTGCAAAACGGTAAAACTCTGCATCACCAGTACATTTGAGTGCGTAAAACAATATCTAAAACAAATTATAAAGCAAACATCACTGATAAAAAATGGTAAGTCATAAGACGCCAGCGTCTGGCTTGCGAACTTCCTTCAAACATAATAAGACACTGCTTTCTTCCCAATCAATTTTGTTCAATAAAATATTTTTTTAAAAAAAGAAGTGCTATTATGATTGAAGTTCAAATTTGCTTTGGAAACCAGTAGGTCTGCTTCCCCTAAAAAGGGGCCAGATTCTTTGTACTCGTTCCAGTGGTATTTTTTTGCCCGAAAGCCTAATAAGAGATTGAACGCATTCGAGATTGATCACGAGGTAAATCTCTCGCTAGGCTTCGAGCAGGCCGTCATGTTCAGCGCTACAGGATGCGCGTATCTCCGCCCGCGGGAAGATTTGAGACGAGTCAGGGAGAAGTAAACCGCTTCGCGTGGCTCAAGGCCTCGTAATTTCCCTCTGGCGAAGAAACGCTGGCGGCCAACCGCACAAATTTGTGGCGGGCCCGCTCGCCGGCGCATCTCTCGCAAGCTCAATTTGTTCGTGAAAATTTTTTCGTCCCATAATTCATGACTAGGTGTCATATATACAAAAACTTAACAAATTCAATAATAAATTTTACCATTTCTTAAAGCTCGTTGTTTCTTATAAATCTGTTGCCTTCCGATTGTTTTCCGTAGTAGACGTATCGGCAACGTCCAAATGTGCCTTTATGATCTCCTGCAGTGATTGAATTGCTCGGTAGCGGGGTGTATTTTAAGGATTCCGTGCTTTCCAGCGAATCAGCAGTCTGTCGACAAAAAGATGACAAGATTTATTCCGTGAATGGAAGAAGATTCAGCTTAAACATCGAAGAATAAAGGCCTAGACACTAGTCTGAAATGACAGTCGTCTCCAAGCCCCAGTCACACGAGAGATAGACGTTTCTGTGGCTCTAGCACCCTATATTATGTATCGAGGAGCACACGATGCCACGGGTCACTAACCTACTTCGAGAGAACTACTTCCAAATTTTGTTGCTATGCATGCATAAATTCCAACCAATTTGAATTTCTACGACTCATTTCGGTGAAAAAGTCGGTCGCGGGAAGGAAGATTTTACTAAATGTTCCTTCCATTCGCTGCAACTTTTCTCTGCGGATTGCTAGTTACTTTTCCTAGTCTGATTGTCGGGGAATTCGTCGCTGCGAAGATATGAGAGAAACTGTAACATTTTAATAATTCATTTTCACCTTTGTTGTCTTTTGCTGATATGATACCTAGAACTCAAACGATAGAGGTTCCATAAACTAACTTTGGAGCACGCCCTCATTACCAGCGCTGCAGGTCACGCATTTCTTCGCTCGCGGGAAGATTTGAGACGAGTCGGGTAGAGGTTTGCCAGGGGTATGGTACTAATAATTATCATTGCTAGACCATCTGCTGACCTTTCACGGGCTTACGTCACTCAAGGCCTCGTACTTTCCCGCCGAAGTTCTAATGAGGAGAGCCTACTCACAAGCCATCGATGACTCAGTTTTGAAAACCCTTAGGTATTTGGGGGGGGGGGGGGGGTTGGGGGCGGAATAACAAAGGACACTCTTTACTGAGGTGTCTCTCTGAAAGAAAAGAGCTGTTTATGTTTGGAACTCACGTTACTAATCAGGTCTTCGTCAGAGGGGGCCATAATCTTCATGTGAGCACCAACTCGTTGAGCCTCATCTCTCTCATCCTGTTTAACAGGTCTTGAATCAAGGAAGGTTAGCTTTGGCAGGCGGTAGAGGACATAATATCTGATGAAAAAAACATTAAAAAAGATTCTTGTTATGATGAATTGTAGGACGCGTGTCATAAGAACTTCGCAATAGACCGCGCTCACCGTAGAGTCTCCGAGGCTCAGTGGTAAAGCTAAATTACTTCTAAATTGCTTTACTCGAAAAAACCGTTTCTATGGACTTGGACGTATCACTCTTAGGAGCCGACCAAGGATCATATTCCCTGATAAAATACCCTTTGCGTTTACGTACCTGTATCGCTGGTAATCTTCCTCGTCTCTGTGTGAAAAGGACAGTTCATTTGGACAAGCCTGGTTACTCAGCATGCTCAGGTATTTCAGTGAGGGTAGATTCTTGGAGAGCTTATCCAAAATTACATCTAGACTGACTATGTGTTGACATTAAGGAAAAATTGTGATCTGCAATAAATGACTTCGTCTTATCGCTCTGTTGAGATGATTTAAAATTAGGCTGTGACAGGCTCTAATTAAGGGAACAAGTGGAAAAGTGGATGCATGAAAAATGGTAAGGTTCTGCAGCTATTTCCCTGACAAATCCAGCTGCTGTTTGCTGTTCATATTCTCCTTTCTTCCCTTCCATTAACTGAAGCCTTGAAACAGAGTGATCTAAACTGTGCAGACCATTCATGTGCCAAAACTGATGTAGTTTGGGGAATTTTCACCTGACTCTTGAATTCAGGTGGCATTTTATCATTTCAGAATGCAAATCATAAATCATTCACCTTTTGACTCCCAAGAGTGAATACCATCTAATTCCACCTTAAAATATCACCCCTGAATCACACATTAACCCTTTACTCCCTAACATCAGTATGCATATTCTCTATACTACTCCCTAGACAGCTTCCTTCCCTCCCTGGTCAGAATACTATACCATTGGGTTTCTCCCTCCCATAGCATTATTCCTTGATAAACAAATTGATAACCCAAACAGGGTTAAAAGGATATTTTGTTTTTGTTTAACGTTAGTGTGTGTACATGGGGCATTTCAGGAAAATCCATATCATCTCCAAGCTGGTTGTTGTCAAGGATTAGTTCCTCCAGTTTTTCAAAACTGTACAGGCCATTGAGAGATCTGTGGAGAAAGCAAAAAGTGTATCAAGGTAACATTTAATATTTCACCCTGAGGTTGACTAGCATCCTAACATCTGATTTTTCTCTACAATATCACCCTTGAATTGCAAAGAATAAAAAGAAGCTCATGATTGTTAACCAATTTCTCCTCGTCAGCACCTTAGGAAATGTCTAGTAAACAGTATGGAGAATATGCATACTGATGTTAGGGTGTAAAGGGGTAACACCAATTTTAAACAAGTTAATCACAATGAATACAACAAACAAAAATTCTGGTAAAATCTTTAATTTTGTGACGTGATTTTTTCCCCCCGAGACAAGCAGCACCAATTCGAAATGAGCTGAATTTATGCAAATGAACACAGCAAGAACATCAGGGAAGGTCAAGTAGTTGCAGCACGCAAAGTACATGGAACCATTTGTCACAGAATCTAATGCAGTTACTTGGTTTCACTGTAAATCTGATATAAGGGTAAATATCTTTACCTTAGCTGGTTGTAACTCAAATCCAATCTTGTAGTAACCTTCCCATATTTCCTTCCAATAATCCCTGGTATGCTCTCTGCCTCTTGGCCAACAAATGATAACTATTGAAACAAAAAAGATTGCATTCGTATAATTGCAAGTGTTGTATGCATGTATAGGTAGAATGAATTGAAGTGACTGATTAACTGATTGATTGCAACATGAAGACCAGTTGATGATGGATCCACTGATTGATTAACAAGATCACTTGTGAATGACATTGGAAAGTTCACCAAAAAAATTAATCAAAATAAAACCATTCCATTTCTTGTCTGATAACTTGGTTTTATAAACTGAGTTGATAAAATAAAAGTCAAAGTAAGTAGTATATTTAACTCTTTAACTCCCAAGATCTCATTAGTAATTCTCCTTTCTGTCTACCATACAGTTCTTGTAATGTTGCTTGGAGAATTTGATATTGGATCAACTAATAATCCCCTAATTGATATTTTTCTTTTTTCTCATCACTTGTCTGCTTAATATAGTATTGATATTGTAAGGAGAATTTCTGTCTTGGTCACTCATGGGAGTTAAAGGGTTAAGCAAGATGTGTACATCCTAAACAGAATTTCTCCCTACATCATCAGTACAATATCAAGCAGACAAGTGATGAGAATAAAGAAAAATATCAATTAAAGGATTATTGGTTGATCCAATTCCAAATTCTCCAAACTAACATTGCATAAATTGTATGGGAGATAGTAAGGAGAATTACTCATGAAATCTTGGGAGTTAAAGGGTTAAGCAGTCACCCTGCCATTCCCTGCAGGTGACTGTTAAATACAGGTTCAACTGTATCTTGTTATACCCCTCATCGATGCTGCACCACAATTTCTTTAGAAACTTGCCATCTTTATTCACTGTCATATCAGATGATACTTGTAAATTTTGCTCAAAATGAAAGATGTATCTCAACATCTTGGTTGAATTTTGTGGAGTAAACACATCCTTTCTTCACTTGTAAGCTTCAATATCAAGTTTTAATATTTACTAAAATATTGCAACATAGCATCGAATGTTTAACCCTTCAACTCCCAGAAGTGATTAACAAGTAACTTTGCCATTCATTGTTTATTCAACATGTAACATTATCCATTCATTGTGCAGCAAACAGGCAGTGTGAATACTCAAACTTTTCTAGAAGAAGTTGTTAGCTTGACCTAACACCAAATTTCTTGACTGTGAATATATGAAAATCATATATGTGAACTGTGGATAAAGACTTGAATGTGAAGGTGATCTTTGCAGCAATGAACACTGCCTGAGTAGTAGTGAAAATAAGGTCTGAAAAAAATTTAGGCCTGTATGGGATTTGACCAACTGAGCTAACAAGCCAACTGGCAGTTGGTCATTATGTTGGTTCCAAATAAACCTGTTAAGTGATGAATAAATGACTGTGAAAATCATATATGTGAACTGCGGATAAAGACATGAATTAAAGTGATCTTTGCTGTAATGAACACTACCTGAGCAGTAGTGAAAATAAGGCCTGAAAAAAGAAAAAAAAACCGGTATTGCAGAGGTCATGCATTCAAATCCCGTGTTGTACAGGCATGAAAATTTTTTCAGGTCTTATTTTCAACACTGCTCAGGAAGTGTTTATTACTGTGAAGATCAGCTTCATATTCACACCAAATTTCTTGTAATCAATTTATAATCATGGTGATAGGACCAACTGGAGTCCAATTTGGTCTCTAATCATACAAGTGATTTACAAAATTGGATAACTGTGAAGCAGGAGTCCAATTTGTTTCTCACAATTAATCATAACCATTTCAATTTCCCAAAAAACAAATACATCTAGAATATATATCTCCAGTGGAGATAATGTCTCTCATTAAAAAAATTCCTCCATTTTGGAAATTGCCTAGTTTTCTTTGGATAAGTGGTTGTTGCTATGGTTATTGTGATCAATTCTGTGATTGGTGGATTTGGCTGAGTGGACTTAGAATGATTGGCTGCTTCAACTGTCCGATTACAAGTGTCTGAGTACAGCCAACTGTCCAATTACTTTGGCTGATTACAACTGTAAAGAATGATTCGTGAAAAATGAAGCTGCAAAGGCACCAGTAAGAATTAAGGAGTTTGTAATGGTTATGATTAACAAAGAAATTTGTAGCAGCTCTAGGAGAGAATTAACAATGAGATCTTGGGAGTTACAGGGTTAAAACCCTTCAAAATTAACTAACACTTGGTAGTCTGAAGTGTGCATTCAAGATGTAATCAAAACTATAACAAAATTCTCGAACATAATTGGTTCTCACCAGCCCGATTTCAGCACTAATAGGACAGTGTACGCATCATGTTTGTAACTGGACAGTGTAATAGGACAGTTAAAGGGACAGTTCACACGTCATGCCTGTGTAAGTGGACAGAACGCGTCATATGAGTGCGCTATTGTCTCGCATTTCGCCGAGCTCATGTTGTTGCTTTTTTTTTTTTTAATGAAAACGTATAACCGATGTATAGTTTCTTTCTCACATTCTGTTATAGTTCTGATTAATTGGTAACAGGACTTCGAGTCGTCCAATTCTATCTGTAATCATACTCGTGATTGATAAAATCAGACTCCCGCGTCGCGACAGTCCGATTATCATTATTAATTGGAGAACAGCTTCATATATAGCCGTACTAATTCAACTAATGTTGTCTCTAATACCCTTCAAAATTGCAAAAGAGTGAGACAATGTTCAAAAACTCAGCTGAATGTGATCGCTTTGGGTGAGTGTAACAGGAGGAATGTGCACAGCCGGAACTTGTTTGAGCGAATTGCAATTCACGTAGTCAGCGACTTTTCAGCAGCAAAACAAACCATTTATTCATCAAAGCTTCCCGCGAATAAGAAAACCATGATGAAAACATGACCATGCACAATGAATCGACCGCGAATTATAAAATAAATCAGCGAACACAGACAGCAATTTGGGACAGAAGCGTGATGCAACCATTATATAAATTTACTCCGCTGATATCTAGTGCCAAACTGCTGTTACTGCGAAGATCGCCGGTAAATAAATTTCAGTCCTTACCTGAGTACCATTTAACACCACAGCTACCTCGGCACTATCCATTATTCTGGTGAAAAGGCCTCCAAAGGGTACAAGATTACATGTCTACTGTACAGATTTTGATGATGCACTTTGTCACGTTTGGCTTAGATGGCAGAATTGAAAATTCGGCACCAGGCCCTAGTCAAAACAGATAGGTCCGCAGACCGTGGCAGAGGGTCGGGACGTTAAGAAGCAAGGTGACTAATGCCCCATTCACACCAAAGCTTAAACATGTTTAAAAGTTGTTTTGTTAAACACAGTTTAATTTTTTTTTCTTCATAGAAACTATTTAACCGAATATTTTTGACTTGAATGTAGCACATTGGAAATACAAGTTAGCTAGTACTTGAATCCAATGGAAAATCAAGTTTTTCAGTTCTCTGTTTATAATTTTCATTCAATGAAAACCAGTTTAACAAAACATGTTTTGCTGGTGTGAATGGGGTATTAGATGTATGGTACACCATCTGTCTCTCCTCGTTTTTGTTTTTTTTCCACTTTTTTTCTCTAATTGGGTCAATCAAAACGAATCCTCCAAGAAAAAAAAAATCAAAAATCGTTCCTTGAAGGGACTCTAAGTAAACATGTGCAGACTTACTTGTAATGTTCTCCTGTGCAGACATTTTGTCTTGCTTAGAAAATTGTTATCGGAAATAGCTTAAATAGATTTATTGATTAACAAATCTTTTAGTTAATTTCCTATATCAAACTTGAATGGAACTTAACCCTTAACATATTAAAGGTCAAGTCTTTTTCAATGTCATTTTCTTAGCTTAACTCATAAAATGTACTCTTGATTTCCTTTCACCTTTGCTCCTAAAAAAATACAACATTCCTTACCTTAAGCACCCTTAAAATGACAAATATCTTGCTATAAAATGATGCAAACTATTTATTTAAATTTACATTTGTCTGTTTACTAAACTCAACTGAACTGTTACTTTTTTTCAAGGTGAACTCTCGTTTGAATTGTTATGCAATCCTAATACAGTCATAAACGTTGTGCAATATGCTGGAAAAGTATAATACCAACTGTTACTAACAGAGATTATAAAAATGCAAGCAGATATTTACAAAAATGAACATATATGGTATTGAAAAATAAAACTAAAATATTAAATTTAATATATTAATTTACACAATTCTTATTCCTGAGGCACTTCAGGTTCTTCTGTTTGAGCTGCAGGGTCCGCCTGTTCTTCAGCAGCTGGTGCTGGTTCTGGTTCTGCATCTGTTGTTTCATCCTCTTTATTTGCAGGTGCTGGCTCTGCTGCTGAAGAAAACATGGATGGCAAAGATAAGATATCTTGACCAGAAAAATGTTTCTCTATTAATATAAAAAGGGACTTGAAAATGAGAAGTGAACCACAATCCTCATTAAGATTCTTGCCATATTTCAACTTTTCCCAAGGCAAAGTTGCTGAGAGTGGGTGTTTCGATAAAACTTGACAAGGGTTGCAGCTTTAGAGAGCCATTAAAAAACATGCCAATTTGTAACCTGCATTACCAAATAAAGTGATGATGATGATGAATCAATTTTTTCCTCCATTTGACTCACCTTCTGTTTCAGGTTGATCCTCTTTTTTCTCATCTTCTGCTGCTTCTCCCTCTTTTTTTTCATCCTCAGCTGCTTCCCCCTCTTGCTTCTCTCCTGCTTGCTCCACTTCCCCTTCCCCCTCCTTTGTCTCTCCTTCTGTAGGCTTTTCCTCCCCCTCTGTCTCCTTTGCCGGCTCCTCCCCCTCCCCTTCCTTCTTTTCCTCTCCCTCTGGCTTTGCCGCCTCATCAGTCTTCTCAGCAGAAGCTGCAGCAGCCTCGCCACCTTCACCTTCACCAGTTGGTGCAGCTTCCTCAGTAGTCTTCTCTGCCTCTTCTGCTTTATTGTCTTGATCTATTTGTTTGATTGATTAAAACAGAGAAATTTCAATTTTCAAATTTCATCATGGCTTTTTATATCCCTGGAGTGGTGTTAGCATCAAGAGAAATGAAGAAAGGGAAGGAGGGAGGGGGGGGGGACAGTGTTAACCACCAAGAAGAGAGGATATGAATATGACAAAGAGACTGCATCTACATTACGGACCTTACTCCTTAAGATTTTAAAGAACCACCTCTGTTTTCCCACACTCCACAGGGATTTAAAGAGATCCTATACTTAAATAAATTCTGCTCATGTGATACTCTGACATGTACTATTTTTCTCTCTGATGAAACATTCCAGTAATGCCTGAGGCACTTCTAAGGTGAGTACTTAAACTTTGCCTGCAAACTGCATGCTTCCTTTGGAGACCCTTCCCTTTTTGTCAAAGCTTAAGCACAAGAAATACAGAATAATTGTTTCGGAAAGAAGGCTTGTCTAAATTGTCTCTATAGCCTGAAGAATACCTCAAATTGAATTTTAAGAAATACGTTGACCCAGTGGTGGTAAAAAAAGAAATCCAAGGAAAGAAAAGAAAAGAAATCTAAGGTAACCAACCAAAACAAAACAAAAAAAACCAACAGAAAAACCAAGGAAAAGAAAGGAGTTCAGAACAGAGTTCAAAACAGAAATATTATACATTAGGTAAATCCAACAGGCATGCATTTATTGAATTTCCAACTAATTTGCATCAAATTGCAAGCTAGGTGTTTCTTGCTTGATGAGATTGTAGCAAATGGCTTCTCTTAAGAAGGCCATCAATCCAAGTTACAAGTCATTAAGAAAGTTTAATTTGTACAGTCTAGTATAGGCACTTCAGATCATTTTATTTCTTATCTCAGACACTTCACTTTGCATGAATATGAAATTGTTCTCTTGAAAAAAAAAGTAACATGTCACTGAACAAACTTTAACTGTTATAAAGCTCTCTGATCAATAATTTATCATGATAACATTTGGGTCAAAGAGCCAATATCTAACCTTTAAGTTTATCAATGTAGAGTGAATTTAAAATTATATATTTCCAAATATGTGAATCTACATTATTTGCACAATTTCCATAATTATCATCTTCAATGAATATTTCTCTAATAAATTGCATTAAAACTCTCCAGTAAAATTTGAATTGAGGAATAACTTTATGTTATCAGTATTTAACAGTTTCAGAATATAATAAATGATAGTTACAATCATAAAATCTTTAAAAATTTTTGTAACATGTAATGTTAAGAACAAAACAATCATTAAAAATGTTTGAAATTAAACTATCTCAAAGGGAAAACTTTCAAAACGATATCAATGATGGTGAAGACATCTTCAGTTGTTGGTTATTATTTGAAGCATGCATCTGAGTTATTCATTTTCTGGCTTCCTTTGACCAGCTGCATTACAAATAAAACAGAAAATCTTAGTATCACAGTCACAGTTTAATTGTTAGAAATTAACAACTTAAATCAAATGATTAACATTTTTTATTCTGTATTGACTTATCAGTTGATAGAGATTCAAAGTTTGAGTAATACAGCAAGTTTTTATTAGATCCCTATTCTGATTTAAATACTTAGATGCTTTATTAGGAAATTATCTAATTATTTATTCTCCCTTCGAGCCATTATATATTTTCTAATATTTTAGTTAGGAGAATTTGGAGTTAAATCAAGATAAACTCTAGTTTTGGGAGACATGACTTTGGATGTGATGACTTTTGGGCGACTTGATGTGTTACACTTACTAACTTTTCGGCAACTATGCTGGTAAGGTTAACCCTTTAACTCCCAAGATCTGATTGTTAATTCTCCCCTCTAGCTGCTACAGATTTCCTTGTAAATTAGTTATGAGAACTTGGTGCAAGATCTAGATAGCAGCTTCTACCCGATAAGTTTAAATGTTCTCATCACCTGTTTGCTGAATAATGTATGGATATTACTAGGAGAAGTTTCATGTTCATCACCACTGGGAGTTAGAGGGTTAAAGGATTAGGCAAAGCCCAGAAAAAAAGAACTCTTCAAACAATATTCCTATTTATTACACTAATTTTGAAATCACTGATGGTCCCTGTAATCTGATTGGCTCTAATTGGTGCGATTTATTCACAAATTGCACCATTTTTTGCTTTAAATTGCATCTTTTCCCCAGCCAATGAGGAGGCTACACTAAAAACAAAACAACCAATCAGACTTCAAGGCTTGTTTAAAGTAACCTTTCATATTGCAGGAAGATGAAAGACATGGATTATCATGCAGCAAATTTTGCAACTTTTGTTTCCAAAACTCTTATTTTTTCCTCCCAAAAAATGGATGAATTTAATTTCAAACCAGCTCAGTATTGTATTAATAAAATATTTGAACTAACCAAGTCCTGTATTTGGGCGATTTCAAAATGGATGTAATAAAGTGGTAATTGAACCTCGTGTTGTGCAATTTTGGTCTGAAATCATACTTGTGATTTCAAATCGAACTCGCGCCGCGCGCTCGTTCAATTTTGGAATCACGCGTATGATTTCAGCCCAAATTGCACTCCACTCAGTTCAATTACCATTATATAACATTCTCTCTCCTTAGAGTCTTACTATTGTTACTACAGAAAAAGACAAAACATAATTTTGTAATGAGGTAAAAGGTCATTTAAATAACTGGCCTGCACTGTTATTTTCTGTCCAGCAAATTGAGTTTGAATAATTATACCTCACAGCATTTACTTTAAGTTCATGATGTTTTATCAGCTATACTGCTTGTCTTCACCGGATTTTGAGACACTTGAATGATGATACTTCACAGCTACAAATACATTGTACAAATAATACTGCATACTCATTCAGCCTCACTACCTGATAAAAATTGGCAAGAGAGAAGTTTTAATGTCACAGTCTTCAATTAATAGTGACTCTACATTTTTCAACATTGTATTCCTTTGCCTTTACTCACCTTCTACTTCATCTCCCTCTGCAACAGGAGCCAATGTCCCAGTGACTTCTGGTGGAATCGGCCTTGGTGTTTGATCAAGCACAACCTCCTCATTGGCAGCCTTCTCAAACGCTTCTTGCCGTGCAATCAATTCAGCTTCCTCTTTCCGTTTCTGTTCTCTAATAAGCTCCTCTTCAGCTTCTTGTCTCTCTTTCTCAAGAGCCTTTTTTTCTTCTAGTTCCTACAAACATAATACACCAAGGAAAAAAAAACAATTTTTCATAGATCCTTATCTACAGGACCAAAAAAATTGGGAACAAGGATCTCAAGTTTACCAGTTAACTTAAAATATCATCACATAGTTGTTCGTATTCCGTATTTGCAACCAAAGCAATGACAAACTTCTTTATACAAACACATGTCGCCAAAACATTTCTTAATTCTTCCCAAACTGAAGTCAATATTTTACACAACGTTTAAGTAATAACTTTCGCCATTTTTTTGTATTACTGAAGGGATTAAAAACGTCCTGTTTCCGTCTGAAACAACTATGACTATTTTCATAGGGTCAAAATATAACAGTAGTAGATACGGACTGTGAAACAATACATAAAACCAAATTTGCCACACATAATACCTTCTTTGCAAACTCTTCATTTTCAACGTATTTTCGTAGCCAGTGAGCTAAATATTCAATGGGATCTACTGGTCTTTTCTCCGCTATTTCAGCTAAACCAGAAGCAAGAGCTTTTCCGACGTGTTTTTTGAGATATTCAGAGTCCATTTTTGACGGCAAAAGCGAGAGAAAGTCCTTGGAACTGCTGAGTTACCGGCAGCAAAGACCTTCTTGTGTCTCTTCGAGGCTTGTAACCACGGTTACGAAGCCCGCTGTACTGATGCAATGCAGGCAATACAAACGCACTGCCTCCAAACATGTATCATGTATGTGTTACCAATGTGTACCAATGCTTTTATTCGTGATTTTTAGATCTTCTCTAAATCTTCCAAGTGAAGACTCAACTTAAGAACACGTTACCAGTGGCGGATCTAGGGGAGGGGCCAGGGGCGCAGAAGGAAGAAAAGCCGGTAGGGCAAGCGACGAAAAACCGCCCCTTCCCCCCATCCCCCCTTAGCTCAAGGACGTCTGGATCTGCCACTGGTTACCATACATTTTTTTTTAAATTTTACATAGTATGATATCCTGATATGATTTATTTTCACAGTTTGAGGAAGTATTTTGACCTGGTCTGATTGCAGCATGTCCTTAGGAAAGAAACTCAAATTTTGCAATGTGCCTCGACATTGAAAAAAATCAATTTGTTTCCGCGAAATTTTCATAATTACCTTTAAATTATCACATATCCTCCTCGTTGGCAATGTGAAAAAAATCCTTCTTTCTTAAGTGAAAACTGCAAGAGTTGGGCCGCGTTGCACGAAAAACACTCGTGCAAACTCTCGTGTCGCGCGCGACGACGTGCACTTGGGACTGAGGGCAGGAAGGAGGCGTCGTCTCAAGATGTGACCAATTAGAGGTTATTTTTTTTTCTAGAAGCATAAACTAGCCAATCACAAATCTTATTATAATCCCATTCATGTGTAAATCGAATATTTCGTCATCCAGAGCAAAACATTGTAAATTCTTCCTAGTTCAGGGTCCAAATAAGAGCATGTTGTGCCGTAGAATTTCGGGTCTTGCCCGAATCGGAGTGCATTCTCTGCCCAGAATTATTCGAAGAAACTACAGAATTCAGTACTCTACAGTTCTAAAAAAATTTTCGCGAAGTTTCTCCAGCGAAACTTCCACTAACAGCGAAATATCGAGCGTTCGCTTGTGGAGCGATGGCGGCGGTGATCATGTTGTTTCGAACCCTTTCGATGATTTAGGTGCTTGGCACGACGCTGAAGCCAAATCCTTTCTTCACAATGTTTCGGTAGACACGGTTGGAAAAAGTACTGCGAAAGGACAACGGGAAGCGAATGAGGACTGTTACAAAATTTTAGAACTAGAACCAGACTTGTATTACTTTGCCGTGTTCGACGGCCATGGTGGATCAGTGGCTGTGGAGTTTGTGAGCGAACATCTTCATGATTGTATAAAGAACTTTTACAGAAGCGATAAAAGTATTGAAAGTGTATTAGTGGAAGCTTTTATTAAGTGTAACAACGATTTGAAGGAATACTGTGAGTGGCTTATTGAAAAAGGTAAGGTACGAAGTAGTTGTAAACAACAGGAATTATGTACGGTACACGCTGAAAACTGATTGGAATTTTACTCACGTCTGACCTGTTACCCTCGTTAAGGCGCCCCATATATTTTGACGGCATGAGCTTAGATATTTTAGTGGTAATTCTCTAGTTTTACTCTGTTCAGTTGTTAGATTGTCATCCGGTTAGAAAGAAAACAGTTCACGTTTTATTCACTTTCGTTGTGTTTAGCACGTGCTCGTATTAGATACTTCTACAACATAATATTGTCTGGATTCGTTGAATGACACTAGTTTCTTCGCCAAAATATTTTATTGTTGAGTGGATTCAAATTTCACCGTTTTCTAGAAGTTTTGCTCACTGGTACCATCAATATTATGGAAGGAAACTTTCTACGTGCGTCACTGCTTCGAAGTTTCGATCTGCATTCGTTTGGCGCGATTTCACCCTTCATTTCAGATAATTTCCGATTGTTTGTATATCCACCGTATTTTGATTAATGTGATTTGAAGAGGGGCACAGTGGGGGCTGTTGATATATTTGCTACGGTACGGCCATTATCGTAGAAAGCATGTTGGTGCTTTGGTTTAGGAGAAACGTTATGTAATTGTTTGTTATGTTTTTGTTCGTTACGCGAACACAGTTTCTCAAGGGAGACATAGTTATTGGATACAGTGATAAGGGTGAAGAAGGTTTACTAGAAGGCAAAATAATGATAACAAATAAACTACTAATGTACTTCTTCCCAGTAACGGCGGGGGATAAGTGCTTTCCAACGTAGCAGCGTGCAGTTGGAAAGCGTTCTGGAAATAAATCTGTCCAACCTCACACTATTCTAAGACAAAGCCTTAGTCCCAAAGGTCGTGTTAGCTATTGTTCCTTTTGTCAAAGACCTTTATGCAGAATGAGGTACGGGGTTATCTGGAAATATTCATCAGCATTTTAATTAAGGTTTGAAGCATTTTTTATCACATAATGTTTCTTTGTGCTTCATCATTTTCCTAAGTTTTTTGTTACAGAGGGATAACTTAGCAGAGACAAAATGTCAATAACTTGCATGGGGTGAGAAGGTGCAGTAGGGATTCGGTGGGGCTGCAGACCCTTGTTCTAGGGTAGCATGAAAATTGTCTGGACAAATTTTCAGTCTCTTGATCTTTTAACAAATCCTCGAGCAACTTTAGGACTTCTCTATTGTAGTTAACACAAAGGCAGGTGCTCAGACAGATACTCACGAAATCTAAAATTTGGTAATTTTAATTTTTGAGTATGCATATTTTCCACTAAATCTGTCAACCCATTTACTCACTAGATCCTTTACGTAATTCTCCTTATTATATACCATATAATTCTTATGTTAGTGTGGAGAATTTGGTTTTGGATCAACTGATTATTGATTTTTTTTTTGTTTCATCACTAGTTTGCTTGACATTGTATTGATACTGTAAAGAGAAATTCTATCTTGGTCACTCATGGAAGTGAAAGGGTTTTTGGCTGAGGAGCTTTGAAATATATTCATGTGGTTCTGTTGTAGGTCATGAGAGGAACATATTGCACTGTGGTACTACAGCAACTGTAGCTCTCTTACAAAATGGTACAGATCTTACAGTAGCTAGTGTTGGAGACAGTAGTGCATTAATGTGCCGACTGGGTGAAGCAGTCTCAATGACAATTGCACATCACCCATCCAGAGAAGATGAGCAGCAAAGAATAAAGGTGTTCAATGGATGGATTGATTGGGGATTAAATTCTCCGAAGGTTAATGGAAAGCTTGCAATGACTCGCTCAGTTGGTGACTTTCATCTGAAGCCCTATGGAGTCATTGCCATCCCTGAAATACAACAATTTAAACTGGATCTCAACACAGATTCTTTCATTGTTTTGCATACTGATGGTGTCTCACATGTTATGTCAGATGAGGAGATTACTCACCTTGTGCAGACTTGCCCTGATGCTGAACATGCTGCTAATATTCTGACACATTGTGCAATACAATATGGTTCAGAGGACAATATGACTGCGATAGTAATTCCTCTGAGACTCTGGACCAAAAAACCCAAACAGAAGGTTTCAAAAGAGCACAGCTTATTGAAAAACATGAGAATTAATTATATCTAAATATTCTTGTGCTAAATTCTAGTGCTGTCTCCTTTGCTTGGACCATGCTGGAAGATAGGAGAAGAATTGAATTCATCGGTGAAAATGTTTGTCATGTTATCTAGCATACACGTATGTTGAATATTACATTCTGCCATTATAGAAGGATTTTTAGCAAGTTGACCCAATTTGATCAGTAAGCAGGATTCTTCATGAATCCTTCCAAACATGTCATGTGAATAACTTCCCACATTGCATGTAATAAGCATTTCTTGAATTTTCAGAATAATTTTACATTCTCTGAAATTGATTTTATAATCAGACAGCTGTGCAAGATTCCACATAGTCTCTTGATTTGAACATTCATCGATGTCTAGAACTGTGAGTGAGTACAGTGGAATCCACTACTTTTCTCATCATCCAATGACCTTTACGTAGTAGAAGATGTTCAGGAACAGTAATTCCTGCCTGTCCAACTAGCACATTTTTTATGAGGCTATTTGTTTACAACCATTGTTTTAAATTATTACTGTTTGCAACTCATATTTTTGTTATTTATGTAAATAATATTAAGGATATTTCAATCTACAAGAGCACACCATGTGCTTGAGTCCTTTTGAGATGGTTGTTAAAATCATCCTGCAATATAACATAGTCTCTGTAAATTTTATGATGTTTTTTGCCTCAGCTATTCGAAGGGGCAAATGAAACAATTCATGGAGGAAATGAGTAAATCACTATGAAGGTGTACCATATTTCCTCACACAAGCGCCTGAACACTTACCTGAAATTGTTGCTTAAAGGAAGGGCGCTTATTGGAAGGAAGGTGCTTGTTATTCTCCTATACTGATTCTGTTGTAGATGAAGCTTGAAAATTTATAAATAAAATAGCAATGGAAACAGGATATTCTTGTATCAGTACTGTTAGGAAAGTGAGGGACGATTGTGGGTGGCACTTATTCGAGAGGGGTGCTTGTTTAACATTATGGCCAAGGGGGTGGGAGCTTACTAGAGCATGGGTGCTTATTTGAGGAAATAAAAGGAATAAAGTTATGCCATGCCTCCTGATAGTGATTTAATTTTGTGAATTTTGTTAATATTCTTTCTCCAAGAAACTAGGACATGTGTTGGAAGATATTTCCATACAGTCTCAGGCGGTACTTAAGACCTCGGTCACATTTTTTCCCGATACGGACCTCCGGCTGGCGAATAACATATAAATCTGTCTGCACTCCTGAAAGAATTATTATAAATCCCTTCGCCTCTTTTGGCAGAACCTATATTATCGCTCAAACATATTTTTCAGAGCGAGGAAGATTTAATTTTGACTGATCTTATACATGAAGAATTTAGTGTTTGACTGAATGAATTTTACTGATTACAAGGAACTTTCTTCACGTTTTCAAAAAAATTTTAAGTTTCCGGATGTTCGCGTCGAATCTCTGATTTAAAGTATTTAAAATTTGTTTTGTTAAATGACAGGGGTTGCGGTGCCCTCTAACATCTTTTAAGATGTGCTAACAGATAATGGCTGAAACAGTCAAAGCTTTTATCAATGCATCAAAATGTGATAAAAAACACTATCCAGGTGTAATTTAGTATTATCAACTAAATTAATAACATAAATTGGCCACCGTATAGAGTTTCAAAGCTGACGTTTCGAGCCTTAGCCCGTCGTTGCCAATCACTCTGACAAAGGGCTAACGTTCGAAATATCAGCTTTTAAACTCTTTACGGTGGCCAATTTACCTTACAAACTCAGGTGATATTACTAAATTACCTTGGTATACTTTCTCACCGACGCAGCATTACAGTTTCTTTAGAAACTTACCCCTTTATCAAGGTGTAAATTTGGCTTCTAACTTGATTACTCGATCGGTACTAGTACTCTCGATACGAACCGTTTATCGGGGCGAAAGAAGTAGAAAATTTTAAGTATCAGGGATATCACTTGCTGGTAAGGCAGTTATCTCCAATAGTCAAAACCAGAAACTCTTAAAAGACGTACTTATGAAAACTAAGTATGTTGAGGTATCACGTACATGTTTTAATTAAAACTCTACCAAAGCCCTCATCTGTACAGCAAAGTTTTGTATAATCTGTGAGATATGCCTAATGGTACCATTAAATGAACAATATGCCCATACAATCATGGGCTGAGGATGATGAGATATTCTGATACTAAGAGCTGAATATGAAGCAAGATACAGTGCCTCACTCGAGCCAAGAAGCTTACAGCGCCCAGATCTTATGACCTCGAACTGACAAAGAATGGTAGCCTAGCGCAGGCAAAATATATACAGGAATATATGTTGATTTTATAAAAAGCCAATGATCACATGATTGCAAGAAACAGAACTGAGCCCCAGAAAAGTCTTAATTCTCCCAAATTGTTCGCCAACAATCGGTCCACCATCTTTCGTGCATAAGAGATACATGCCTTCTCCAGATTTCTTAGGCCGCGGCGTTACGCCACAAAATTTGCATATCAAATCCCCCTTCACTCGTTCCTATGCTTCGCATTTGCACGAGTTAAGAGGCAGTAGATTTTATGCAATGCATTCTTCAATCTTATTTCTTAGTCTTCATTTGATCTTATTTCAGGGGCTTAGAATGACGCTTCATCTTGTTCTATGTTTTTCTACAACTGCTATGTGCATCATTTCTGCAAAACAAGAGCTAGAGGTCGATGGCCCGGAAAGACGGTAAACTTGGTCTAATGGCCTCAAATTAAAAAGCTCGTGATTCAAAGAAGAGACTTGTTCTTCTGTCAAGGAGAAATTAGAGATTAAAACCATTTGTGTAGGATCAAGTCCGAATGTATGTTAACGCGGCCATGCACAGTCGGTCTTTTCATAATCAGGGACTTTGTTTCATATTTCCTCTCGACAAGTTGGTTAAAAACAATGAAATTTTCTTCTCACCAAGACAATATCAGACCGCATGCCGCTTTCATCCTCACGAACGGCAAATCACTGACCATAACAATCCCAACCTTCCGGACGTCAGACACAGTTCAATCTATGCTGAAGTCTTCCTTACCTGCAAGAAAATTCGACGGCCGGTGCCGACGTAGTGGGAGTATTATCTCCCCCGTTCCAATTCTTTTTCCCAGTTCTACATCTGTTTGCGGCCAAAGTTCTTTTGCTTCTCGGCTTAGCTGTAAATACATAATCGAGGTCAAAACCTCCATCTGGAAATAGAGGGATGCAGAACCAATTTTCGGACCCGGTGGAGTGACGTATGGATGGAGAAGGGCACGAGTCTTGTTTCAGGTAATTTGTCACAAGTGGCGAGTGACAAGTTCCAGTCAAATGAGTAATCAGGACGTGTGTCCATTCTTTAACATAACCCGAATTTGGTTGATAAACTTTTCCTGGACAACGAACCTCAAGGCAAACTATGGAAGCATTGTCATTAACGTTCTCGGTCATGGCAACAGAATCACCAAATTTGTTAGCCTTGTCCGTTGAATTTGCCCTATAGCTGGCAGCTAAGAAAATAAATCTCTTATTGCTATTTATCAATATTTTAATAAAACAATTGAAATTTGTCCCCATTGGGTACCAGCTGAGTGGATTTTCTTTCTCTGGTTTCTCAGGACGTTCACTTATCAAGTTGAGATTAGCGACCTGATTGGAATCTTTAAATTCAAATTGCCTGTGTCTATTAACCAAGTCTGGCGCCCGACAGTTTTCGAGACCTTTATCACCATGAGGATACACCGGGCCATGACTGTGTGTGCTGATTTGAAAGTTGAACGATCTGACCGAGGGTGAATTATCAACCGCCTTTAGCTGACTTGAGACAATAGAGGCGTTCACGGAAACTGGAAAAGAATCTGGCATTTGGGGTACTAAAAAGCGAGCATCGTGTCCTTCCCCTTGCATAAAACAGTTTCTATTGATCCACACAGATATACAAGTTACTCCAGAACCAGCAACCGTTTCTTCCAAGTATCCAGCGTAACTATTTGACGGGCTGGGCTCTTTACAAAGGACTCTTACGGTGGAACTCTCTGGAGCAGACACCCGAACTGCTCCAAAATTTTCCTTCACGTCGATATTCAGGGATCCTTGCCTCTGTATAACTGGTGTAATTTCAGTTACCAAAAATCGAGTAGGACTTCTGCGTTTTCTTCCGCCTTGTTTCGTTTCCGTCCATAAAGGGCCCGCTTCAATCCATCTTCCTGTCGCCTCATCCAACCACCAAAGTTTTGTCGTAGTGTTTCCATTGCTGTCAACTGAAATGTTAAGTTTTTCGGGACTTAAGAACATTTTTATGGATTTTGATGTTGATAGTTTATTCCCTCTTTCATCTTCAAAGTTGAGAGTAATCATTCCGTAAGTGACTAACATTTGTTCTTCCCCATCCTCGTTAATGGTAGAAAAGTCACCAGGAGCAGTTACAATGTCGGAAATATTACGGGGATCCAGTAAACTCAATCTGAGGTTAGCTGGTCCAGAATAAGCGGTTCCATCCTCATTCAACAAGGCATTGTTGGGTATTTTAATCTCTCCAAAACCCGAATAACCTCCTTCACCTCCAAGCGGGACATCAAAGGGCTCTGAAGAATTAAATGGTTTCGGTGATGGTTTCAATCTTAAAACAATTTTGGAATACAAGGTCTGTCCTTTCTTGACGCGAAATACCTTCGTAAAGTCGGCAAATTTTTCATCAAAGGTATCCATGAATACTGCTATTATTCGCACTCGGTCATCAGATACCTCCATACTAAAAAGCCCTTTGTCATCGGCGTTATAGAAGTCTCCTCCAATCTTCACCTCACAGTAAGAAACCGGTTTTTCAACTCTACCGTCTAGACCAACTACGAAACCAGTTATGCGTGTTTTGGGTTCAGCACATGCTTGACAGCCACACTTAGCGACCTTGGATATATTAAAAGTTGCAGCACCACCGCAAGTTATGGTAACGTCCTCTACCTCCTCTACTGCGCAACAAAACTTTTCATCCTGACATGCTGTCTTTAACTGAGTGGAATCATTCCGAAGGCATGGCTTTGGGGAACATTGTCCGACGTCGACTGTGTTATTTGTTGTACCTTGCATTACGCAGCCAGGGGGGAGTGTGGCGAATTTGCTCTTGGGAGTCGGGTTACATGAAGCGTCGTTGCTTGTATCTACAATTCAATGGAAAGGGAAGGTTCTGAACGAAAGGAAAATTTTTTTCATTTTTGTTTTCTATGATACAACTGAACCAGAGCATACAATTATTATCCAACTGCACAAAGTAGAGTACAAATAATGCGCGAATAGAGTACAAATATCCTACAATATTGTACGGTTATTTGGACAGTTGGTCATTTTGTACTGTAAAAAAAACTTGTGTAACTAGTTGGCTGCGCGCGCTACGCTTCTCTTTCCGCTTTGCTTTTCCCGCCTTAGGAGAAATAAGCAGAAAGAATTTGCAGGAAAAAAAGCAATTGGATAATAAATAACTTATTAAACGTTTTGGTGTGTAGCATCGCTAAGTATTTGTACTCGTTGTTTGTATTTTGACTCGCCTAACGGGCTTGTCTAGATACGGCCTAATGTCATAATGAAAATGTATGTATTCAAATCACCAGTGTCTCCTACAGTCTGTCTTACAGTTGGCACTGTATGCGGATGATACTGTCGTTACTGTTAATTGATCGATGGACTAGCATCCAGACGCTTATAAGCTGACTGCATGACATCGTTTATATAACTTATATCATACTCACTGAACACTTGTAAATAAGCAACTTCAGATAATTCCGACCCAAAGTCATTCACGACTCGACATCGATATCTTCCCTTGAGACCGCTAACATTAGATATTTCAAGGGTCCTGTTGTAATTAAGCTCCTCTATATCGATGATGTTGTTATCTTTAAACCTAAAAGGGGAAACAAAATATTTGTGAGCTAGAAAGCAAAATAAAGTGTAATAAATCTGCATACATTTTACAGACAAGTAGCTTAACGACCGCTCTTTACTGTTCACATTTTAATATGCCTTCAGGAGACAAAAACTCGTTCATGTATACAGTTGCTCTTTTCATGATCGGTCAGATAGAAAATCAATTAAATGCAAAAGTCAGCAATAGAGGAAGCAGTCATGGACGGCTGTTTCAACCTTATTAGGCTTTGGTTCCCTCAGGGAAAGACATAAAAAGACAAAATGTAGTACTCATAGGGGATGTGACTATATGATAAACCCACGAGCCATTCACTTTTTTACCCCTATATTTTACCTTTTTCCTTTTTTGTAGAGCAGTAGCTTTTATGAGTACTTTTGACTCCACTATACACGTTTGTGGCTGTAAAATTTTCTGTACCATATGCATTTTTACCATTTCAGAATGTATGTTGCATTCATAACCAAATTGAACAAAAGTGTTGCTTACTAGATTCTCACTCTAGATGATCAACACGAAGAATTTTTGTGTCCTGTCTGCTCTTAATTAGGCCCTATTCGCATACCAAACTCGTTCTTGGACACACCTGGTCCTTTACAAGGTTAATTTTTGAGGTGAACTGCCGGTTAGGATTTAGTTCCAACTGACTTAGGTTTCGCATGGCATTCATCACTGAGCTTGGACTATGCTAGAACTACAAAGTAAACTTTAAACTAACCATTCAAATTTTGGTTCAGGGTTTCCCTCTCCATCACAGCAAAACGTTACACCATGACCAGAAACTCTCATCTTACTTTGAGGTTGGACAGTTATGGTTGGTGGAACTGTAACGTTAAATAAAATGTTAATCAACTCATTTGTTGTATTTTTTTGCCTTCACAGGCCGTTTGTAGCATCTTATTTTACGAAATTACTTTTGGCCGAGAGGAAAGGGAAGCTCCCTCCGCCGGAGATATTCAGACCGAGATGTAATTTACATATACAGTTTTCAGAGCTTTATTCATAACCCTCATAGATTTTGTTCGTCCCATGTCAGCAATTATTAACCAAAAACACGTAATATGGTCTGCCTGTGGTTTAACTGATCCTCACGTCAGTAAAAATAGATGACATTATAAAATAAACATTTTAAGGATTACGCCTAAGAATATGTGCTTTTGGTCTGATTTTCTTTCTCATGTCATGACAGCGTGTGATCTTAAATGTTGTCACGTATGTCACTTTAATACTCTTTTTGCTTTTAAACTGATACCTTTTTTTGGCTATAGATCACCCTTTAAAAGTATTTAAAATCGCTCATATCGCTGATAAAACAATATATCTCATGAATGCCAAACGACTGATTCTACTCCTTTTTTCAGCGTTTTATATGTAATTCTTGCTTTCTTCAATTTCCTTTGGGTTCTACACAGTTGCCGATTTCACGTCAGACTGATAAAGTATGGCCTTTCATAAAAATAATGTAACAGCAGAAAACCACACTGGGTTTGAGTATGCGATTAATTAAGGGAGAAAGAATCAGAACCATTCGCCAACTAAACGGTGTTGAGCAACCTGGAAGTGATCAAGTATCAAACGAACAAACTGTCAGGTAGGTGATGCACTTTGTCAATATAGTTTCTTGAATTTGGTACCGAATGGCGGTGTGCATGTATTGTTTCAAAATGACGCTTCTGGACAATTCACACCGGCAATTCCTGGAACTGAAACTAATTAATGTTTTTTTTTTCATCATTTAATTTGGAAAAACGCCGAAAAAAAACACTCCTGCAACAACCTCTGATACACTCATTTCAGTCGAGTACCAAATGCATATTAACATCTCTGCGAACCGTACTCGTCTTTGCTTTTCTTAGAAACAAAGACACTGGCTACCTGCTTTCTCGAGTTTGGCTTTAACATTTGTTGTTGTAGATGTGGTCACGGTTGGTTTAATCTTCATTGGTACAAAACCGTCTTTGGAAATGAGCACCTCCTGATTGGCATCGGCACAAACATTATAAGCTGTGAAGAAACCTGCGGCATTTGTCTGCGCCAAGACTCTATATGGTGTCTCCGCTAACGAGATTTTGGCTTCTGACAGAGGTGCATTTTTCTTGGTCTGAACTCTACCGCTAAGCACGTGACTTCCACATGTGCAGGCATCACAGTTATCGTTCAGTGTTCCCTTAACGCAAACCTTGCCGCAATCTGGCAAATAAGAGATAACTTAATCAGTGCGTTAACTTAAACAGTCAGAAATCGTGATTTATACATTATAATCATACTGGTGTTTTCTATCTCAGTGTACACTTAGGTTATTGTATTAAAATGTATTAAACCGGTGCAATAGCTGGAAAGGCAGTCCGGATGACACGACTAATAGTTGTTTACTGCAGCTCGCTGTCGTGGTTACGACGCGCTATCAGCTTTAGCTCCGCATGAAAACTGGGTTCAGTCTCCAGCTGTGGGTGTCTTCATACGGCTATGATCCTCTCCTAGAAATGCGGATAAGAAACCGAGAGGAGAGAAGACCAAATTGAATACTGTTCATTTTTTCAATTTCTAGTTCAGGACTCAAGCACGAGCACCGAAACATTCATCTTTCGCGACAAGCACACGCGCAATATAACTAGGTGCCTACGTTCACTACCTGGACAGTTCCAATCGGCACAAGTTTGGTTCTGTTGATCCTTCCCGACACAAGAATTGACAAGCTGATTTTGGGGTGAAACACAGTTCCTTTTACGGTGACGTGTCCCGTTACCACAGCTCTTACTGCATTCACTCCAAATACTCCAACGAGACCATTTGGCTTCTGAAAATTAAAAGACTTTGTGAAACTTGTTATGCTGGGCTCTCTTTCACTTCATTCATCCTGACCCATCCCCCCTATAATTGTGTCGTCAATCATTGTTTATATAAGGTCGCGGGGTCGCAAGGTTCCAGCGCAACCGTTAATAGAATAAGACGAGGGAAAGGAATAATAGAGGGTGGGAGTCCCCATCTTTTTCCCTCTCCATTTTCTACCAAGCATATATCTCGTGCATCTCTCTCCCAGAGTGGGACAATTGGGATTAGCAGATTCCAATGTTTATTTAGAATCATCTAATTCCTAACAACATGTTACTGTTTTCAGTTACCTGCGTTTGGAACTAATTGTGCTAAAGACGAGAGAAAGGCCGTTGCTATGGTATTCGAGGACAAAACCGTTCTTCCACTTAATATTGTGCTCGCATTAGAGACGTCGTTGCTCGGTAATGAGACCAGGGAGGTAGATGTCATCTTGAGATGTGGTGTCGTCGTCTCGTGAAAAGGTGGAGGGGTATGATAAGCGACCGCAGAGGATTTCGTTGCCGTAAGACTACTTTCGACGATCATAGCCTCTGCAAAAATGAAATAAATGTAGTGTGTCAGTATATGCTCAAATTTCTTACCTTTTCTAACTTCTGTGGCGACAACTTCTACAAGATGATCGAAGGTTTCTTTAGGAGGATTAAAAATGATATTTTCGTTTGTGTCCGATCACCTTCAACTTCCGGTCACACGAGCTAGAACTAGAACGAAGATATGTGGATCATGTTTCCTTTTTCTCTCTTTCCTTTGTTTTAAAATAATAATGAATACAGTTATAATCATTCAAATGCTAAATTTGGTAGCACACAAGGTACACACGGATGTTTGTTTGCTCTGTCTTCCTTCGGATGAAAAGCGAAAAGCTCGAATTATTATTAATGCAAGTGTTCCTTTGAGAAGAAACCAGTGCAATTAAATTAGCCTCTTATGACTACGCAACTTTAGGCAGTACACTGTCAGTCTTCAGTCTCAGGCCTCGAACTAGTAGAAATATGTTTAACTGAGAAGGTACTAAGATTGCGGATAAACTTCAATGGATGAGAAACGCCGAAAAGCCATGAAAAGACATCTGCGCTGAAATGGGCGCGAAATATTCAAAGCCATTGTCCTCGGGTTGCCAGACTCTCAAAACATTGGTCTGATTCCAACATATGTGATGAAATGTAGCTCTAATTAATACTTAAGAAAGCTTCTTTGTTTGTTTTTGGCAAGAGCGATAATCTACTCGGTGGAATAGAAGGCTCACCTGTAATCTTCACTGAATTAACTTACGTTGTGAGTAATTAACTTAATGTTACCCCAATGATAATTAAATCCGAGTTAGCTGACCTGGAGTAATATGACCTAGTAGTATTCAGTCATGCAAACAGAAAGGTGTTTATCAAATGCAAACAAAAGCAAAGCTAGTTCACAACTTCCTTACTGACAAATTTCGATTACTTATGGTTTACACAGATGCTCATTTTGACCGACTTTCTTGCATCATGTTTAGCACCGCGCTATAATTGACTCATTGCCAATTCAATGATCAGCCCTCAGAGCTCGGATGGCATAGACCTCTAATTCCTATTGAAATCGCGGCTGAGGTTAACACATGTATATAAAGACGATTCAGTTCAATGCAATTGATTCTAACGTAATTTAGTGTTAACAACTGAGTTGAAAACGTAAATTGGACACCGTTTAGTGTTTAAAACCCTGACGTTTCGAGCGTTAGCCCTATTTGTGAATTCCACGACCAATGGGAACCTTTCGATCAGTACACGCCTGTAGATATTCTGCTTACCCACACTCGAGGTTCGAATGCTCTCCGTTTCTTTGTCTTCTTCTACAGTTCCCTTGTCGGACAAACTGTTCTCAGCTATAAATCAGTAAGGAAAATGAGGCACTATGAGTTTGAAGACTAAAACGAAAGTCCCAATTTAATCATATACTCAGAAAGACCCTAGCAATTTAACTTTCAATCACAAAATGTTTCGAAACTCTGCTGCCAGACGTATACAAGATGAAATTCGCAAACATGTAGTCGCTCGGTTATTGGTGTTGAATTCGGACACTCACTTTTGAATTTATCATGAAGCAAATTAAGTGAGTACTTACTTATGTTTTTGCCATTGTCTCTATCATTGTCGTAGCTCGAGACGAATGTTCCAATAAGCACTGCTGCAACGATAAAAACCACTATAATAACAGCAATAATTATAACCACCCTTCGTCGGGGTCTTGAGGGGAACTTTACTTTCACCAGACCGCGAAGAGAGTGCTTCTCGTCAATTCTTTCTTCTTGGCGTTCTCTGGTGTCTTCGATTTCCAATGGAATCATTCGTTTTTCACCAGAAGCCATCTCAAATTTCCTTGGATAGGATTTCAAGTTAAATGATCTCTGCGTTGCTAAAGCGATTCGATGCAAATCACGACTGCGTATCTCAGCTGATATTTTATATTAAAAGGAAGTGGAATGCAGGAAGTTAACCAGTGACGATTGCTGAAAGCTGACGACGCAAGTATTCCTCATTGGAATGTTTACATTGCTCTAATTTGTTTGGATTTGACACAAGTTGACAAGCGTTCAATAGGAGTGCCTTGAATTGACCACTATTCCCATGGAAGAAATAAATGAATTGGAGGAGTTTCCTTGGGAGCTGGTTTTGCACACTTAAAGTACCGTACTTCAATAAAGAAAAAAAATCCACTAAAACTCCAGTTATTCTATTTAATTTGCATCCTAGTTTGGACAACTCCTTTCATCATAGTTTGCTTTCGGCTCCCTTAAGAATGCACCCCCTGTAGATTTACGTTTAGATATCATGAGATGTAGCTGGGGGCGTTTCATCGACTTGCTTTGAAATCCACTTTTGATATACCGAATGGTGGCGAAGCTGGGAAGCTTCTGCTTTTGCCCCGATAGGTCACGCGCTCAAGCTTAATAGAAAGCCCTCCAAAATTAAATTGAAAAACAAACAAACAAAACAAGATAAAACAAAAGAAAAAATGGGACGAGTAGTCTGAGAAAGCAGACACTCTTTTTGCCAAATTGGAGTGGCTCTGGTGTTCTTGGAATATAACTAATTTTTTCAGTTGATGAAATTGTAGGCAACTTGTTTAATTGTTAATCATGGATAGGCTGTCTCACTTCCAGTACAGAAATTACGTATCATTTTGATTCAACAACATTCGGCTTTGTTCTGTTGTATATTGTTTATAATTTGAGGTTCGTTAGATTACTTGTATTATGTAGAGGGTCAGAATAATGTTCCTGTGATCATCATTAATGGGTTTCTTTAACTTTTTATTTAATTATTTCGGTCAGTTTTTCGGAACCGGTCGAAAAAGGCAGTCAGGCAGGACATGTTGCATTTTTCTCCAGAATTGCCAAATCTTCATCATGCTGCGAAATGAAACATTGAAATCAAAAGGTAGCAATTGTCACAAGAATGTCAAGATGCTTCTTCCCGTCAAATTTCTTCTGTTTTTATCCTTATTTGGAACTAGGACACTGGTGGAAAGTTAGGACTGCAAAGATTGATCTATCAAATGCGAATAAACTCCGACAGTCATTATCGTGATGAATGATATTTGGCCCAGGGGGTATTTTTATTGTGTGATAAAAATTAGTAGTAGTCTATCATTGGAAGATTTGATGTCATTCAGAAAATCCAGGCTGAATGCACATTAGTAGTGCATGGCAACAGATTTGATTTTGTAAGAGAAAACACGATGATATGGAGCATTGGCGGGAAGCTCAGATAGGAGGGTGATTCGTTTTTTCCTCGCTCGGTTTTTCCGTCTAGCTTTGCAAGTTCTCTTGGTTCTCTTGCGCGGTTGCGCTGCTGAACTGAGAAAATTGACTGTGAAAATTTCCCCAAACTCTCATGAGATTTTCGAATGTATAAATTCTGGAATTTTCGAACGGCAGAATCTCTTGAAGGCACTTACGTTTTCTCAAGGAAAAAATTGACTGATGGCCAACGCAGGCTGAGGCACGAACTCTTTGTCCTGGTTATTCGCATCGCACAATGGATAAAATATTTTTTGTGCAGGTTTTTGCTTCGTCCTTTAATTCTCCCAAAATTCATTGATATTATCATTTTTTTCACTTTTATTAGTACAGGAGCCTGAGTAATGGGGTCCTTATTAGTATCATTGTTGCCTTAGTAGCCATTATTTTCTCATTTTTTTTATAACGAAATCTTTTTTATTTTGAGTCCTTGATTAATAGCGGCCGAATGTCTTAGAACTCAGATAGAAAACAACGGTACACAATACAGCGCTCGTGCATTTTTTGATCTCTGCGCCTTATGAAAATAATGAAGTATTTCGCAAACTTATCAAAGCTATAGAAATTAACATAATCTACATTGTTTCGTCAGATATCCATTGAACGTTAATTCTCCTTATTTAGAACTTAGAGTCAAGCGCGAAAATAGCAGTTCGTGATTGGTTGTTGTTCAAAAGCTGGTCTCTGATTGGCTCTTCTACTTTCAAATTGACGGGCAAAATTTTGGCGCTCTGCAGTAGTCGTTTGTTAGCGCGTCACATAATCTTGAAGAACCGATATGGTAAGTCGTGAGCGGTTTGAATCCGTTTCCATCCGCTTTTTGCGAAAAACTTTCGGTCTATTTTATGAGCCAAAATGTGCATCATTTCTTGAAGTTTAAACTTAAAGAAGATTTCTGCGAACACTGTCTCTTGCGAGTCATATTTTTCACTGCAAATCTTTCCCTATTCGACTTTCAGGCTGGTGGAAAAGCAGGAAAAGATTCCAAGGCAAAGGCCAAGGCAGTTTCTCGTTCAGCAAGGGCCGGACTTCAGGTAAGTAGTCGTTTTCAAAGAGAGAAAATGCTGCAAGGTTTTTGCTGGAACCCTAAATGTGTTCCCTTGGCTTGTACCTTACGCTCTTCGTTTTGCACAGTTCCCTGTAGGTCGTATTCACAGACATTTGAAGAACCGAACGACTAGTCATGGACGTGTCGGAGCAACAGCCGCCGTTTACAGTGCCGCTATTCTGGAGTATTTAACGGCAGAGGTGAGATAGCACATTAGCTCTACTGTTAAGAAAAATTATTCGCTCATTTGAGGGCCAACAGCGCTCTTTCAGTTGTCGAAATAGTCTCGGAAGCGAAAGCCAGTGTTACATTTGGGCGGTTGTATGTTGTGAATATTGATTTGAGGCATAATAATCCTCATCCTTAAACTGCTCGATTTCTTCATTATTTGCTTCGTTTCTCTGTGTGGTCCGGATAATTCCAGTCCAATTTCATTGCTGTGCGACTGAGTCGTGAATATTTGAAGGAAGAAAGCAGTCAAATGAACTGTTGTTACGCTAGTAACGACAGTTCCCGCCGTATTTGAATTATACAATGAATGAAAATATAGCTTGATCGGAAGATTTCAAGCGTAATTCCACGCTTCTTTTCGCTTTCAAGTGCTCTAATGTAGCAACTGCTCGAAATGTTTGAACAAATGATAAAATTTTGCTCAAATGTAGAAAATTTCTTTGCTGATTTTGCGTGTGCTGTCTTCGTGATTTTTTAACATGACAAAGCAATATTTTTGCAAAGAATCTTTCGATTTTGCATCGAGTTTACATGTGACAAGTGCCTGATTTCAACCGATCTTTGTATATTAGGTCCTTGAGTTGGCTGGAAATGCTTCTAAGGATTTAAAAGTGAAACGTATCACTCCCCGCCATCTTCAACTTGCCATTCGCGGAGACGAAGAACTCGACTCTCTAATCAAAGCAACCATCGCCGGTGGAGGTAAGCTAACTTGTTTTCTAATGCATGCTGTACATAAATTAACTCTTCAGGCAGTATTCTCTTGTTCCAGTTGGCGAACATCGACTAGTTGATGTTGCAGCTACATTTACTGCAACGGTTTTACTTCCTACAGGAAACAATGAATCTAAGTTCATCAAATTTGCTTGTCTTGAGTTCTTTTGTATCTCTCTGATTTTTTTTTGGTGAAAACTTGATTTCTTCCCTTACAACTTCATTTTACGTGCTTAAAACTGATATTTGATTTTGGATTATACTGTAAGATTTACAACAGAATATGCAAAAATTTCCTTAAGACTTTCAACCACAATTTGCATTGGAAGGTGCTTCCAAGAAATGGACAAAAGAATCTTTTCACTCGGGAGTGAAACAGTGTGGTACATAGCAGGCTGTTTTTTTCGCATAAGAATTTGTTTTCTAGGTGGAGTTGGTGGAGGATTACTCACCATGACTGCGTGGTATATGTAGAAAATTGCTATGTTTATAAACATTTGTACTGAATCCTGTAGAAGACCTGGAAATCTTAAGTATAGGCCAGGGTTTTAGCTTTCCCAAAGAAACTTTCTTGTTACTGCATTAAAAGTTGAACTAAATAGTAAATTGTTTTTTAAAGTTTTGTTTTCTCTTGTTTGCAGGTGTTATCCCTCACATTCACAAGAGTTTAATTGGCAAGAAGGGTGCCAACAAACCAACATAAGTTTAATTTCTCAGTTTCTTTTTACTCCATATTCTCTGTACAGTTTCATTGGAACCATAACATTGCCTATACACTTCGTTGCAAAGTAAAGCTCTGCCTACATCTCAACTATTAACCATTAAAAGGATGTTACGCTTTGTTTGTATTTATATGCTCAATGTACAATTGTGTAATCGTGAGTTTGAATAAATCACTCTTCACTTTTTAACCAGTGGCAAGCTTTTCTAAGTTCAACCTGTAGTTTTTTGAGTGTTTTTGTATCATTTTTCTGATGTGTGCTTTTCTAGTGAAGAGAAACATTGTAAAAGCTGGTTCTCATACTAAGTATGAGTTTGTTGGTAGGAGTTGCATGACCAGCCTCTTTCTACAGATACTGAGATAATCCAGTCCTTTTACATCAATAAAGTTGAATTTCTCGACATGTGGTACTTTAATTTCACTTAGCAAAACATCAATAAATGTAGTTGTGAACTGTTATTCTCTTGTGATTTGATTGGATATTACATCTTGTGGAATGATACTTAATGGGGGGAAGGTATTCAGTAGTTATTAACATGTAACTTCTCCCTGTAATATCCTCACCTTTCCAACAAGCAGGTCATAACTCAAACTTATCAGTTCAAAGTTATTCTAATCTAACATGAAATTCTTGTAACTAATTTGCAAAGAAATGTTGAGCAGCAAGAGGGGTGAATCAACAATCAGATCTTGGGAGTTAAAGAGTTGAACCCCTAAAAGAGTGACTGGCATCTAATTTCTCCTTACTGCATCACCTACAAATTAGACATTAATCTCTTGATTGTAGAATAAATTCTCCTTTTCAGCAACTTTGGAAATGCGTAGAGAACATTTTGGAGAATGTGCATACTAATGTTAGGGTGTAAAGGGTTAGAAGTCTCACTTCAAAACAGCCCTGTCTGCCCTCTTCTGCTTAAGCTTGGGACATGAATTACAAGCTACTCATTCATTTTTAACACATCTGTTTTGGTAACGCAGGTGATAGTTACAACCTAGTTTATTCACAAGTCTCTGTGCCTGTGAGAAAGCAACACTGGAATGAAACATTCTATCAAATTTTTAGCCTTATTCAAACAATCAAGTTGCAGGGAAATGAAGGCAAAGAAGCCATTGTGTGGTGAATTTTGTCCCCAAATCTAAATAACTATAGTATTTAGGCCATTTAATTTGCAATTTTAAAGTTGACATGATAATTAAAGTGGTAATACTGGACTTATTGTGCAAATGTGGTGTGAATCAAACTTATGATTTCAAATCCTTGATGACCTGTATTGAAACAACAAAGATTATATCAAGAAAGGCCTAAAGCATACAACCAAAATGAAAAATGGTAATGATGGTGTCTGCCATTGTAAGAGAGGTCTTGAGAAGGAGAAAAGAAAGGGAGGGGGTTGGAGATGTGTGTTGTTATTCATTTGGGCTAGGACAGTGTTCGAATGCAAAGTATACTAAAAGCCTGTATAATTTTCTATCAGATATATTATTTATTCTTAACCAAAGCAATGTATTCTGTGTTTTGTATTCTGGTTGTCAGGGAAATAACTTGCTGACAACTTCCGTTATCTGCGCACCCACCTTTTTACTCATAACGTTACGATGACCTCTATTCAAAGGGTGCTAGCTATAGAGCAGGAGAAGCGTCTCTTGAAAAGAAGTGCTGACAAACTGTTTGTTGGGGTCAAAATTTATCCCTGTTCTCAGGATAATTTTCTCCTGTGACACTTATAGTGTTAGTGCGCCTGACAGAATAAGTAATAATACGGGGGCGGGAACAGCTTTCCTTTCTCGTAACAGCAGCTGGAACTATTACCACCTTTCAGTTTGTTTAACACGAGTCACAATTAAAATTGTTGACTCTCTATTTCGGACTATTTTTATTTTACAATAAGTAAGTCTTAGCCGAGAGGATTGCATGACAATACTCTTCACAATTTCCCCTGCCTTGACGCTTGAGAGAGCTTGCCGCAAACCGTTGACTTCGACAATAGGACACTTCGGTGCATTCAGCCTGGATTTTCTGAATGACATCAAATCTTCCAATGATAGATTCAGTAAAATTACATTCTCAAGGGCAATTTTCAGTTTCCAGTCAATATCTGTTTTCATATGGTGATTTAAATTTTTGATGAGTTTCAGTAGAAAGCTGATTTCTTTTAATACCTTTGGCATTAAGATCTCTGCATACAAACAAGGCTTTATTCTTTATATTTCCCTTGAAATCTGTTTCCTGTAGCTATTTTGATGACACTTTAAGCACTATGTGACCTTTTCCGAATCATAACAAATTATCCACCTCGTAAATTTTTCTGAACGTTTGGAAGATGTTTTTTTTTAATTCCGATAAAAAACACAGCAAAGTTATGAAAGGTGAAACTACCGCTTATTGTATTCTATTATTCAATACAAATGAATGAATCCAACATTTATTTGAATTTTTCAATTTGAAGGAAAAACTAATTCCTACAGCGAATGTTTACAAAGTGGGTAAATATTCAAACGAAACAACACAGTTGCTAAGCATTTGTAATTGGTTTACACATCTGGACGTTACTCTAGGAGAATTAACTTTTAGATCAACAAGCTTCCGTCCCTAACTGGATTTTGTATTTCAGCTGAATACATTTTGTAAGTTATTTTATGCAGAAAGCAGTGAAATAGAATATGAAATAATCATGAAATAATTCACAGAAATATTTTTTGAGCTTAAGTCGCAATTTGTTGATTGGATTTTTTTTTATTTGAATAGGCATTTATTTGAAATTCTCATTACATGCTAATCGTACCTAGCTGAACCGGTGATTCGACTCCATCAGTCTGAATCTTGAAGAACTTCGAGGATTACAGTTGTACACGTTAATGGCTCGTCAAAAGAATAAATGGGATATTTCTGCGCTGGATCACCATGGTTAAAACGTGTACCTTAGCAGCGCTATCTGAGAGCTGTGACTTCCACTGCTTGATCGTCAAAGAAGATAGAAAGTGGTGGTACTTTATCGCAACAAGCGGCGCAATTTTCATTGGGGGATTGTTGGTCATATTAGCTTCAAGGCTGTTTATTAAAATATGCAACTCAAAACAGAGCAGGTTAAACCCAACTAAAAAGGATGCCAACAAGCAGCGGATTAATCGGTCGCACGTCGCACCGGAAGTGCAGAAACGAGGGATTTATGTCAAACTTAAGGAACAAGCCGGTACACTGATAACAGCACAGACCTTCAAGGGCCGATGTTTGGTAGGTGTAATTTTTTCGAGTAACATTAACTGAGTCAGGAAGTACAGTAGACAAATTGAGCCTGCTTGTTAACAGGAAACAAGGAGTTTCACACTTACATCAAAAAAAGAAAACATAATAGATAGTTTTTCGTCTTGGAAACGTTCGTCATGTTTTTGTTCTTTGATCTTCGTAGCGTGACACAGTTTTGTTCCAAAACAAGACGTGACATCGCCACACTCAAATTATACGCTACTCAGAAGTAATTTGATGGTTTTAAGCTTGATATCTGAAGCGATTCACTTATTTGCCTTCTGTTACAACATTGTTTGCCAGCTGACCGACTTAAATAAAACCAAACAGATCGTCGATTACCACGAACTCGCACGGTGAATATTACGTCGCTCCTGCCTAATATCATATGTCAACTGCTAATATTCTCAACGACGCGTGCAGTAAAATACATGTGCTCAGAATCATTTCGTGCCAATATTTATTTACATGTTATCGTTTAAGGCTATAATTTTTTCAATAATTGGGTGCGGTGCTACGTAAGAGGTTTCTTGTCGACCTCTCAGCGTCGAGTAGCAATCGCGTGATTCGTAGTATCCCAAATTAAATATAGCGCGCGACTTTCATGTAAATTCGTAAGCGTTTCATATCGGAAAAAATTTTGGTAGATTTTAAGTTTGATGATCGATTATCCGATAACTTATGAACCCTAAAGAGAAAATAAACAATTCCGAAAAAATCTCAGTTGTAGGTTGATTTCACTTGTGTCGTTTACAATGACACGACCAACATTCTGATAAAGTTCTTTTATTCTCGTTCATGTTTGGTCTTCAACCTGATGAGTGTTTTAAATTTTTTATTTGCCTATCACCCCCTGCCTACATTTTCTATCTCATCTCTGGAAAAATGAATAATTCGTTGTTCGTCCAGCTTTTTTCCCTATTCAATATTATTTTCTCTTTTTCTGATGCGGTGACCACAAATTGGGGTATCAATTCATTCTAAGGCTCTGTTGCCCTATCACCATTATTGTCAATTACAAAGCTAAGTGGTTAATACATTAGCCAGGAATGGATGCCCAAATTCTAGTATTTTTTTCCTATTCAGAAAATGTGCTATATTCATGAATATTTAGTCTTCTTGCATAAATCAAGCCAACAGCCCATCCCATTTCATTTTTTCCTTTAAAATTCCATGATAGTTTTTTTGTTTAAAGTGTTTGATGGAACCTCTAAATGATACTCTATAACTCTGAAATAATTTTTCCTTTATATCAACAATTTCAAACTTTTTAAATGATTAAAAAGGGAAAGAAACAGAGAAGGGCACTATTTACATTGTAGTTAAGCTAATTAAGTGCCTTTCAAGTCATATGAAGGTACATTTTCCATAAAGTAAAACAAAACAATACAAATATTTGAAAGGAAAAGAGGAATAACACTTTAAACAAAGTATAATGGATAGTGCAAGGCCAAAGTATGCAGAAATTAATGTGGAGAAAACTAATATATGAAAAGTGCTCTTATAAATAGTTTTCTTGTCGGCCTCTCTGTTTAGATGTAGGAATATCATTCCAGTAGTAGTAGTATCAAACAGAATCTGTCAGACAGAATTTGCTAACATTTGTTTCGAAAGGACTAGGATTCAGGTACTACAAAATATATCTTTGTAACTTTCAAGGTACTTGTGAGCCTCATTGCAATAGATTTGAATCAACTGACAGATGTTCCTAACAGGCAGGCTTGAAAGCAGAAATTGATCTCCTCAGGTTGATTTTTTTTATCCTCTCAGGCTAGTACTAAATGTTTTGACATAATATTTGTTTTGGCTCGGTAACTTGAAGTTTTAGAACTCCCTTATGTAACTGGTACCTAATTTTAACCACTGTGGAGTAATAGAAATTATAGAATTCTTATTGAGAAAGAGAACGGAGGATACCAATCTAGCCTATTTGTATAAAGGATTTTCCATCAAAAATAATAATTCATTACAAAAATTTCTAGACCTTCAAATTAACTCTTCAACTCCCACAAGTGACCAACACAGAATTTCTCCTTACAATATCAAAGCAATACCAAGCAGACAAGTGATGAGAGTGATATCAATTAGCTAGGGGATTATTAATTGATCCACCAACAAATTCTCCATACCAACATAAAAAAGAATTGTATGGCAGACAGTAAAGAGAATTACTTACTAGTAGTAATCGGAGATTAGGGAAGTGCGTTCGGCATTTCAAAGGGGAAATATTGTTTTTTGGTTATTGGGATAGATGAATATGCCTATGGTATGTTGTCAAATAAAGGGTTATGGCGTATTGTGAAACCTGTATTTACTCTGTGTACGAAAAGGTTTTAAAGGCTAGTTATATCGTATGGTTTTTGAGGAGGCAGTCGTCGCAGTCCATCGGGCGTGTACATATGCAAGTTTTACTGTAGTTGGTGTGGTAGTTAAGTGTTAGTAAGTAGAAAGAGAATAGTTGAAAACGTGTTTAAATGTAAGCATTAATTTTATTGAACCTTCACCAACGAACAACCCCGTCCTCGAACGTCCGACAAACTGCGATGCACGAGGCAACATCCTTTGCGCAACGAAATTGTGACGTCATTCAAAATGGCGCTGAAAAGATGAACGGCCGGCCGATCGAACGAAAAAACACGGGTCAGCTTTCGCTTGCGTGCACAGGACACCTACGCGATCACAGGTAGCCCAGGAGATTAGGAAGCGTTCTTCCTTCGTCGAACGCAATGAGATATTGGGAGTAAAAGAATTATGTTTTGTGCACATTTGTTGCACAAACTATATCTTCAGTTACTGTTCTTTGGTATGTCTTGCAAGACTTATGAGACAATTCATTAGCTGTGTGACTTTGTAAGGATACTACTAGTCTAAAGTACTTTCTTCATGTTTTGAAAAATGCGTTGAGATACTGTTTAACAAGAGTATAGTTGTTTTTTACAAATTATTCCAAAGCTCTTATCAGTTATTTCATGATACAGTTGTTTTTCTTGGAATGGGTTCGAAAAAGGCGACAAGGGGTATGAGAATAATTTATGTTTCCCCTAACTCGCCCCCTTACCTTTTGCCTATCGACCACCCCAACTTCCCATCTACCTCTTTCCAACCCTCCTCTGCTATAAGAAACCAAAATGGTGGCTATGCAATTAGGATTTGAACATTCACCTGCCAATAATTTGCACTTAAATTACAAGGCAATTCATTTTTCGGTTTGATGTCTGGGCTACTTTCCTTTCCCAGCAGTTCATATGACCCTGTCAAATTCAATTCCAGCTGTATCTATGGCAGCTACAGTGTTGCTAGTGGCATACAATAATCTCAGAAAAAGGTGTTTTCAGTTTGGGAATTTTGTCAGCCTTCAGAATGTGCTTCAGTCAAGGAATGATTTCGATTCATATTCAAGTCAATTAGTCAGGAAATATTCAGTTGGGTGTTATCAATACAGTAAGCTATGTTTTTTTATTGCCTGGTGTTGATGATCTGCAAGTAATTAACAACTGTTGTATTGATTTTTTTTATTAATATCATCCTGTCCATATGAGTCAGATTGACTTAGGAGCTTCCTTTTTTTCTGGTATTCTTGACGTGTTAACTGCTGCCGTGTTTTTACATGTTTTTTTTTTCTCTCTCAATAGGTTGTAATTTCATTCCTCCTAAGCATGCTTTATATCGTCTTGTATGCTGTAGAGGCAAGTTAGTAAGTATTAGGAGTTCTTTCCTGTTGTTTGTTTTTATTTTATCTTTTTTAAAATTTTATCATAATTGGAATAAAAACTTCCCTGTGAATATTGTTGTTAGCACATGATGCATATGTCTAGGAAATTATTCCTTGCGAAAATGTTAATCAATTTTTAAAATATTCTTTTTAAGACAGAAGCCTGTCAAAGTAACTAATTTCTGCTCAGCAATCAAGCTGTGAAGTGGGAAAACAGCAAAGACTTGAACAACAATAGAAGACACAAAATGTAAAATGTAGCAAGCAATAATATGATGAGGCAATATTTTCTTTCAAGAATCAAAGGCTAAGTGTGGGCGTTAATACTCTCCTGCATATGAATAGGACCAAAATGATGTTGTGTGATTAAACTTTGTGGTTATCAGTTCTTTTGGTACATATACTATTGCTGAATTCAAAGTTTGAAAAAAAGAGAGGAAATTTGTAAAGATTTTTGGCAGAGCTGAACAAATATTTTTCAACTTACTACACACAGTTCCTTTGGGGCATTTTATTAAATCCATTTTATTTGTTGTTTTCCAGCCCTGTAGAGCATTGTCTGGACATGAAAAGACAAAATCTCTGGATATTTGACATTGCTTTTAATCTTTTCTTCTTGCTTCATTTTCTTCTTCGGGTGAGGACTTCATTGCCAAGGATACATAAAAATTAATTAGCATTTTGTTCTGTTTTGAAGCATGCTAATTATTCTCAGGCTAAATGATACAGCTAAAAATTTCTGATATTGATGAAAATTTGTTCCTATTCATTGTGGTGTAATACTTATAACTTATAAGACCTTTTGGTGTGCATCATTGCTGAGTATTTTTAACAGTTGTGCTGTATTTTGGCAAGCCTGCATGGCAAGTCAAATTACAATCTGTAAACCAGTAGCGTCAAACGATGTCTGACAATTTACAATATTCAGAAAGACTAACCAATAAAATGTCTCATTATTAAGTCATTCATCATCCAACTCCTCTAAAATGTCATCCCTTTTTTATTTTCTTTGAAACTCGCAGAGGCATATCCAACCTGTCAAACAGGTTTTTAAAGTACAAAATAATCAACTGTCCAAATAATGGTAGCATAAAACACCACATTACAATGTATTTGTTCTCTACTCAGTGAAGTTGGATATTGAAATATGGAAGTTAATTTTTTTAAAGTGGCAGCTTGTAATGTCTTCATTGGCATCTAAATCAATGTAAAAATGAAAATGAAAACTGATTTCATATTATGTACAAATTATAGGCTCAAATTAAAATGAATTGCTTATATTTGTCTTAGTCTCAAACTTTTGTTTTATCTCTAGCTGGTTAATAATCTGAAATATTGTTTAAGTTCCTTGCAGCAAATGATAAGTTGATGTTTTGGGTGGAGACGTTATCTTTGGTGGACCTCCTGACGATACCTCAAGTGTTTGTTTCTGTTGTCCTTCAACAGAACTGGCTGGGTAAGATTTATTTAGTTATTTTCTCATGCATCTGGTGAGAACAGATATATGCAAACAAGAAAACAAATGCATATACACCCATAAATTTAGGCCTCTGTGATAGACACCTGTTTGATAGATACCTGTATGATAGACACCCATTTGATAGACACCTGTATGATAGACACCTGTTTGATAGACACCTGTTTGACAGACACCTGTATGATAGACATGTGAATGATAAACATCTAAAGACAGGTAGACAGTATAATGGAAAGGCGTATGAACATAGTTGATAGAAAGATAGACTGACAGACTAAATCAATATACATGTACACTTACACCAATAGACAGACAAAGAAATACAAGAGAGAACATACAGTTGAACCAGCATTAGGTGGCAGGGTATTTAGTGGTCACCCTGTTGTCAAGCAGTTGTCAAAGTCCTGAATTGTTTCCCCTTAATCACTGTAATTTTCACCTCTACTAATTGGATGCGGTCATCTTTCGCTAAATCCCAACAGCCTGTCACATTATTGTGACAAGGAAGAAATAAATTATTGCTAAAATTTATTTTTTGTTAACTGATTATCAGCCTAATATATATCAAAATAAAACTTTACATTTAATTTTTTTCAGGATTAAGATTTCTTCGTGCTATGCAGTTTATTAGGCTTGCAGATATTCTTCAATTCTTGGGAATTATTAACTCAAGGTTTGTCATGTGCCTGAAATTAAGGCAATTTTGTTTTTGACATATTCTGGATTCTGTGTACATGCATATTCTGATAACAGTGTTCAGAGTAATTTTTTTGGCTTTTATGAGTATTATATATGCTTAAAAAACACTGTCCTGCGTGATTGAAAATGACACCTTTTATGATTTTCTCTTAATTTATATTTTTAGTGGGATCATTACACTTACAGTCATGATTGGTAACTTGTTTGCTCTCATCTTTACATCTGCTGGGATTCTTCATCTGGTAAGTCAAGGACAGAATATGCTGAGTGCAGCAGTTTCAATAGAAGCCAGTGAGTGGCTGTCTACTGCAGCCTATAAGACTTCTTATTGCTGTTGCATCTGTTTAGCTTGCAAACAGGCTGTGGTGTTTTGGTTTTGCTGTACCGCCCCTTCTCCAGTCACACCCACTTATAGCACCATGAACAGCCATTTACGGGAAAAAGCTATTGAAACACCAGTGAGTGTGTATTAAGCCTTTAGTTATGACTATGCTGAAATAGTCAGAGATGCATGATGAGAGAATCTATTAAGTGGAGAATTTTAGCAGGAGTTTGTTGAAGTGCTTGAATTCCAACACTTGTGCTGATGAGTTACATTCATTCAAAGATTTTTATACCTGTAACCCTTGGATCCTCAAATAGTTTGCTGGCTTTAATGTAACTACTTGTGATGAGCAGGATTTCTGACAGAGATAAATGAAATGAAATTTTTATTTTGATTTGATGTCAGGTGGAAAATTCAGGAGATCCTTGGAGCTTCAGTAATGGTCAAAGCTTGAACTTTTTTGATTGTCTCTACTTTTTAGTGGTATGCAATCCAGCTTTACAATCATGTGCTTTATTTTAATTTAATATAATTGATGATTTGTTGGTTTCCCATGTTGAAAATAGTAAACTCTTTTGATATTATATAAATTACATGCAATACATGAGCATCTTATGGTGTAATAAGCTAATGACAGATAGCTCTTTAAATGGGAAATTATTACCAAGTTGAAATTGTTACTTTGATTCTTTATTGATTGAGGGATAGTGATTGCCTGGGTACATTCTTGCTACGTGCAAAATCCAAATCAAGAGAGTACAAAACAAATTTTCCACTGTAGAAGCACCTTCAAATTTTAATACATTGTAACTGGAGATAAATTAATTGATAGGTCTCATGGTAATAATAATCGTTATTCTCACTGGTGCTGTTTTTAATTGACAGGTTACAATGAGTACAGTGGGATTTGGTGACATATCTGCTATAACATATTTTGGAAGGACTTTTATGATCATATTCATTTCCATTGGCCTGGTAAGTGAAGTGCTTGGTTTCTTGTTGACTGTATAGTTATTATTATAAATAAACTGATGTTAAGGTTAGAGGGTGCAAACTCAGTTTCCAGACTTTTTAAAGGATATCAACCACAAGGTTTTCAATTACAAAAGTAACCAAGTTGGTGATACAACAGGATTTTGCTAGTTGCTTCAAATCTGTACTACTCTGCTCTTGACATCCTCAAACCATGAAAAAATTTACATTGTTTATTCATGTTTGAAATCTAGTTGGAAGATTTTTGAGAGAAGGAAAGAATGAACAAAGAAAGAATAAATTTTTTTCTGTGAACAAGATCAAACGAAAGATATACAAATGACCTTCTGGCCCTTAAGAGTGACTAGGGAAGCATATAACTTGTCCATGCTTTATCAGTCCTTAATCAAGAATAAAGGAATTGATCCTCAAAGGGGCTCATGGCTGTAAAAGAAATTCTCCTGGTTAACACCTCAGGAAATGGTGGGTGTAAAGGGTGAATAGATGACATGACATTGATAAAATATTTTGCCAAGAGCTACAGAACTACAGTATGAATGAATTATAATATTTTTAGTTATAACTAAATGAATGATCTGACCTTTTGATTGTGTTTTTGTGTAGGGTATGTTTGCCACTTACATCCCAGCAATCTTGGAATATTTGGGTAGCCACACAGTTTATCATGGCTCATACAAACTCTCTGAAGGAAGAAAGTAAGGAGGAGGCATTTTAATTTATACTTGAAATGTTAAAGATTAATAGAGTTAGATGTTTTTTTTTCGTCTTGTCACAAGCATCTTGTCACAAGCGTGGGACAAAGAGAAAATTGAGGCCTTATGAGGAATTGAACTTCATGGGGACTCAGAATTTTTGATTTGTCTCACGCTTGTGATGAAACAAAAAACATCTTTCTCTATTTCTTTACCAAGCTCAAAACTTACCTTCTCTCTCATTCTATTTACAGATAGAGATTAAGTTTTTAGAATATGTTTTCAGATGTCTCTGTAACACTTTGTTGTGCACATCTTCAAACATTCATACTATTATTCTAGTGGGACAAATAAGCTAGTGGCTGAGAAAGTTTCTTTGTTTGTCAGCATAATTTTATACTTATACATCAGTATTAAACATGAAATTTTGCTTTTTTGTCAATGGCTTTGACACTGGATATCTTAAGGTTATTTGCATTTTGCATTTTATTTTTGTGGTGTCTAGTTTCCATTACAATTATTTTACATGATTAGCAAGATTACATGCTAGCTAAATAAATATAATTGGTGATTAATTGACAAATTAACCAAATTTTAAATTTCTTTCCCTTTTTATTTGTTCTTAACAGAAGGATTTCTAAGCCTTGATGTTTAATTTATAACATTATTCATAATTTCTTTTAGATTTAATGTCTTTTCTTTTCCTGATTATTTTAGACATATCATTCTCTGTGGATATATCACAAAGGAAAGTGTAGAAACATTCCTACGGGATTTCCTACATAAAGATCGATCCAATGTTGCTGTAAATGTTGTCATCATGGGAAAGTGAGTATTTTATTTTCAAATTAACAAATAGATTATATGTAGCTGTGTGTCTGTTCAAGAAATCACAGGTGACATCAAAATGTCTCAAAAAATAACAAATTGGCAGATAAGGCACAGCCAAATGTGTCACTAAATGTAACATTTTATTAATAGCATAATTTTCATGTTGGAAGTCACCCTCTGATCTGTTGTTTTAATTTTCTTATTTAGCTTTTTGCCAGATGCAGAAATGCAGTCCCTGCTCAAGAAACATTTTGTTCATGTATCGTACTTCAAGGGCACAGTTCTGAGTGCAGAGGACTGCAAAAGAGTTAAGGTCTGTAAATACATTGTCTAAGTCAAAAGTTTTTAAACCTCTGGGCCCAGTTTTTAATTCAAATGTAGATTAGTGCCAATCCATGGTTAAATTTAAATCCAGATTTCTCTACTGTTTTGTTCAAAAGCCTTTTACAGATAATTTTCTCTTTTCTTTTTAGAGCTTACAATTATCTAATTGTAGACAAAAAGAATTGTACTGAGTTTTCTTTTAAAGCTCTCAAATCTGAAATTAGATTTCACATTAACCCTGGGTTAACTTAACCCAACTTTGAACAACCCTGCCCTGGTATGTCTAAATAGACTAGTGAGTAAACAAGATGTGAGGTCAAGTTACATAATTTTTGAACTGTCATTAACTAATACAGAAGGGTTTGCATTTCATTTTAGATGAAAGTAGCTGATTCCTGTATCGTATTGTGTAACAGAGAGTGTGTTAATCCCAGTGAAGAGGATTCTGAGAATATCATGAGGTACATTAATTTTATAATGTGTGAGAGGGGCTAAAAACTTTTGAAAAGACTTAAAACTTTTGTTCACTGAGAATTGGTTCTGTAATCAAAATATTAATTTTTTCCTTTTCTGAAAGAGTGATTCCATTCTAGTCAGCAAAATGTTGGATGAAAATTAGTTGAACAGAGTGTGAGAAAATGTTTTAATTATTTCTTTTTTTTTGCGCTGATCTTGATATTCAGAGTTGTAGCTGTGAAGAATTACTACCCAGGAATAAGAGTCATCATACAACTGCTTCAGTATCAGAACAAGGTAGGATTACATTCCTTATGTTGCCCTTTTACACCTTAAAATCAGTATGCATATTCTCCACACTGTTCTCTTTACATTTCCTATAGTGCTTCCAAGGAGAATTTGTCTAACAATCAAGAGCTTCTTGGTTTTGTGTTAATTTCCTTCATATTCATGACCTTTCTTTCGATTCAGGGGTAATGTTATAAGGAGAAATCAGATGCTTATCACTTTTTGGGGTTAAAAGGTTATATATCTTGAATGTTAATGATATCAAGTGATGTAAATTTATATTTATCAATTAACAGACTTGTTTTAAGACTTTATAGGATGGAAATAGATTAATTTTTTTAACTTATATTTACTTGTGCTAATAAAAGATTCCATACAACGCATGAAAAATGACTTTTGAATGGAAATGATATGAAAATTTGTCTTAGTTGGATATAATCAGTATATTCAAAGAAAGTTATCAAGAATGAAAAAATAAAGAATATTACAATAACCAATTTGATGTGTTTATAGTCGTACCTATTGAATATTCCATCATGGAATCCCAAACGTGGAGATGATGTTGTTTGCATCAGTGAAGTAAGTATACGTTCAACTGAGAATTTTTTTCCTTTTTGCTTTATATGTTTTTTAAAATGTATAATTGAGTAATATTTGTGGGGAAAAAAAAACCTTTAGATGGTAAATTTGTCAAGTTCGGATTGTTCAGATTGTATTTTTCTGATTCTGTGTCTTTTTCTTCAACCAGCTCAAGTTGGGATTTATTGCCCAAAGCTGTTTGTCACCGGGATTTTCAACACTTTTGGCCAATGTTTTCTCAATGCGTTCACATGAAACAGTAAGTTGCTCAAAATTATGAAATATAGGAATCACACAAGCAGGGATGTCCAACTTATATGACAGACAGCTTGGCCATTTGGTTAGGACATGAATGAAGTGACTTTTTTACCCTTTTACTCCAAAGATCTCATTTGCAATTCTCCTTACTGTCTGCTATACAATTCTAATGATATCAGTTTGGAGAATTTGGTATTGGATCAACTTATAATCCTCTAATTGTGAGATCATAATTATTGACATAAAGAGCGCTTTAAGGGGTTGTGGTCAATGATGTCTGTAAATTTTACTCAACATGTGAAATTTTAAGATGTATCGGGTAAGCCTAGCTTTTAACGTTCAATATGTAATTTCAGTCAGACACTACAGAGTCAGACTCGTGGAAGACTCACTACATTGAAGGAGCAAACCTTGAATTATACACTGAAACATTATCAAGTTCGTTCAAAGGAATGACGTTCCAACAAGTTGCTGAGTAAGTTATTCATCTGGTAACTGCAAATTCGTATTACAATTATTGCCAGCTGTTCGCAATGCATTGGAGAAAGGAAAGTTCTTCTGCAGCTTTCTTTCGCCAAATTTTAATGGCCTGAGCTATCTGCTATTCAGCCGTGAAGAATATTCTCGTCTTATTTTTTTTCCTAAAGCATCTCGGTGGGTTGGAAACTTAAATCCTCGAATCTGGTTGGTTAATTACACACTTATGACCGGTCCACAGATTTTTCCAATACGAACCACGGTCTGGAATCTTTTGCGCGCTATTTGCAGCAAAAAAAATTACTTACTGATCTTGGTCAGCGCGTATGGGAAAAAACTGTGTACTTGGTTTTGAGTGGAGCCGTCGGACTTCAGCCTTGGTTCGTACCCAAGAACTGGGGCACAGTGTTTCCCCATACTAACTTCCCGCCCGGTAAATGATATTTATTTATTTTCATGACAGGATTTGTTTTGGTAAGCTTGGCCTCCTGCTCATTGCCATAGAAACTATTAAACCTGATGGAGAAAAAGTGTAAGTATTCACGCAGCTTAAAAGAAACTTTTGATTGCGAATTTCCTGATATCTATCATGTTACTAAGTACAACATTCTGCATTAATGATGAGATATTTGTTTTACATAAAAAAAATACATAAGAATTGATGCTGTCGCTCTACGAAACTCCTCAAGGTAATTCACTGTTATTTCTTGGTTTTTTTCCCTCAAGATTCAACATCAATCCTTTGGACAAGACCATTGAACAACGGACACGAGGATACTTCATAGCTGATTCCGCATCTGAAGTCAAGAGGTACATAATTAAATTCTTCTGGTATTTCAAGGGTTAGTGCGTCAAATTACTTGTCCTTGTGCGTGTAGTTAGGCAATAAGAAAATTACACTCGTGCAGTGGTTTACACGCAAATGCGTATATTCGTCTTTTGCAAACACGTATTCTCCACGCGAATGCGGTCATTAAGGGAGATAGTACTTCAATCGACAATATAATTCTTAAATGGTTGTAATTTCCACTAATATTGCAGGCGCTGACAATGTATCTTGTTGTAAAATTTAGCTCAAGTTTGTCAAAGTATCCCAAATTAAACCGTAAGGCTCATCTTGCAAGAAAAACGTGTTTCTACGACTAACTAACTTGCTAACTTCATCCTATCTTACTTTCCAAGATATCATGACCTTCTCATTTTCTTGCTGCTAAAGTGACCTTCATAACCAATAATTAATTTTGACCTTTTTCAAGGGCTTTACATTACTGTGTAAATTGTCATGCTGATGTGAAACAACCAGAGCTGATAAAAGAGTGCGACTGCTCCAAAGGTACAAAAATAAACCGGGTTAACATATCATTTTGGCTCGAAGGGCTTAAAATATTCGCCCTGTCCCTACAAACTTTGCCGAATACTTGATCTTGTCTTCCTAGTTTTGATTTATATGGAGTGTGTAAAGGCAAAAATGAATCGAGTAAATATGATTTTTTGTGTCATTGAACTTGTTTGGGATAGTCAAAGGGGCTACCTGTACACCATGGCTTGTCAATCTCGGACAATTTAAACTTAATTTTCCATGGTTGTGATTTGCAATCCACGTCAGTCTTGTCCATTCTTGTGTTTTACCGGTTCCTTTGGCATTTGTTGAATAAGCCGAACCACTATTTCGAAGTTTCCTTTCAGTTATAAAACGCATTTCAGTGATTCAAAGGACAACTGACAATGTAGGGATGTACAGGAAGCTCCGATGAGTTATGAAAAGTTGGTTCAGATTTCACTTAGGGGCAGTTATGGTCAAGTATTGTGATTGCTAACTTTCGAAATTATTGATGAAAGCGTAATGACACAGCCACAACTCTATGACCGGTAAGAACCACCAAATTTTAACTTTTCCAAGCAATAGAACAGATAATTGCTCTCCATTTTGTAAGCTGATGCTCATAACTGTATAGCAAAATTAAATCTGTCTCTGTGAAGTGCTGCTTAACTCTGGCTAAACCTAATCACTAGGCGCAGCCTTTTAATTGATCTTCTTGCTGCAATACTAACAATTCATTACTTCTTCCAACTAAAGGAACCCTCACTTTCCGTGGATTAGGCAAAGCCGTTCTCATCACTGCAACTGCTGCGAGTAGTTAGTATCTGTCTTGTCAACCTCATACGTTCTTTCTAACACTAAACACTATTTGATAAATTCCATTCTTAAATGTAAGCTCTAGTGTTCTATACGTGCTTATTTCTTAGACTTTCTTGTTGTTCTATTGTTAAGAAGCCTTTCTCATCTAGATCTTAAAATTCTCAAACAGCTACATTCATGTGTAAAGCTCGCGTTGTCCCTACCCCTGATAGATTCTTCTGGCACGTGACTGTCCTTAAAGGAACAGTGTCACACAACGGGTGCATGCAAATGTCACTCGAGTTTAGGTTTCCAGGTTTGAGATGAAGTATAAGTTTACGAAGCAAACACACAAAAGTTTCTGCTTCTATGTGGTTTCCTCAAACTTAGGGTTAAGATAGGAGACAGTTCACGGGCTAACATGGTAAAGAAATGTAGCTTGCTCTACACTAAAATTTTCTTTTCGTAGAGGGATCTTTAGTCTTAAGTCCTGTGTGCTGGTGTCATTCTTTCTCCTACAGAAAAAATATCACAAGTTTGTGCATTTGCATAACGCTTTCTCCTTATATTGTGGTGATTTCCATCCTACATCAATCGCCACTTTTTCAGTGACACAAATTTACTTAATTTTCACTTTTTCTCTGCTAAATCACATGTATAACATGTATTGCATTTGATGTGCAGTTTCCATTATAAGGGATACTTTAAAACCAGTATAGCTCTTGGTGTACTTGGTACCTTGTGTATGGGAACATATCGTGTGCCCATCGGATGCGCCCATATTATGTGTAACAATTTGCAAAGTACATCCTATGATGTCATTTTATGCCCCATACATAATGTTCTAACCATTGACCACACATTATCGTTTTATGTGTCACTCCACTTTTCATTACGTTAAAAGTCACCACTCTGATCTGAACTGGTTACACTTTTTTTGGTCAGAACGGACTCCAATCAAATTAAAAATAGGAGTTCATGGAATGGAATACCTTACCATTAATGCATAAATATCTCTCTTAATAAATCATATCAACCTTGTCCCCCTGGGGTTGCTCGGTCAGTTTTGGAGATTAGGGCTGGTGAAGAGAAACTACTTGAAAGCACCGCTGATGGGTTCTCTTTTTGCACTAATGATATTCGGACCCCCCCCCCCCCCCAAAAAAAAAAAAAAACAACAACAACAACAACAACAACAACAAAACAGTTTGATTGGCATTGGTTCAGGTCTTTCAAAACGAAGAAGACAGCACTTGGTTGGTCTTAAGTTTATCCAAAGCATTACCAGACCGGGCGTCGTCTTGGAAAAAACCTAGCGATAAACCTCTGGTCGATTTCAAATAGTGTTTTGCAAACTGCTAGGATCAGTCTTGCCATATGTGGATCTTGTATGAAGCTTAGCTCACCAAGTAGTGGTCTACGGTACCTATCCATTGTTTAAGTTGGGGTAAAAAATCTAAGCTTTCGCCGAAAAACTACATCATTAGAGATTTATCTTAGTAGTGGAGAATGCCTCCGGGAAATCGCAGGGTCTGAGTTTCGAATCCACGTGGGTGACTCGGATTTTTTTGCTTGTTCCTCGCCAGCGAAAAATGCTGGACGTATTTGTTCACCACTCATAGTTATTCCTAACTACTTTGTGTAGCTAACTGTATTACGATGGCCTCTTAGAAATCATCGTCTTTTCCTCTATGAAGTGCTTCTAACACACTGCGTACTTCGCTCATTTCTATTTTTCTGCATCTGTTGTTGCGTAAACTAAGCTATGCACCCTGCATGGATTAACTTTAACCCTACTAATCTGACCACATGCACCTGCACTTTGGAAACCAGTTTTACGTGCTTCCAGGGAGTCTTGAGATCCTAGTTGTTCATTAACTTTGAGTGGTATTTTGTCAGTGCTCCAATATTGGAGATTCTTTCTTGATTTGCACCCTCAGAGTTGACTGAGTTGAGGAAGAATTTGTAAAAAGCAAAGAGGCATTTTATACGTAGTGTGGAACAAGTTGTTAAGAAGGGTTAGAGCCACTTCCAGAGTATATTTACGACAAAAACCAACACTCGGACTCGGACTTTATCGGTTAGTTTGATCATCCGATGAGGTAGTCCTGGAAACGAATATTACGGTGGCTGGAAAAGATTGTTATTGTTGGTGGTGACTAACTGAGATTACCGTTGACTACTGTTGATCCATGTGTATGACATGACTTGTGACATTCCTTGATTTGTTATTGGATGAATGGACAGACGCATTCGAAACGTTGAGAAATATGTTTTGTTTTTCACGGTGAATTCCTCTGATTTTGTTTATTTAAGAAAATGAGACAGATGTTCACTTAACTGGTGTAGTCAACCATGCTGTTGATCATGACACAGCCTATTTGTGTTTTGCACCAGAAGGCAAACAAAGAAATGGCAAACCACCAGGCAAGTTTGACGTGAGATTTTGGTAATTAACTCATTCCTTTTAATGGCAGTAAGAATTTTTTCTGTGCATATAAATTTCACGAGTGATAGCGCCGGCTCATGGATAAGAAAGAAAACAAAACAAAACAAAAACCTAGCAGCTTTTTACATCGTGTTGCTGGATCTCACCGAAAAGGTAAATGATCACTCGGAAACGAATGTGGTGATCCATGATCTCTTCTCTATAAGCTTGTTTGTCTAATATGAATTCTGTAGCATTTTTCAGCGAGGAAAACTAGAGTAAAAGTCATTTTAGACAAATGACCCAAGAACCGATTGTTTTAAGCCAAGATTGGCCCTTGCAAAATTCTGGCTTGACAGCCGCTAGCCTGGTTAGTAATAAGACTGGTTATTTTTGTTTTATTTGTTCGTTTTTCTGTTAATCAACGAAGAGGTGTTGTGCTAAGTGAATCATTGAGGTTATGAAGGAAGAAAAACTACTCTTAAAATGAGAAAAGGCTATCAGATAGAAACCAAATTAATCTTTGAAGGATTCTAAAGTATCGATCTCTTTGAATTAAAATAAAGAAATTATGAAGGCTGGGTGTTAAGAGTGTAATGCTGCATTGTAATGCCAACAATTCATTTGATTTTTCGATTCTTAACTTTTTTCTAACTGTGTATAGTGCCCTTACATTCGTGAAGTATTTTATGCACTTGCAATAAAATAACAAAATAGAAACATGTGTCACCTGCACATTTAAAACCGCTAATAAGTCATGATAACAACACGAATATGTTTTCAAAATGGCATGACGTAGGAATGGGGGGAGTAAGGTTAAGTTAAGTAAATGTTAGATATTTCCTCGACGTATGTCCAGATGTTTTTTTAAAATTTTTATGCGTGTCGATTAGATAAGTTAGTTCTATTAACGTAATCTATTAATACTTTGGAACAAAAAGACTGTGTAGAAAAGACTTTAAAATAACTGATTTGGTCCAAGAAACTGCCTAGTCTATCCATGGGAGAAACCAAGTTCGAGGTTACAGATTGACATATTTAGATTGGACGAATTTTGTGTGTACAATTTATCGACGGTTGAGTTAGAGCGATTTTTCATTAAGTGTCGAAAGTAGTTCTACTTCGATTTGTGATTGGTCCTGAAAACTCGCGCCACTCATCCAATCAGATGCAAAACTAAAACCAATCACGACTTGGTCGCCTGCGTCTTCAAGCGTTTTCCCGCGCTCAGGGCAGTTTTTCGGTTTGGACCTCGAGTTCTGATTTGCTGTTTAAGGTATTTTATTTTCTTCTGATTGGCCATTTTGGTTACTTTAGTTTTCACGACACTCAATCGAAAAGTGCTGTAAGAGATCAGATTTGGCCGATTGCATCGTAACCGCTTAACACACGCTAGGGGAGGGAAAGTGGCGCTTAGTGATTAGAGGGGAAGAGAAGTCGACTTAATGGAGAGATTACGGGCAACTTCAATCTCGTAGTCATCTGGTTGGAAATTGTTCTTCAGAAATTGCAAATAACGGAGCAATAAGCTAATAAATATAGACGCGAATGAATACGGTTTTGATTGTATGCAAGTCGGGGAATATGTCTTAAACTTGTTGCTGCTGAATAACGTCGAAGCAAGACAGTATAATTCCCCCTCCCTCCCATCCCCTGCCCTCTCCTATCAGGTTAGAACTCTTACATTTAGGCAGGTTAAGGTCACGTGATTTTAGGGAACTTGGACTAATTTCTTCTCAAGGTTTACAAGGAAAGAAATCACAGTAAGAGGGAAAATACTTAAGCAAATCTAAAAACCACAAGGTTAAATGTTTGCTGTATTTACGTAGATATCCGATGTGCTGTAGCCGCTACTAAGAATAAAAATTCAGCGTTCTGTAAGTTCTTGTAAATGGTTGTTTAAAAGGTCTTTGGTCATTTTGGTGACGTCACAGTCCATTTTCACTTCAGCAAACACTTCTCCAGTCCATTGCAATCACTGACAGTTGCATCATCATATATGACGGTCAAGGTGTCACTTCTTCGAGCTGTTATCACCGTCCATGTCGCATATCGCCACAAATTCACATTGGCAGAATTTCATTGAAAAAAATTTGAGGCCTTTTCTTGCGTCTCTCTCTAATTTTGATTCTTAGATCGACGAAACAACAAACCTCATGGCGGTTCAAGAAATCTGCTATTTGTGGAAGCTGTGTGGAGTTCAAAAAATGCATCTGTTAGTGACCATTGTATAGAAGTGGAAGAGTGTAAGAAAGCAGAAATTTTCTCTCCGTGCGAGCGCTCGTTGGACCAGAATTTTCTGCACTGATACAAGCCTGCCATAGACATTTTTAAAGGGCGGAAATTTATCTGTTCGTAAGAACAATCTATGCAAACTTAGCCACCCACTTTCGCGCTCGTTGTACCTTGAGACCTCTTACTTTGGTTTAAACAGGCCTCGATTTTTTGGTTTATTTTGTTGTCTTTCGGACTAGATTAACTTGGGAAATTTAATAGGATATTGTAAGTCTGTAGAGGGTCTCCTTTTTTTTCTTTCCTCTCTGTGATTTTCACTGCTATACATGCAATCATCCAGTGACTAGTTGTCTCTGGAATTTTTCGCATGTTTCGTTTCATCTAATAAGAGCTCATATTTCCAACACACTAACAGTGTGCTCCTTTGAAAAATCATTGCCATAGTTGATTTGTACACCAAAGCTGGGTAGTTCTGTCTTCGGAAGCAATTTGCGTTTTTATATGTTGTGTAATTAACATTTCCTTGAGAAAAAGGTTCGAAGTCGTCGTAGTCCTTGAAAGGGTAATAGGAGGGTTAGAAACTGCTGTGAACTAAATGGAGGCGTTTTTTTGTCTCCTGTAGCATTCAATTTGTAATTTATATGAAATTATATTTTTGTTAGTTGAAATACATTTAAGCCAAGATAGCTTGTAACGTTAGATTTTACTAAGCAATTTCACCAATATCAAGCGAAAATATCGCAATAATGGAAATAACACTTGATGTTTCTTTTCGTGTCCTCAGTTAAAGCGGTCGACCCGAGACTGTCTTTTAGTTTAACAAGCAAACAAGGTGGAGAGGCAAGGCAGGGCACCTACAAAGTTCTACACAAGCTTAAAGCGTAAGTAGGTTCTGGAAAAGTACGCTAGGATTGCTTGGGTTTAGCCTTACATCGCCTTCTCATTGGTCTAGAAAACTCACACGACTCTATCTCAACCAATCAGATGGAAATTTAAAACAACCGCGACTTGTTCACTCGCGTTTTCCCGCTCTTTTAGCAGGCTGTGTCTTCAAAATTTCGTCCCATAGCTAAGTGATTTCCATGGTCAAAAGATATCTCTGTGAGTCAGTTTTGCGCTCGGGGGTCGCCTTTGCAAAGGAAGATGGTGTTTGTAAGTGGAATCCCAAGAAAAGGGTTTTGCTTACATACTGCTTTAACTTCTGTTTTCAGTTTAAAAGAGCAACAAGCAAATGATGGTGAAAAGAAGCCTTGTTTTGACATCTCAGGGACGTTTTATTGGTGCCAGCCGACGCGATTTGAGAATGTTTTGCTGGTATGTTGGAAAAAATAACCCGAAAATTAAACTTTGATAAAGGAAAGGGGAGAGGTGGGGGTGTGTTATGTCCCCCTCTTTCTAAACCTCTTTCACTCCCAAGATATAAGTATAAATTCTCATCTTTTTCTGCCTTCCATTTCCTGTAATTTTAGATCTAAGAATTTGGGGTTGGACTGAAAATAAGCCCCTAAGGCGGTTCATTTTTCTTTCATCTCCTGTCTACTTGAAAATGTAATCATATCACTCTCAAGGGTGACAGTGTTAAGCAGGTAATTTAGTATTAACAACGCTAAAGCTCTCTAAAGCTTTAAAGGTCTCCTTTTTCCTCAGGACTCTCCACGTACTCTGAAACTCAGGTTTGTTTAGTCCCAAGCCAGTGTTTTGCTTGGAGGTCAGAGTTAAAACAGATCCCACACTCGTTAACCCTTTTAACGCCCAGAACTTATCAACATGTAACTTCTCCCTATAATATCTATACATTATCCAACAAACAGGTGATGAGAGTACTTAAACTTATCAGGTAGAAGTTGTTACCTACAACTAATACCAAATTCTTCTATCGAATTTACAAGGAAATGTGTCGCAGCTAGAGGGGAGAATTATCAATCAGATCTTGGGAGGCCCTCAGGGAGGTGCTTCTTGCAGTTACAGTATTGTAGCTTTTTTTCTTCTTCTACAGACTCGAGAGGATGCTGTGAATATCGTTTTCTCGCACCACATACTTGTCTGCGTTTTCAATGAAGAAGACGCCCCGCTTCTGGGGTTGAGACCATTGGTAAGTTAAGCAGTTTTGCTTGGTTTGTGTGGTGTTCTTGGTTGAGACACTTTTGTCTTACACGGTGTCTCTTCGCCCGGGATATAATTGGGTACCGGGAACGTGTTAGTAAAGCTTTTGAGTCGGAAAGGAGGGACCAGGAATGGACTTCCATCCCGTCCAAGGGGAGTAGCAATACTCCTCGTCGCTTCATCGTCAAGACACCGGAGAATGCACGGGCGTTTTTTATTTTGTGTAGATGGTCTCGTGAAATTTGAGATCTAATGTTTTATTGACTTTTCACTTTACCTCCTAGGTCATACCTTTAAGAGCTAGCAATCTGCTGCAATCTGAACTCAAGAAAATTGTCTTTCTTGGAAACAAGGAGTACATGGCGAGAGAGGTATGGTGCAATGAGACAGCTGCCTTTGATGAGGGTGGTGCATTGAGCGTGATAAGTGTAATGTCAATCGTTCAGAGCAATTTACAACGGAGTGTTGCAAGTAAGCGGGATTCTGTCGGTTCTGATGAACTACGCACGTTGATTGATCTTACAATTTCTCGCCACCATTGTGCAATCAGATACAAAACAAAAACCACGGTGACTCAACAAATGCTTTTTTGTCGACTTATCAAATGTGTACTTTATGATGTGTATACTTTGTAGTCAATCGTCCAAACTCACGCTGCAGATTACGACAATTCCAACCGAGCCCCTTGCACGAGTGAAAAGAAATAAGCCCAGAGGAAATTAGGTCCTTGTAGCTTACTCATGTAGCATCTTTAAATGTTTTGTTTTATAATTTCAGTGGCATCAGTTGTGCAATTTTGAGGATGTTTTCGTTCTTCCGGTGAGTAGGAATGTCACACATACACCCTTATTAACCGTCATCAACTCTTCTGACACTCATCATCAAGTGAGAAGGAGAACAGGCGTGCGTTTCTCAAATGATTCGGAAAGTTCTCTGGCCCTGAGACCATTCCGTAGCGTACTCCTTTGCTATGAACCTCCCGGAGTATCTGGAAGCGCACAAAAATTTTTGGTTCGAGAAAATCAGTTGGATTGGGCCTCGAAGAGTTTTCGGGTCTTTTTAGAAACGCTAGCCATGTCTCTTAGAACTGTGCTGTCTTACTTAAACAAAGAAAGATAGCGTGGATTCCCTTCGTGTCGAGGTTCTTTTTGTTATGTCGTATGTAGGAAGCACGTCCCACGTGATTGACATGTGACAATACGACGCCTTCACTGCATGCTACCCTGGAATATATATAGGTACCTGTGAATTTACTCGGAAGCGTGATTGTTACGGTCTAATATTCGATCCAATACAGGAAGCAATACTTTACTTTCCTTAATGCCTCGGAAACCTGGATATGCAGCTGCGGTAATGAATCTCAAGGCTCGTTACAGACTTACTTCTCTTCAAAGTTAGTTTACAGCTATAAATTTCTGTACCTTGTATTTCAGGGCTCTCCATTTTGCCGAGCGGATCTGCGGGCTGTCAATGCAAACTTGGCGGACATGGTCGTTTTCTTGTCGCCTTCTACGGCTAGAAAAACCGACGACCCGAAGCTGGCCGATAAGGAATCGATTTTAGCGTCGTTGAATCTGAAAGCCATGTCATTTGACGACGCGGTTGGAATGCTAAGCGAGAGTACAAGGAATGCTTTTGCGGGTCCAGAGTTTCACGAGGCGCCGCAAGTGGAGAGAAGAGGCTCAGCTTATGGATGCAATGTCCCAATAATTACAGAAGTTGGTAGGTGCCTTGTTTATTATATGGGAATAGCTTTAGTCGCCTTACCCAGTTTCCCTGGTAGGGGTGCCATTCTGATAGAGAACGGGATGCAGACACTAGCAGGGCATAAGGAAGTATAAGTAGTTGGAGGCTCCGCTCAGGCATTTGATTGGGTACCGGCAAACTATAGAAAAACTTGACAAATTGCTTTGGAGTAATCTGCGATGATCTAGTGTACCGCGATAGAGATAGAATGAGTCCATACTTTACCGAACTGGCAAGAGGCGCTTATTAAATTTGTAGACTTGTCGTTACTAATCCTTCTCTTTTTAGTTTGTTGTTTTCCTTTTACATCTAAGAGCGAGGCATTTTAGAAGGTGAAACTTTCCAACACTTTTGCTTTGGAATGTGGCGCTTTTTCTTCCTTGCTGAAACCATCACCAATTTAGCCTTTCTGTGTTGTGGCAGACTTTATCTTGCTCTTAAAGTTCAACTCGAAAAAGCTGTAACATTATGTAGATGGTGTCAGGCTTCGTTAGCTGGTGATATGGGAAGTTAAAGCACGAGAAAGTCCTTGAGTAAAATGCGTCAAGACGTAACACCTGTCTTATACTTGCACGACATTTTCAGCTTTTGACCAGAGTGTGCAGTACCTAGACATTGATGACGAAGACGATGACGACCTTGAACTCTACCTCACCCAGCCGTTCGCTTGTGGTACAGCTTTTACTGTCTCCATGCTGGATTCGTTGATGAGCGCGGTGAGTAGCTGAGAAGAGAATTAAAAATGTTCATGCGCAGTTAACTAAATGATAGCTGCGAAGATTAGAACTGTCGTAAGATAAGCGATTTTGTGGAAGAATATAACTGCCCGATGAGAATTTGAACCGATTATCTGCCATGAAGGGGACTTACCGTGGAGGGGTGGGGGAAGTATTGTGGGGTTCTGGGAGTTCAGTCGTCTCACAAGGACACAAAATAACCATGGCTTTTCATTTTCGTCAGTAGTCACGAGGTAAAGCATTATGGGCCGGTAATTTGCACGAGGTCTAACCCAAACCACGGTTTTACGCGACTAGTGGGCGTTAGGCTTTCTCTATAAGAGGGTTGATTTAATTTAATACATTTCCTTCCAATGTCAGCTTTATGCCCTTAAAAGGTTCATCTAAAGTGAGGATCGTTTGGAACGCGGTTTTATTAAACAACTGCTAACTTTTGTTTAAATGGTCGGCCCAATGTTTTTAGGGATTCGAGTTGGCTTCTGTCAGGAATTATCGAACAGTCTTTCTGTAAAAATCGCAGTTCCCGGGGGGCGCTAATGGCGGATAACAGAGTAACGAAGTAAAAATCCCTCCTTGCTCTTCTTTTGTAATTCCAGGAATATTCCCTTCTGATCAGCCTCTCTCTGTCGTGAACCTTTCTCCGTGACCTTTCCTCTTAGTTGTAGCAAAGAGAATGTTGATTCCAATCACTTACTTTTGTCACAGAGCTACTTCAACCCAGACGTGCTAACGCTCGTGCGGAATCTGGTAACCGGTGGCGTGAACCAGTTTCTAGAGGAACATATCGCTGAAGGAGACGAGCTAAAAGGAGGCCTGGACGCTGCACAGACAGCAGACACCAGGAGCCGGTGTAAAATTGTGCAGATATCGCTGTTTGATGGTCCACTGGCGCAGTACGGAGTAAGTCTTCTTCAGTTCATCGCTGTCCCTTGGTTGGCTTGAGTGGCAGAGCGTAATACTGCTTTTTTGGATCCTGGGTTCGAGCCCCAAACTGAAGTTATACTCTTGTAGTATGATCCGCGGTCGCTCCTTGTCGCGCGTTTGGTTAGCATTTCCTCGCTTAATGAGTTAAGCGGCTGTGGATGACCTAAAGATCTATTGGAAATAGCTTGTGTTATGGCCTTCATTCCTGGATTAATTTGTGTGTAATCATTTCTTTTTTCTCTACAGGATGGTGGCAAGTTTGGCGACATGTTTTTGCACGCCTTGCAGTCCTCGTCTATGATCTGCTTGGGTCTCTACCGCTTCCGTGACAGTAACAAAATCAACATTGGAATTCCGTCTGCCAAACGGTACGTGATTTGCTCGCCGCCATACAACTTTGTACTTCAGCAAACAGACCTGGTGTTTGTGCTGGCACACTCAGATCCACAGCTTGAAAAATTCAAATAGTGACGTTTTAACATGTTTATTGGTTTTATACGAGAAAGATCTCACTGCATATCCCACTACCATTGCGTGACAACGTAGGATGAAATTTTAAGTCGCTTCTTGTCACGCAATTGTCAGGTGTCTGTCGTAGCAGAGTTTCGATGATATTTCGGTCAAGAGAAATGTGCACGCAATTTGGTGATAATATAAGCACATAAACTTGAAGTATGGGGATAACATACTTTCATTCAAGTTTTGTTTAACTATTTTGGGTAAGTCACACCAAATTTAAAGTCCCAATGGAAACAAGACTTGAATGAAAATCGGTAAATGGGCACTTTTATCTCCAAGTTAGGGCTTTGATATGAGTTAAAAAACGCACGCGAATAGAATTTTTAAGAGTCATTAGTAATTGACACAAAACAGATTGAATTAGGTTGACCTTGGTAATTAATTGTATACTTAATGCACTACAGGTAAACTTAATCATAACAACCACGATCTACGAAATGTACGAATATGCGTGGGTAGAAATTAAGCTTGGAGCTTGGGGATGAAAGGGGTAATTCCAACCTCCCTTCCCACAACTGGTCAAGATGTAATTTCTCCCTTCAGTGTATTGAGTGCATTGGTAATAAGAATATTGCAAATTGTAAAATTATCTTGTTACAGTTGGATTTTGCGAAAATTCACGGAAAACGTTTTACATGTAGAAGTTTGCTTTTAGATTTGAGAAAGTATTACCGTTGGTACGAGAAAAGTTTATATATTTAATTTCTTATTTATTTTCAAGTTTTCATATTTTTGGTTTAATTGTTTGGTAAGGTATATATTTCTTCATATTCAATTGTTTATTGGAAAAAAAGTAATTAATTAACGGCATTAGCCATTCAGTACCGCATGCTTACGTTCAAAACGCTGTTGATCATAAGGGCCCAATGAGAGCCTGATATTTAGTGTTTTCGTTTAGTTCTTACGTACAGATAAAATAAAGTAAGTTCATAGAGTGCAGTCATATAGCGTCGTGTAGCGATTTTCGATGGAGAGTTGTAAAATCAAATCCAAATTAATGAGAGAGGAAATGGTGATCGTAGTGGGTAGTCAGAACAAACGAAAATAGCAGAGAGAGTTATTGAGAAGTCAAAATGAAAAAGAAAAAAAAAACTGTAACAACAACAAAACAACAACAAAAAACAGTTAGGTCCACAAAGCACGAGAAAACGCGAGTGGATAAGTCCTGGTTGGTTTTAATTTTAAATATTATTGGCTGAGAGTCTAGTGCATGTTTTCCTGATCAATTACAGGGACGCTCTGTTAAAACTGAAAATGAAAACGGTTCAATGTAGGACGATTTTTGCAACTCGGTTGAAAATTACTTCAGCAGCCATTTTGTTTTATATACACTATAAACAGTCTGCCATCCACGCACTTGTCAGAGTTGAACTGTCAATGCATTCGCTCTCGTTTGTTTCAAGAAACAAGTATGACCGCCGGTGATGCTAATGAATGTACTCTTTTGAACGGATAGGAAGTCTTAATTGTCCTGAATCTTTTGAAAGTGTTTAGTGTGTCGAGATCGGCCGAAAATTTAGGAGCAAAGACTGATATCACATCGAATTTTCTTCTGGCTCACTTTTTTTAATTAATTACTTAATATTTCACAAAGGAAGTCCAATAAGTAAGTAGATTAAAAATTCTAAACCACTATTTCAGTTGAGGGAAAATTTTGTATAAAACATCGGAAATATTTGTAATGTTACAGCTGCTGATCGGCTGTTTATTTAATAAGAGATTTTTTTAGCTGATACTAAGTATCTGGTAACTTTTATGTCAATTCACTCTGCAAGAGGTTTTAAATAAATCATAACAGTTTTAAAGTAAATTCTGGTCTGTTCTTTAGTAATAGTTGGTAAATGTAATTCAATCGTCAGTTGGTTGGTTAGTCGATTAGTCAGTCGACCAGTCAGTCAGTCAAGAAGTCAGTTTATCAGTCAAGTAATGAAGGGGGTTAGTTTCTAAAGAAACTGTGGCGCTGCGTCGGTGGGAGAGTATAACAGGTAATTTAGTGTTAACAACTGAGTTGAAAACGTGGATTGACCACCGTAAAGAGTTGAAAGGCTGACGTTTCGAGCGTTAACCCTTCGTCAGGGCCCTTCGTCTTTACGGTGGCCAATTTACGTTTTCAACTCAGTTGTTAACACTAAATTACCTCTCAGTCAATTAGTCAGTTAGTCACTCAAAAAGTCAATCAGTCACTCAGTCACTCACTCAATCTATAAGTACGATCAGTCAAATTCGATTTTTATTTATCACTGGACGTCGTGCTAAGATCAGCATTGTTTCAACACTGAAAGATTCTCTAGTAAAAGTAAAGGGTTCATTTACTTGCTTACTTACTTGTCATTCAACAGTCATTCAGTCAGATGGTCAGCCGATCAGGCAGTCATTCATTCAGTCAGTCAATTAATCAGTCAGTCTATCAATCAGTCAGTTAGTCAGCTGGTCAGTCAGTCGATCAGTCAGTCAGGCGATCAGTCAACCAGTCTGCTTTTTTCCTCTTAAACTTACGATTAACTCAGGAAATGTTCTGCACGGGTGACTGTGGAAGCTAACTGGCTGTCCTCGGAGGAAGACAGTCGGAAGTTCCACACAAAACTATCGCTTGGAGGCGAAACTTCTTTCCAAGTCATAATCGTCCACAAACCCTTGGTTCTGGTAAGTAAAGGGTCCCTCAGTGATACCATAATTGCTGGTCTTTTGCTTTCCAGGGTAATGGAGCGTAAGCAAATCCTCCTCTCCTCTCTTCACATCAAACAAAAATCTCTTTAGGAGCCGTCCAAAGGGCCCAAGCATCTTGCCATACTTAACCAAGATAAACGCGATGAGTATTTCTGCGAGTAGAGCAAGCACTGAGAATGCCATGACGGTAAGCACAACCCAGAAAAGACTGGAAAAATGGATTGGAAAAAACGGTCGATGCTTGATTTCACTACAAGTGCTCTTGGGAAACCATCGATCCTCGATCGATTTCACTGACCCGTTTTCTTGATGTTTAAGGACGGAAAGAGAAACATCTTTCACCCAGGGGGAGTCCTTTGGTAGCGCGAAACCGTATCCTGATTTAAAGGTGTGATCTTTTATTAAACTGAACGTACAGTTCCTGTCGGAGTGCACGATTTTTCTCAGAGTTAGATAATCTCCAACTAACCCTTGAATGACGCTGAAAGGAAATTAATTATTCATACGATGAGCTGAATTTTGCACGCATTTTGATTGAAGTAGGTGATGAAACTATTGAATGAAAAGTATATTATAAAAGAAAGAAAGAGAGAAACTATTGTCTTTATATTTGCAACAAAAAAATAATTAAAATATATGAAAATCTAACTGAAATAGATCTAGGTAAAATGATGTGATACATAAACAATATTCATGAAGCACGTATCGATAATTGGTGAAAGCGCACGAAACACCAATTTAATCGTCGCATCTCTCAATCAGAAACTCGAAAATTGGACTATTAAGAGATGGTTTGAAAGGAAACAATGTCACGAATGATGGGATATCAAGAATATATGACTACTTGGATGGACTATCACTGGTAAAAATTGTTGAAACCCAAATCTTATACCAGTATTTTCTGGTTCTAGAAATTTTCTCACCCTTCGAAATCTAAGATATGTTTGATAAGAAGTAGATCCTTACCCATTTCTCATCAGTGTTACTCCATAATCTAGGCTTTTCAATGTGTTCTTTTGCAGATTTACCTCATAAATTTTACGGAATGATGGGTTAACGTGATGTCTGAAATAGTCTTCTTCATTGGAACCTTTCACCGCACCAACCATAAACGTGACGGGTTCTGAGATAAGCTAAATTCAGAGGTAAGCAAATGTAAATGATATGTCGGATTTGTTGGGACCAAACCAATACTAGAGAGTGGTTTAGTTAATTTTCTTTCGAGCTGAGTGGCCCAAATTAAATCCGCTGGGGAAGTTGAAGAGCGCCCAACTGCCGTGGGAGAGATCGAAGTTTCAAGTCCCGGACCAGATCAACACTGAGGGTCTTAAAATAACTGAAGAGAATGTGCTGTCTTCGCTGTGACATCTGCAAATGGCTGTTAATAAATTCAGTGATAAAGTAATGTAGTCAGTCGGTGGCAAGGATGGAGGGACTGACTCTTTGTTACTCGTTCGGTCGATCAGTCTGTCAGCCAGGCAGCCACTCAAATTAATGACTTTGGCTGTCCGTATCTTACCAATCAGTCATTCAGTGAGTCATGATATTGTCTATTAAAAAGGTCGCAGTTGTAAAATCTCACCCTAGGATCATCAATCCCACTTATTGGAAGATCAACCTTCTCTTTCACAAGGAATGCTGTCAGGTTAGCACAGTACGAGTTGATCAGGATAAGAGCGAGAAAGGAGTACACACAAGACACCAGCCTCGAACTGGTACTTCGCGGAGTTCTCTGGGGTCCAATGTCTTTTCCAAATGTCACGCCACCCACGTAACTGATGGAATCTTGTGAGAAAGCAAGTGAAAAACAAATTCTGAATATTTTGGCTAATATGCAGTCCTTGCCGATTATTCTCTGTATTGGAAAATGGGTTTTTTGGTTAAGGCTAACTTTTAACGATATGAATAAGGTCTTTGAAAAATGTCTTAAAGGCTGCTTGACAGATGTTTGGGTACTAAGGTTGTATCATTAGCTCATTTAAAGACCTGGGATAGGTACAGAACCAATTAGAAGTGGTACCGTTGCCCTTGCAAGAATAAAGCTTAGAGAGGCTCTAATCATGCCAATTAAACTTAATAAGGAGACTTGAGTTTACTATATTGCCAATTTATAAAGCGTACCTAGTAATGTGAATCCTTCCTCGTCACTGTCCTTAAGTATGTAACGATAACCCAGGGGACTTTTCCTGTCCAACCACCATACCACAATGAAAACAATACAGGCAGTTGCCATCAGAGTCAGCCATAGACATGTGTGAAACGGCTTCAGCCAATGGTTTTGATTGACTTCTGAAACACGTTAACCAAAAACTCATCTTTGACTTCATGCTATTTCAGGATGGAGACCATCCGAGGAAATCAATCAAAAGTGGACTTGAGCGTTGTGGTAGAATTGGCGGAATGAACGAAGAATGTTGCAATCCAACGTGTAAGAGAATTCATCTTACTACCTTATCTGATTCTGGTTTTCAAACGCATGTGCATTATCCGAAAGCACTTTTGACTAAATAGAGTCAGAAAATTTCGAGATACTAGCGAACCTCTTTCCGATCTTTTTACCGACGAATTATGAAAATGATATAAAAAATGAAGGGCTAAAAAACCACAATTTTGTACCTTCTCGTGGATTCTTGTTCACTAGGATACCAAGCTCCAGGAGAAGCGTGGGATGAGCAAAACTGATCACCTCTGCTCGACGTTTATTCATGCCCATATCCAATGACAGCGTCGCCTTCCCAGTGATCAACTCCTCAACAATTCCATTCCAAGAACCGTCACTGTCATTCACTATTCCAAACTGTCCATCGGGAGCAAAATAGATGTCTGCATCAAAATTAAGATCTTGTTGCAGAAGCGATAAAAAATCTATTGAGATTCCGAAACAACAAAATTTGTTTGGTGTAGAATCTGCCAAATAGTCCCCCTGGCTGTACTCATAACAGGGAACGAACCTTCCAAGACACTCCTCAGTCTCTGAAGGGTCATCTTTGTAGACAAATGGTGGGTACTCGTTCACAGCCACGTGAACAACGGGCCTTGGTGGCTCAGAAATAGGTTCTATTGGTTTCCCGTTTGGAGCTATGAATCTCTCCATGGCCAGGCCAGTGGCTGTTCCCATTCCTGTCCGAGACCATTTCTTTGTGCCAGTTATATCCTTTTTCAAATTCCAAATTGTAAAGGCTGTTGCATTTTCGTTGGATTCCTGTTCATCGTAGAGATTGCTTGCACCCAAAACCGCACTCTGAGCCAGGTGTCTAACCAAGGAAATTAAAAAACATAATTAAGCGTCAATTTGCGGTGAGAAACAGCGCAACGCTCTTCAATTCCGTGTCGTAAGACAAAGTTAAGAAAATAAGGATATTTTTCAACGATTCATTCACAATATGCGCCCATCTTTTCCATCCCTAATCATTCTGGTTTCCTTTGGGTTTATTATTTCTAAGTTTGTGCTTCTCTATCTTACCACGCTAATATACAGTACCACAATTTCTTTAGAAACTTGCCCCCTTTATTCCTTGAGGACAGATTGAAAATTTTACATGATTAGATGATAAAGATAATTTTTAATTTCCTAACTAAAAACAGGTTTGATTCTAGAATAGTTTTTTAAACAATGAAGATAAATACCTTCTGGCAACACGTCTTACTGTCTCGCGCTTGCTGTCTTTCATGCAGTTCTCCAGGTTTGAATTTTGGATACATTTTGTGACACTTTCCTCAAAGGAAAGTTGAAACAGCGACATAGCATCTCGAAGAACATTATCATAAATAATGACGTCACGATATTTCCCAGGACTTTTAAGCGTTACTTTCAGCATTCCTGGAGTAATCACCTGAGGACCCGTTGTCAAATGGCTGGTCATCTCTGTAATAACCCAAACAGTCGTCCTCTGCTTGTCGTCCGCTCCCGTTGCAATTATCTCAAACAACTGCGCATGGTCATGGTGGCTCAGCCTGCTGTGCATAATCACAGCGTCGCTTGCTTTTGAGATTACTTCTCGAAGGTCAGATTTTGTGCGATTTGTAACCGTGTCATCAATCAACCAGAGTGTTTTAATTATTTTCCATTTCGCCTTAGCAGCGTAGTAAAGCATACCATCAGCAAATATTTTTCCCTCGTAATCGGCGGAAAACACAAAACAAAGAGTTCGCCATCGTTGTTTCATAATTATTTTTTGAACTGAGGCAACATAACTGGAGATCGAAGGGAAGGCATCTTTGGTAAAATCACCAGGATTCTCCTAAAAGAAAAGGAAATATGACAGGAATCAATTCAAAGGAAAAGTAAGCTAAAGGAGCCCTAAATTGTGAGTGCTTTTGCGACACAAAGAGTTCCTTCAGCGTCAAGATCGATCAAATGGAGTCTCACCATCAAATTTGGGAGGCCTGATTTCGAAAATCTGTTTCAATTCTTCATAAATATCATAAATATCATAAATTTCTCCTCAACTCGGTAATTTTAAAACTTCTTCATCAAATTTTTTTTACATTCATCACAAAAGAACATTAAAAATTCATGAACTCAAACATAGATGGTTACATTTGGCTCGATTTGGGCAAAGTTAGACACAGACTGGCAAGATTTAGATTTAAAAAACGTTATTTCTTGCTTGCTCTCATGTATTCCTTAATTTCATGGACGACATTTTATATTTGTACCTGAGTTAAGAGAACTTCTTGATCCTGAAAAAGACCAAATGTTGGGATGCCTGATATTTCCAAGAGTGAAGATAAAGCAATCGATTCTTTGGTGACCTCGTGAAAAATTGCCCCATCCAATAAATCATCAAGATTTTGCAGGAAATGTAGTGTGCCTAGGACTCCCACTTTTCTGCGTTTAACTTGGGATGCATTGGTCTGCAACCATGTTAAGTTTATCACGTTAGATGTTTGTGGGAAACTATCCAGTTGAAACATATGACGCGCTTTCTCAACGATGCTTTCATTAGGAAGAGCATTGTGAAAAATCAGAATAGTAACATTGTAGCTCGCTTGTGAAAGACCAAACACCAGAAAAGAAAATAGGAATGGTGTAAGTTTGAACTTAAAGGGAAACATCGAAAAATATAGCTACTTCACTGCAAACAATTGTCAATCTTGAAAGTCATGGATACGTCTGATTTCACAAAAGACCTTCCAATCTATTATCAATAAGCTATAGTATTGTATTCGTCTGAGAGATCACCGCGTGAGTCCATGGAACAATACTCACGGCCACTGCGAATAAAACTTTTAGTTCAAGGATGCTTTTCAATTGTCCGGAAACCACTCGAATTAGAAACCATCGCTTTTTTTCCTACCGTCCCAGATTCTAAAAAAAAAATTGTCCAACCCCCAAAAAAGTAAACTATTTGAGAAGTTAAACAAGAAGTTAAATTCCATATAAAGGTTGTGTTCATCATGGTAAAGTACAATAATACTAAAGTATATAATATGAAGACCAGCAGTACGCAGTCAAAACGTCGCGATTTACATCATAAGTGACCACATCGTGAGACAAACGATAACTCTTTATTATTAAGAAGTTAAATTCATGCAAATTTTGTACGAACAGGGTAACCGAGCTGATTGGAAAATAGACCAGATATCCTATGGTCTAAAAAAACCAGAAAGAGGCCTGTAATGCAGATCCAAGACAACTCATGAACAGTCTAATTCTCTGAGTATGTTATCCTGCATTATTCTGGTGTAATATTTCCATTGCCATGGATATTTAAGCCTGATTTTTATTCGACGAGACCAGCGGTTGAATACCCGTGGTTGCAGACCAGCGATTGGAGATTTAATTTTCAACCCATCCTTTCAAAATAGTAGTCATTTAATGTTATTACCGAGTTGATAACGTAAAGTAACCACCATAAAGAGTTTAAAAGCTGAAATTTCCAGCGTTAACTCTTCGTCTGACGGTGGGCTAACGCTCGAAACGTCAGCTATCAACTCATTTGATAATACTAAATTACCCTGTTATACTCTCCCACCGACGCAGCTCCACAGTTTTTTCTTTCACAACAGTAGTTTTCATATTGCTTGAACAATTAACTAACTGATTACGTTTTTAATAGTTTGCATATTTCATCTCAAATCACTAACAATTCACTGAGGCATTTTTCAAATCTCCTTGAACGGATGAGTTTTGAGTCAGATTTAAAATAATTCATAATGCTGACATTGACTTTGTGTGAATATTTGAAATCAGCGAAAATCTTAAAATATTTAGATCCAAGCAGTACGACTGGCATATAAATCAAGTCATTTTAGCTTTGCTACTGAACGAGAACTGAACTTTCACAAAATGCTCATTAATTAACCCTCTGACGTACAAGGAAGGGGGGGAATGAGTGCCACCTCCCCCCCATTTTATCAAGAGGATTTTATCCGGGCGAATGTCCACTTCAATAGCATCTTGTTTATCATGAGACATATTTGCTGTGAACTTGGTAGAAATCTGCGAATAGATGTAGGACATACTTTATTACTAACAAGTTAGGTGTGGTTTAAGGGTTGACGTGAGCTACGAAAGATTAATGGTTTTAATTTTTAAAGTAAAGGACAGTAATCCCTTAGTCTTATTTTCTATTTTCTTGTCAGCTTTGACAGTAACTGTTCTTTTGAAAAGCAAAAACTTATAGTGAAAAAAATGAAATATCTAAAAAAGTCTGCCATGTCGGAATACGTCATTGAAACAGAGCAGCGCAATTTGCATATGTATCCCAGGATAATAATAACATCTTGTAGACCACATAAACGGCTCTCTGTTAGATGTAAAAACTTTTTAAATATTGCAACGGAACGAAAACGCGAGGGAGGGTTGCAACTAATCCCTCCCTCCCCCCTCTTGTGCCACAGTGGAGGTATAAGTTTTTATGTACGTTTGATAACGAAACTTGGATAATAAGGTGACAAGAAATAAACAACATCATCCTTTTCAACGTTCTTCAGTTCTGAACAAAGTTTGAAAAAGAAAGATCTTTTAATTTCTAACGGATCCACAAATTCAACGAGTAAGACTGGGTTGGAGCGTTATTTATGTTAGCATCGTAACCAAAGTCATATTCAGTGGCACTGCTTCCCAGGTCAACAAAAGAAGCTTCGTTAGTTTCTGTGATCCCAATCCCATGATCAGCACGTGCACATCTACTTCCTCCCCCACCAATCATCACCACTGCTCCATCCCCACTTTCCCAGTCACACCAGAAGCCGATCCTCTTAGCGCTCTGGATGTTTCCATTGCAATCAGCCTGTTGAAACCCGTCTGTTGAATTATATTGTCCGCCATATTGAACCGTACAACTTCCCAGACACTGATCACTGGCCCAGACCTTGCCATTTCTAAAGTCGCCATAACTTGTGATTTTAGATCGGAATGTTTGTCCACCCAAACAGTTACCTGTGGTCTGTAACAAAGGGTTGTGGCTGGGGTCGTCACTGCGCGTGATCTTTATTTCTCTGCCGCTGATCGACCAAAAGGCTGTTGAAATCATATCGTCGTTCACTAAAGGGTTGTTTGTCGTTCCAGTGGCAATTTGTCGGTCATACCACCAAAATCCATCGTCACGCATCCAATTCTTGCCATCGCTGTTTGAGAATCGAGCGATGAGAGTCCAGCCTGCATTAAAAGAACAGTTCTAATACTTTCTTTTTTTCAATAATCGTGTATGAACATTTAAATTTTTTGTCTACGTCTTTCTGGCATATGATAGGAATATTGTAGTTGTTAGCTTCGTATTCTTTTCATAGCTTGAAACGAATTGTGCAATGATCTCACCCTTCTTCTGTTTTTCTGATTTTCCTTTCCGTAAAATCTTTCGGGTGACCATAATGAAAAGATATAACAGTTAGCTGCAAATTGGCCAAAATCTTAATCGTTAGCCGTAAAAGCCATCACCCCATTAAGACACTCTTTGAAGGCTACCTTTTGAGTCAGAGGTAAATCTATATAACTAGGAGGATTTAGGACACCGATTGCAATTTTAAGAGCCTCTCTTTCTAACTATAGTTTTCCAGAGGAAACAAAAAGGCGAGGGGGGGGGGCACTCGCTCGGTTTTGCCATCTGATATTCACAATCGGCCAGAAAATTTGAAAATGTGAAGTAAATAATGGTTCTTAACTGTTGCAAAACGATAATCCCATGCTTCATAAACCGTACTTTTTTTGCTACTTTATCTTCTCGCTCTTTGTCAAACAAGTTTTTGAAAGCTTTACACCGGTAGTCACAAGCTTTTCGAGATGAAAATTTTGTTTTTTATCAGTAAGCGCGAGCCTATTTGTAAAAGATGAAATGATCAAAACTCGTAGAGAGGAATTAGTTATAGCTTAACTAATAAACTGACTCTGAGAAGTGTGACTAACAGATTATTAACAAATAGGGCTTATTTATACATGTTTTTCCATTCCCATAAAATCCACTTTTGCATGAACATGTGTAGGAGCCATAACTGTTCTGGCAGTTTGCATTGACGTCACAGGGCCTGATGGAAGCACTGCACTCGTCAATATCTGGAGGAAAAACGAAATTAGCTTGGGAGTTAATTAACGGGAGAATTTGGAAATATACAACGAGGACAAGAGAGCGGTAAACAGCTCAGCTTTGAGTCATTCTCCGGTAATGAAAGAGAATTACACCGTCAGTAAAGTTTGAAGCAGTCTTGTTAATGTACACTAAATTGTGTCTCACCCGTTTCACAATGTTCCCCTGTGTATCCTTTCGCGCAAACGCACACGTAACTGTTCTTCTCGTACTGTGCCGCACATTTCCCATTGTTCTGACAAGGCCATTTGAAACATGGAGACTAAAGAAAACATATAACAATAAGAAAGAAACGAGAAAGATGTGGCACTAATCATTTTATAGATCATCATGGACCGTGTTTACGGAAAGAGTCAGTATCTCTCAATAAACCTTCCTCGCTAATACCCAAATTTCTTTTTAAGTCTTCTGCTCAAATAACCCCTCTCCCTATTTCTGCGATTAAACACACTGCCCTCCTTAAACTAAGGAGAAACTTCAAAAGAAAAACACATGGCCAGTGTTGTCAGATTGGACCAGTTAGTCTTTAGGCGTATTATTAAAAAGGTAAAAAATAAAAACGTCCATGAGCATTTGTCTACGATTCCTCTCCTTTTCCTTTCACAAAAACAGATTGAAAAAAATTTTTCATTTCCAACTTACTGCGATACTAAAGTGATGGTGACTCTGAATAGGGACAAGCTTGTCTGAGTTGTTGTACAAATCCGATGGAAGTAATTCACACAGAACTTTGCCATTGATATCTTGAAATTCAGCCAGGTTAAACGAAAAACACGACGGAATGTTGACGCAAGCAAATCCACACTCACTGCCCTTTCCAACATAATGCGAACCAATAGCAGTGATGTTGAGGTAGGAAAACTTGTGAACCTTAAATTTGGCATAAGCCATTCCTTTAACTGTACCTCGGCTGAGAGGTTTACCTCGCACATCGACGACTTTTGTTTCTAGAAATGAAGAGAGGAATAATAAATGATAAATTAAAAGTATTCTGCTCATGGACGATATGTAATCAGGAGTCAGTCTAAAACGCTTTATGTACCACGAGAAGCATGCGGTAGAAAAACTTTTTTCACCAGTCAATGGAAATAGTTCTATTACGATTTCATTGTAATAACTATTACAAAGGTCGTCGGAATCCAAGACTTTAAGAAGGCGAAGTCACTACAGCTTTCACGACTTACAAGTGAAGTGAATCTCAAAGTACATGGTACTTAACGCACATGATTGGCTAACTCGAGTCACGTGATATAAGGCGATTGCGTGACATAATAACAAGCTGGAAATCTGAGTTGGTACTAGCACCCTTCTACATCAAATTATTGGACGTCTTTTCTACATTTTCGACTTTGTCTTTGCTCTGCGGATACTCCAATGAACTGGTCACGTATTCAAACTCGTACATTGCGGCAGAAGCTGAAAATTCATTCGAATTAAAAGGCGATCCATTGTCACTGTGGAATGTATCAGGAATTCCATGGGTGGCGAAACGTTTCTGCAGCTTTCCAATCACTGCGACTCCCGTCTTTGCCTTGTGTAACTCGTCGATCTCGAAGTAACCCTAGTAATAGTCAACTGTACACAAATAGTAGCAGTTATTAGATGTGAATATGTCGGAGCCGACTTTTTCCCAGGGGCGTTGTGTGACTCCATGGCAAATTAGAGGCTTTTTCTGTTGAACAGGCTTGAGGGTGTTGTTAGTTTCACACTCTGAGATAAATTCTTCCAGTTCTCTGTTCATGTTAGGCCAATAGACAATTCACGTGCCCCTCTCAAACAACCTTGAATACCGATATGGGATCGGTGGAGCTTCTCTTTAATCTTGGGTCTCAGACTCATCGGGATGACGCTTTTTAGACCTTTGAAAAAACACATTCTTGAGCAGCCAACTCGTCTCTCACGATGAAATATTGGCGCAGCTCAATAGGTAGTCTTTCTCTTTGGTTGGTCCATCCATTCAGAATCACTTCTTTCAGAGACTGTAGGATAGGATCTTTGGCAGTTTCTTCACGGATTTCACGGAGTGGATTCTTTCTACTTCTTGATCTGCCTTTCATGGAAGGTGTTCCAGAAGTAGGTAGGCTCTGGAAAGAGTATCGGAAAGATACAACTCTGGGCCACGCTTGTACTTTATTTCCACATCATACTGCAGTAGCCTCGACATAAGACATTGTAGCCGTTTTGGAGCTGCAGCAAGAGGTTTCTTAGCAATCATCTCCAAAGGCTTGTGGTCTGTCCACAAAGTAACTTCCTGCCATAAACGTACCGATGATTTTTCTCTACGCCAAATACTTGAGCTCTGCTAGCATAGGTTATAGGCTGACATTGTTGCATGAGCGCGAAGCCGATTCCTTTCTCTTACGTGTCTCCTTCTCCTTCAGTAGGTGCACTTGGAGTGATAAACTTCAAGACTGGAGCTGTAGACACAGCCTTTTTGATTTTCACGGAGGCTTCTTCTTGCTCTTGAGAGCCCTCCCAAGGAACATCTTTATGTGTAAGTCTTCGAAAGGGCTCTGACATATCAGACAGGTCTTCTAGAAACCTTGAGAGGTACTTGACTGTGTTCACAAAGCGCTGTACGGCTTGAACATCTTCAGGTTTTGGCATGCTGCAGATAGCTTCTACCTTTTTCGGATTAGGTTTCAATCCTTCGCTGGTTAACAAGTAACCGATAAATGGAACTTCGGGGCATTTTAACTCAAACTTCTCTCTATTGAACTTAAACATTAATTGATTCGTGAGGCTCTTGTTTTCTGTTGTTGAACCTGTAGCGTTTATAGATGACATTCTTCTGGCCAATACAATGGGAGTTCTATAGATCTAAAACAACTTTTATGTCCTATTTCTCATCTTCGGTACGAAACGGCAAACCATTGTGTACTTTGTGGAATCTTTTCAAGAGGCTCCATAACTTCTTATCATGGTCAGGCGATGCTGCTGACAGGATAGCACCCTTTCCTGTGATCAGCAGGTCGTCAAAGATTCTGCGTACACCAGGCAGCCCTTCTAAATTCTGATCAAGCCTTTGTTGAAACAGCTCAGAGGCAGGTGAGATTCCTAATGGCATGTTTCCAACAGAAGCGTCCTCATGGCGTCTGGAATGTTGTCCGCAAACTTGACTCGTCGTCGAGCTCAACATGCATGAAATCATCCTTGAGGTCTGCTTTGCTGAAGACTTTGACATCGGCTAAATCAGGAAGAACATCTTCTATAGGATAGTGTGACCGCTTCAGTGCCTGATTCAGGTAGACCGGGTCAATGCAGACTCTCAATGTTCCATTGGGCTTTTCAACCCCAAAGAGACTTGACACCCAGTTGGTAGGCTCTTCTTCTTTGCGAATTGTTTGTAGTCCTTCTAGGCGATCTAGTTCCGACTTTAATTTATCCTTGATTGCGAACGGAACTCGGCGAGGTGGGTTGATTATCGGTGTGACTGTCATGTCAATTTCGAGGTGAAGCTTTCCTTCCATTCAGCCTTGTCCTTTGAAAACATCTCCAAACTCCTCTTTCTTTTCTTTAAGACCTGCAGTGTTAGTGGTGACTTGCTGAATGTTCTCTTGCTGCACTGTTATTAGATTCATTTGCTGAGAAGCGCGAGATCCAATCAGCAGTGTGTAATCGCCTTTCACAACAAGAAATGCAGCATTGTATTTCTTGTTCTTCGGGTTACGCATGCTCACTCGACATGTTCCTAAAACGGGCATTGTAGAGTAGCTGTACATCTTCAAAGTACGGTCGGACTCAACAAAGTTAGTTCCTGACGGCACAAACTTCTGAGGCAAAACATTACACAAAGTACCCGTGTCAGTCTGCATTTGGACAATTTCGTCTGCAATTTCCATCGTCGCGAATATTTTCTTTTCAGGAAGGCTGTGTTCGTGGACCGTATGCACATTTCCTTCGGTCGATCGAGTCGAAGGTTACGGACAGCAATTCTTCTTCGGATGAATAATCCGGGTCTACCATGTTAACATCGTTCCGTGGCCGGCTAGTTCTATCTGGAGCACTCCTGCACATTTCGGCAAAATGGTTTGGCCTGTTGCAAGCACGGCACACCTTTCCAAACGCGGGACATTTGATGCATTGCTTGATGTGGCTTCTTCCGCAGTGTTTAAAACATTTCAATATCCTTTGGATTCAGGTAAGGGTTGTTTTGGATTATTATTGCTTCGTTTCGGTGGCGCTTTCGAGTTCAAAGCTCGCAATACTCTAGTTTCAAGCCAAAGATTGCAGTGCCGTCGCATAAACATCAATTGATTCGTGAGGCTCTTGTTTTCGGTTGTTGAACCTGTAGCGTTTATAGATGACATTCTTCTGGCCAATACAATGGGAGTTCTATAGATCTAAAACAACTTTTATGTCCTATTTCTCATCTTCGGTACGAAACGGCAAACCAATGTGTACTTCGAGCGCGTCGGCGCCAATGTATGTGATGAAAGTCGCTACGCGAAATCCGCTTTCTTTCTCGTTTAACTTCGTGACGGTTTCGTAAGCGTCCATACTTGCTTCCATTTTTCCAGTTGTCAGAGCTTGAGCTTGAGCTTGGTTACTTTCGACGTAAAAGTCGGTAAAGGAAACATGTTGTGTTGAACCAGTGGTCGAGCCAAAGGTGTTCGAATTTGCCGGCGTTGTCGGAATTTCTCGATTTACACGTTTTGCGCGTCACTCTTAAAGGTTCGAGGACGAGGATAATTTAGAATAAGTCTCCTGACACCATATTACGATTCCATCGTAATGACTCGCACAAAGGCAGTCGGAATCCAAGACTTTACCAAGGTGAAGTCACCACAGCTTCCGCATCTTAAAGCACATGGTAGTTAACGCGCATGATTGGCTAACACAAGTCACGTAATTAAGGCGATTGCCTAGCATATTAATGTTACAAGTTCCTTGAAGGTTCAAGGAGTCCAAACCGCATTTCGAAGTCGAAGTTATATGCTATCTTCGCCAGGCCACCGAAATCTGATCAGTTCCCTCGCATTTGAATTAAGCAATTTTAGAACAAATTGAAAGGACCTTGTCAAAGTGTAAAACGATATGGTAAAATTCTAAGGGAAAATTATAATTTGTCCGGAACAGATCATATATCGATTAAAAACCTGTCGTAAATTTGTGTATACCAGAACGAAAATTTGTCTATATCATTTCTGTGCCGCTTTCGCTAAGAGCGGTCGTCTCGACTTCCCGTCCAAAAACAGTTTTATTTTATTTTTTTTGTCCATGAAAAGGGTTTAGGACACATGTTTCAAAAATAGTTCAGTTGTGCTCCAATTCTCTTTTTTGATTTTTTAAAATGATTTTTTGGCCAGACCACCCGTGTGGACAGCGATCGAAAATATAAATTTCACACATTTTGTCCAGCGCGCAGCGACTGTGATAATATTGGTCACGGAATTATATCCTGCTACAAGCTACAAGATGTATTCAGTTAGTTCACAGACAAAATATGGAAACTTCAGCTGAAATATTTCTCACACCAGCGCGATAAGAGGAGACCCTTCCCCTCGACCTTAATTTGCAAATCAAAATTAAATATAATGACCAGAGTGCCAAATTTTATTCTTTAATTTTGATCTTCTCCTCACTGTACATAGTACATGACTGGGTGTTTCAACGCAAATTATTGAGAAGGCGTCTTCGATCATCTTTCTTTACTTTGTAAGTCGCGCTAGCGCGCAAGCGTCACGACCGATCACGTTTACGCAACGTTCTAGGAAAACTCGGCATCTATTCTCCATTTAGTTGTTCTGAAAACATAGAGTCCTCAAAATAGAAGATAAAGAAAACGAAGTTTGAACGGTCAAAAGGCAAATGATATTTGACACGAGCGCATTTGAGCCAACACATGAATTTGCGTTGTTTTTAAGACGTTGGTGTATGAAGGTTAGAGATATACCCGCGCGTTTGAGGCAATCGGTGATCTCAATGGTGTATGCTTTTTTAGCCCGATTAACGCCTGTATTTTTCCGAGAATTCTTTCGTACAAATCGGTGAGTTTTTTTTTATTTTCAAATTAAGATCGAGGAGCAGGGTCTTCTCTGATCACGCTGGTATGAAAAATAGGTTTCAGGTGAAGTTTCCATATTTTGGCTGTGAACTAATTAAAATTTACACTTTCGATCGCTGCCCACACCGGTGGTCTAGCCAAAAATCATTTCCGGCTTGTGGCGAAAAAAAAAGTGAATTGGAGAACAACTAAACTATTTTTATAACATGTGTCCTAAAACCCTTTTCATGGGCAAAAAAAAAAAAAATCAAAGAAAACTTTTTTTTGAAGGGAAGTCGAGACGACCGCTCTTAGCGAGAGCGGCACTTAATAGACTGAAAGCCGACTCTTGTTGAAAACTTTGAATTATTGATCAGTAAGAAGTATATAAATAACTTTAATCAGGGTTCAGTTTAAAACGCTTTACGTACCATGAGAAGTATGCGGTAGAAAAACTATTTCCCTAGTGCAAGGAAATAGTTCCTTGAAAGTTAGAGTTAGAAAGTTAGTTAGAGTCCAAACCGCATTTCGAAGTCGAACTTACATGCTTTCTTCATCAGGCTACCGAAATTTGAAAAGCTCCCTGCTATTTGAATTAAGCAATTTTATAACAAATTGAAAGGAACTTGCCAATTTTGATCGTCTCCACACTGTGCGTAGTTTATGACCAGATGTTTCAACGAAATTTATCTAGAAAACGCCTTTCGATCAACTTTGTTTACTTTGTAAGTCACGCAAGAGCGCAAGCGTTACGACCTATCTCGTTTACGCAACGTTCAGGACAACTCGGCATCTATTCTCCATTTAGTTGTTATGAAAACCTAAAACCCTCAACGTAGAAGATAAAGAAAACGAAGTTTGAACGGTCGAAAGGAAATCCTGGTCAATTTTCTTAATGAGCATAGAGAGGAAGCTAACTCTTGATGAAAACTTAGGATTATTGATCAGTAAGAAGTATATTAATATCTTTAATCAGGTTTCAGTCTAAAACACTTTACGTACCATGAGAGGAATGCGCTAGAAAAACTATTTTCACCGGTGCATGGAAATAGTTCCTTGAAAGTTCAGAGAGTCCAAACTGTATTTTGAAGTCGAAGTTATATGCTATCTTCACCAGGCCACCGAAATTTGATCAGTTCCCTGGTATTTGAATTAAGCAATTTTATAACAAATTGAGAGGAACTTGCCAAAGTGTAAAACGATATGGTAAAATTGTATGGGTTAGTTATTATTTTTTCGGTAACAGATCATACATCAATTGAAAACCTGTCGTAAATTTATGCACATCTAGACTGAAATTTGTCTATATCATTTAATTAGCATATACAGGAAGCCGACTCCTGTTTAAAACTTTGAATTATTGATCAGTAAGAAGTATATCAATATTTTTAATCAGGAGTCACTCTAATACGCTTTACGTGCCATGCATGAGAAGCATGTGGTAGAACAACCAGAATTTTCTCTAGTGCATGGAAATATTTCCTTGAAAGTTTAAGGAATCCAAACTGAATTGGAAGTCGAAGTTATATGCTACTTCACCAGGCCACCGAAATCGGATCAGTTCTTCAGCATTTGAATTAAACAATTTTATAACAAAGTATGAAGAACTTGCATGAGCGTGAAACGATATGGTAAAATCCTAAGGGATAATTATTATTTGTTGTAACAGATCACGTATCAATTGATGAGATATCGTTTACATAGGACTGAAATTTGTCTTTATCATTTAATTAGCAGGAAGCCTCACTGAAAACTTGAATTATTGATCGGTAAGAAGTATATCAATTTTTTTATCTCCTTCATGCAGTTTTCAAGCTTTTACATTTCGATATCTCATATCTAAAACAGTCGAATCATATTACACCAAGGTAATTTAGTGTTATCGCCTGATTTTAAAACGTAAATTGGCCACCGTAAAGAGTTTAAAGGCTGACGTTTCGAGAGTTAGAGCCTTAGCGTTAGCCCTTCGTCCATCGCTCTGACGAAGGGCTAACGCTCGAAACGTCAGCCTTTAAACTCTTTACGGTGGTCAAATTACGTTTTCAAATCAGTTGGTAACACTAAATGACCCTGTTATACTCTCCCACCGACGCAGAACCACAGTTTCTTTAGAAACATGCCCCCTTTATATTACACCACGCCTGTTTTACTCTGCCATCTTGCATTTGTAAACTGACAAAATATAACATCAGACATGACTTCCGAAAATCAACCAGTAAGAGCTGGCAAGTTTTCACGAAAATAGTTTTCTTATACTCTTAATGAGGACAATAACCATGAGAAAACTCAGCAAAGGGATGAGTGTTCTTAAGATACCTGTCATTTAATTTTCCGTAGAAGTTGATATCCTTCAAACTTACTAACTCTTTTTCGGGACAAAACAGTTGCAGCACTTTTCAAGAAACATGCAATTTTGGAGCAGATGCACGGAGAATCAAAATATCACTCATACTCCACTACCTATTTTTCCTTTCCTTTCTTCCTCCTATATTTTGCTATTATTCTCAGAAACACTATTTATATCATTGCTCTCTCCATAAAGTTGTTAATCATCTCATGATAGGACTCCGCTTTTGATGAACAAGTTAATGTGTGTCTTGGCAACAATTTTCAGCATTTCACCCAAGACACAAGCTCAAACTTTTTCCCTCACTCCGGTATTTTCGAGGAAAAAATTGATCTTTACTGCATTCTGAAGTAGGTGTGAAAGAATGCCATGGGGACACGAAGGAGATGGCAGCTTTTAGCGTAACATTACCAAAAATGAACCGAAAATATAGTTCATCTAAAAGCTTTGAATGCATTCCAGCAAAAATATCCAGTTTACTATATAACTAGTAACATAATAATAATTATATCACCTTGGTCTGCAACAGCCCGGCAATGAAACCATGAGAAGAAAAGAACAGACACAAAACCAAAGGGAAGCATCGTGAAAAGGAAGCATTGATCTTTAAAATACATCGTATACAACTGAAATATATACAGCGACAGACTGTTCGTTAACTACTGACGATTTTAGGATGTTGCGCGACTGAACATCAGGGTTGTGGGTCCTAATTCGACGACCATTAGAAGACCACTGCCCTCGTTTGTTTCTGTAACGTAAAGCAGTGAATTTTTAATGTCGTTTGGCTTTTTCAGCATAATAAATTATTTAAAGTGTGGTTGTCTATGCCGCCTAGAATAGATCAGTTAACAACCCACGCTCACGATTTTGAAATGTGATTGTTTGGCATATGTTTTTTTTTTTCGAGAAACATTCAGGCGCAATTCCGAACATCTTTCATGTTAATTATCTAGTTTCTCTTCTTCCAAATAGCCAGTTCTAGAGGTATTTAACGCTAAAGATTATATTTCTGAGATATTACCCGTTTATACCAATGGAATGAGACGAGGTGTTCTTCTCCTTAAATGGAAAATTATTTCTCGAGAAATTTTTTTCCATGAAAATCCCACTAAATGAACTCTAATGAATTTTCTATTACATTCAAACAACAGTTGAAAAAGGAATATGATTTATATTATTGTGGAGGCGGACAAGCCCGAGTAGTATTCCTTCATTTATAATCATTGAAGGAGTCGACTTAGATTAAAATATAATTTATGTTTGAAAAAACATGCATGTTACATATCAAGCATAAAGATTTATTTTTTGTTCACATCGTGATTGGTTTACTCTAAATACTAGCATTATAGTTCTCAACCTTCTTTTTGGAAAACAAATAGATGACGCAGATATTGTACTCTTTCCACAACGTGCTACAAACAAGAAAGTACAATATAGGGGGCCAGGCCAGGGACTGGCCTAAAAACAGAATGCAGAATTCTTAATTGATTTCCTATAAAAATGAATCATAGAGGCATCATCTAAACTACAAGCTAGCTATCTTTTAAAAAAATAACTGAAACATGTTGTAGACAGTTGTTGAAACCAAATAAAAAAGTTTATTCAGCAAAATGACATTTAAATGTTCTCGACTTTGAAGCAGGCGTCTATTCTCCATTTAGTTGTTCTGAAAACATAGAGTCCTCAAAATAGAAGATAAAGAAAACGAAGTTTGAACGGTCAAAAGGCAAATGATATTTGACACGAGCGCATTTGAGCCAACACATGAATTTGCGTTGTTTTTAAGACGTTGGTGTATGAAGGTTAGAGATATACCCGCGCGTTTGAGGCAATCGGTGATCTCAATGGTGTATAAACTGTGCATTGATATGCTTTTTTAGCCCGATTAACGCCTGTATTTTTCCGAGAATTCTTTCGTACAAATCGGTGAGTTTTTTTTATTTTCAAATTAAGATCGAGGAGCAGGGTCTTCTCTGATCACGCTGGTATGAAAAATATTTCAGGTGAAGTTTCCATATTTTGGCTGTGAACTAACTAAAATTTACACTTTCGATCACTGTCCACACCGGTGATCTAGCCAAAAATCATTTCCGGCTTGTCGCGACGCAAAAAAAAGTGAACTGGAGAACAACTAAACTATTTTTATAACATGTGTCCTAAAACCCTTTTCATGGGCAAAAAAAAAAAAAAATCAAAGAAAACTTTTTTTTGAAGGGAAGTCGAGACGACCGCTATTAGCGAGAGCGGCACTTAATAGACTGAAAGCCGACTCTTGTTGAAAACTTTGAATTATTGATCAGTAAGAAGTATATAAATAACTTTAATCAGGATTCAGTTTAAAACGCTTTACGTACCATGAGAAGTATGCAGTAGAAAAACTATTTCCCTAGTGCATGGAAATAGTTCCTTGAAAGTTAGAGTCCAAACCGCATTTCGAAGTCGAACTTACATGCTTTCTTCATCAGGCTACCGAAATTTGAAAAGCTCCCTGCTATTTGAATTAAGCAATTTTATAACAAATTGAAAGGAACTTGCCAATTTTGATCGTCTCCACACTGTGCGTAGTTCATGACCAGATGTTTCAACGAAAATTATCTAGAATACGCCTTTCGATCACCTTTGTTTACTTTGTAAGTCACGCAAGAGCGCAAGCGTTACGACCTATCTCGTTTACGCAACGTTTAGGACAACTCGGCATCTATTCTCCATTTAGTTGTTATGAAAACCTAAAACCCTCAACGTAGAAGATAAAGAACACGAAGTTTGAACGGTCGAAAGGAGATCCTGGTCAATTTTCTTAATGAACATAGAGAGGAAGCCTACTCTTGATGAAAACTTAGGATTATTGATCAGTAAGAAGTATATTAATATCTTTAATCAGGTTTCAGTCTAAAACACTTTACGTACCATGAGAGGAATGCGCTAGAAAAACTATTTTCACCGGTGCATGGAAATAGTTCCTTGAAAGTTCAGAGAGTCCAAACTGTATTTTGAAGTCGAAGTTATATGCTATCTTCACCAGGCCACCGAAATTTGATCAGTTCCCTGGTATTTGAATTAAGCAATTTTATAACAAATTGAGAGGAACTTGCCAAAGTTTAAAACGATATGGTAAAATTGTATGGGTTAGTTATTATTTTTTCGGTAACAGATCATACATCAATTGAAAACCTGTCGTAAATTTATGCACATCTAGACTGAAATTTGTCTATATCATTTAATTAGCATATACAGGAAGCCGAATTTGAATTATTGATCGTTAAGAAGTATATCAATATTTTTAATCAGGAGTCACTCTAATACGCTTTACGTGCCATGCATGAGAAGCATGTGGTAGAACAACCAGAATTTTCTCTAGTACATGGAAATAGTTCCTTGAAAGTTTAAGGAATCCAAACTGAATTGGAAGTCGAAGTTATATGCTACTTCACCAGGCCACCGAAATCGGATCAGTTCTTCAGCATTTGAATTAAACAATTTTATAACAAAGTATGAAGAACTTGCATGAGCGTGAAACGATATGGTAAAATCCTAAGGGCTAATTATTATTTGTTGTAAAAGATCACATATCAATTGATGAGATATCGTTGATTTATATATATTTGGTCTGAAATTTTTTTTCTTTACCATTTAATTCGATATCTCATATCTAAAACAGTCGCAGGAAGCCTCACTGAAAACTTTGAATTATTGATCAGTAAGCTCTTATATTTATATATAGTGTATTAAGCCTCACTGAAAACTTTTTTTTTTATCTCCTTCATTCAGTTTTCAAGTGTTTACATTTCGATATCTCATATCTAAAACAGTCGAATCATATTACGCCAAGGTAATTTAGTGTTATCGACTGATTTTAAAACGTAAATTGGCCACCGTAAAGAGTTTAAAGGCTGACCTTTCGAGCGTAAAGTTGTTAATCATCTCATGATAGGACTCCGCTTGTGATGAACAAGTTAATGTGTGTCTTGGTAACAATTTTAAGCATTTCACCCAAGACACCAGCTAAAACTTTTTCCCAATCCGGTATTTTCGAGGAAAAAAATGATCTTTACTGCATTCTGAAGTAGGTGTGAAAGAATGCCATGGGGATACGAAGGAGATGGCAGCTTTTAGCGTAACATTACCAAAAATGAACCGAAAATATAGTTCATCTGAAAGCTTTGAATGTTATTCCAGCAAAAATATCCAGTTTACTAAATAACTAGTAACATGATAATAATTATATCACCTTGGTCTGCAACAGCCCGGCAATGAAACCATGATGAGAATAGAAAAGACGCAAAACCAAAGGGAAGCATCGTGAAAAGGAAGCATTGATCTTTCAAATACATCATATACAACTGAAATATATACAGCGGCAGACTGTACGTTAACTGCTGACGATTTTAGGATGTTGCACGACTAGAGATCAAGGTTGTGGTTTGTTTCTATAACGCAAAGCAGTAAAATTTTAATGTTATTTGGCTTTTTCAGCATTATAAATTATTTAAAGCGTGGTTGTCTATGCCGCCTAGGATAGATCAGTTAACAACCCACGCTCACGATTTTGAAATCGAGAAACATTCAGGCGCAATTCCCAACATCTTTCATGTTAATTATCTGGTTTCTCTTCCAAATAACCAGTTCTAGAGGTAGTTAACACCAAAAAAGATTACATGGATTCGTTATTTTCTGCGATATTACCCGTTTATACCAATGGAATGAGACGAGGTGTTCTCCTGAAATAGAAAATTAAAACAAGCTTGTTTATTGGCAGAAAATGCTATAGAGACGTAGCATTTGTGCGTTTTGTTGTTAATATCCGACGTTTTATATGTATTGTTATAAAACAAACAGATAAGGGGCAGTATTGGTCCTGCAGGTATCGATTTAGCGGGTGAAATGTAAACCTTGATTTCATTTTTAACTTTTCCCATGTTTCAAATGCAAGTGTTTTCTGTTTTTTCCTCTTCTTTTTGTAGTCTCTTGTTTGTTCATAAGACTTTACACGTAATTACTCTAGATCTAGTAATTTTGCATACCGGAACTGAAATTTTCAATTGAAAAGACATTACTTTCGGAAGTATGAGCCGTTGAAATATCTATATTGGAAAACTCTGTTTCAGATCTCGAGAAATTTCTTTCCATGAGAATCCCACTAAATGAACTCTAATGAATTTTCTACTTCATTCAAACAACAGCTGAAAAAGGAATATGATTTATATTATTGTGGAGGCGGACAAGCCCGAGTAGTATTCCTGCATTTATAAACATAGAAGGAGTCGACTCAGATTAAATTTAATTTATGTTTAAAAAAACATTGAGGTAAGATGCATGTTACATATCAAGCATAAAGACTTATATTTTGTTCACATCGTAATTGGTTTACTCTAGATACTAGCAATATAGTTCTCAACCTACTTTTTGGAAAGCAAATAGATGACGCAGATATTGTACTCTTTCCACAACGCGCTACAAACAAGAAAGTACAATATAGGAGCCAAGCCTGTGGATTATAAGCTAAATGGAAAATTGGAATTTTCAAAATTGACCACCTAATGTTAAGGTGACTTTTTGACCGCCACTTCCGTTGCTTGAACGTGAATAACAAAATAGCGTAACCGTTAACGAATCCAAAAGTTCAAAGCAATGCGAAATCAAGCTAGTTTAACTTTAAAGTGAATGGTTTGAACCCAGGAGTATCAGTAGTTGGTGCAGTGTGATCGTCCGGGTGAGCGTAGTTCTGAAAAGAACTGTTGTTGGTTACTGAAAGATCTTATAATGTTTTAACGGATCCATAAGTTCAACGAGTAGGACTGGGATGGAGCTTTATTTTTTTCACCATCATAACCAAAGTCATATTCAGTTTCACTACCACCATCTTCAACGAAAGAAGCAGCGCCAGCCTCTGTGATCCCAATCCCATGATTAGCACGTGCACACTCACCCGGACGATCACACTATACGAACTACTAGTTTAACTTTGTTAAGAGGCAAAAACAGAACATTTACTGACCATTTAAAACGCTCATTGATAAGCCCACGGCAAATGTCCACTTCAGTAGCATTTTGTATATTATGGACACATATTTGCTTAGGGTTTGGGTTTTATTATCGCTGACAATTGAGGTGTGGTTTAGGGGTTGATATATGAGCCACCAAGGAATGAATGGTTTCAATTTTCAAAGTGAAATAAAACCTTAGTCTTATTTTCTATTTTTTTGTCAGCTTCGTTAGCTACTGTTCTTTTGAAAGCCAAAACATATGGTCAAAAAAAGAAAAATCTGAAAAAAGTCTGCCATTGTCGGATGACGTCACCGAGTCTTAGCAGCAAAATTTGCATACGTGTCCCATGATATTAACAACGTCTTGTGGACGACGTAAGGCTATCTATTAAAGGTAAAAACTTTTCAAAATATTGCAATGTAACTAAAACGCATGGCAGGGTTCCAACTAACCCCTTCCACTCCCCTTGTACCACAGTGAAGGTATAAGTTTTTATTTACGTTTTGAAAATTAAACTTGAATAATAAGGTAACAAGAAACAGGAAACATCTTTCTTTTCAGCGGTCTACAGTTCTGAACTAAGTTTAAAAAAGAAAGATCTTATAATGTTTTAACGGATCCATAAGTTCAACGAGTAGGACTGGGATGGAGCTTTATTTTTTTCACCATCATAACCAAAGTCATATTCAGTTTCATTACCACCATCTTCAACGAAAGAAGCAGCGGCAGTTTCTGTGATCCCGATCCCATGATCAGCACGTGCACAGTTCCATCCTCCCCCACCAATCATCATCACTGATCCATCCCCACTACCATTGTCACACCAGAAGCCGATTTTGTTGGCGCTTTGGATGTCTCCATTGCAATCAGACTGTTGAAACCCGTCTGTTGAATTGTACTGTCCGCCATATTGAACGGTACAACTTCCCAGACACTCATCAATGGCCCAGGCCTTGCCATTTCTAAAATCGCCATAACTTGTGATTTTAGATCGGAACGTTTGTCCAGCCAAACAGTTACCTGTGGTCTGTAACAGAGGAGTGTGACTAGGGTCGTCACTACGCGTGATTTTTAATTCTCTGCCGCTGACCGACCAAAAGGCTGTTGAAATCATATCGTCGTTCACTAAAGGGTTGTTTATCGCTCCAATGGCAATTTGCTGGTCATACCACCATCTACCATCGTCACGCATCCAATTTTTGCCATCACTGTTTGAGAATCGAGCGATAAGAGTCCAGCCTGTAGTGAAAAAACAGTTCTCATATTTTCTGTTTTTTGATTATTATTATTATTATTATAGTGCATGGACATTTTAATTTTATTTCTACGTCTTTCTGGCATATGATGGGAATATTGTAGAGGATAGCTCTGTATTCTCTTTCTAACTTGAAACGAATTGTGCAATGTTCCCACCCTTCTTCTGTTTTTATCGTTGGTAAAAAAAAAAAATTATAATAAAAAATAAAAAATTTGCGGTGACCATAATGAAAAATATTAACCGTTAGCCGTAAAAACCATCACTACATTCAGACACTCTTTAAAGACCAACTTTTGAGCCAGAGGTAGATCGATATAACTACGGATTTAGGGCGCCGATTGCAATTTTCAGAGCCTCGCTTTCTAGTCTAATAGGAAAAAATGCGGGCGGGGGGCACTTTCTCGGTTTTACCACCTGATATCCACAATCGGCCAGAAAGTTTGGAAATGTGAAAAAGATAATGGTTCTTAGCTGTTGCAAAGCAATAATCCTATGTTTTATAAACCGTACATTTTCTTTTACTTTATCTGCTAGCTCCTTGTCAAATAAATCTTTGAAAGCCTTACACCAGAGGCCAAAAGCTGTCCCTTTGAAAATGTTGTTTTTGGTCAGTGAGCGCAAGCTTATTTAAAAAAAGATGAAGTTATCAAAACTGGTGGAGAGGAATTAGTTATAGCCTAACTAATAAACTGACTCTAAGTAGTGTGACTAAGGAATAACAAACAGGGTTTACCGCTATGTATACATGTTTTTCCATTTCCATAGAATCCATTTTTACAGGAACACTTGTGGGAGCCATAGGTGTTCTGGCAGTTTGCATTAACGTCACAAGGCCGGATGGAAGCACTGCACTCGTCCATATCTAAACATTAAACGAAATTAACTTGGGTCGGAATGAATTAAAGGGAGAATTTGGAAATATTCGACGAGGACAAGAAAGTGGTAAACAGCAAAGCTCTAAGTCATTCTCCGGTAATGGAAGAGAATTACGCCGTCAGTTAAGTTTGAAGCAGTGTTGTAAATGTACACTAAATTATGTCTCACCCGTTTCGCAATGTTCCCCTGTGTATCCTTTCGCGCAAATGCACACGTAACTGTTCTTCTCGTACTGTACCGCACATTTCCCATTGTTCTGACAAGGCCATTTGAAACATGGAGACTAAAGAAAATATATAACAATAAGAAAGAAAGGAGAAAGATGTGGCACCAATCATTTTAAATATCATCACGGACCCTGTTTACAATAGAGTCTGTATATCTCTATATAAACCTTCCCCGCTAATACCCAAAAATTCTTTGTTAAGTCTTCCGCTTAAATAACCCCTCTCCCAATTTCTGCAATTAACCACACTGTCCTCCTTCCACTGAGGAGAAACTTCAAAAGAAAAACATAGAGCTCAAATGTTACTGTTATCAGATTGGATCAGTTAGCCTTAAGCGTATTATTGAAAAAGCTAAAAAAGAAAAAACTTCCACAATAAATTGTCTGTAATTCCTTTCCTTTTCCTTTCACAAAAAGAGAGTCAACGCTTTTCATGTCCGACTCACTGCGATACTATAGTGATGGTGACTCTGACTAGGGACAAGGTTGTCTGAGTTGTTGTACAAATCCGATGGAAGTTATTCACACAGAACTTTGCCATTGATATCATGAAATGCAGCCAGGTTTAAACTTAAAACACGACTGAATGTTGACACAAGCAAATCCACCCTCGCTGTCCTTTCCAACCTGGAGCGGTTCCAGGATGTACTGAACGGGGGTTCAGGTAAACGTCTGCTGAAGGGAGCCTATCCAAGGGGTCGGGGGCATGGTTTCACCAGAGTATTTTGAAATCTAGATCGTCGGAAAGGTGATATATCCAGGTTTTTTGAGCCGATGATTGTGGTTCGTTAATGCCATTGAAAAAAATCTCTGTTTTGAACTATTTTAAATTTTTATGTCCATCAAACTCGTCAGAAACTGCGCGTATTGAAATGTTTTTCATTTCATTGTAGGGTGTTCGGCCGAACCCCCCGAAACAATCCTGGATCTGCTCTAGAGTGGGCAACTACTTTAGGCCTTTGTTGAGAAAAAAGCAAGGCGCATTTTAACTTGGTTTGGCGAGTGGCTCACAACTGAGACAGGGTTGATGTTTACCTTTGTTTACATTTACGTGAGTGTTCGTAAACGAATCCGAAGTGTTCTTTCCACACACAAACGCTGATAAACGTTCTTGTTAAGTGTTTTCATACACGCGTGTACATTCTGTTTAAAAAAATAAACTCTTCCAATATCGTTTGCGTGTGAGAGAAAGGCCTCGACACTTAAACAAAATAGGATTAATAACGTAAACGTAAGCCTGTGGAGCATATGCCAAGGGATTCAGAATCAGGCAGCGACAGATGTTTCATTGCTCCAGTGTAATAGTTTATCCTACAACTCATAATCAAGAGAAAGACTAACTTTAACGGAGGTTTACTAACCGTGAGATTAAACAACTGTGCAAAGATGAATCCACGCATAGGTAGAAGGGAAGAGGTATCATCTCCAGCACCTACTATTCCTTCATCGTTTAGTTCACAAATCATGGTTCTTTCTTGTTCCTTGTAATTCACTGAGAGGCAAAGAGGACGGCTTCTCAGGCAGAGATGGACGCAGGATAAAACGCTGGACGCCTTCTGACGATCTATGACATGACCGGTTAGGTAATAATCTTCCACAATTTGAATGAAGGATGATCGGCCCTGTAGAGCTGATGATGAACTGTACACTGCAGTGGCCACAGCCAGTAGCATCATGAAGACGTTCATGTTCTAACCTGTGAAAAGCGGAGTTGTCCTACACTGGTAAGGCAAACTATAGAGGATCGATTGCCGATGTATTTTTTGTTGAAATTAGAATTTCGCATTTCCATCCCCATCTGTTTAACTGATTTTCATTTGTTGATTGTAATAAAACCTTTCAAAGCATATTTTGTTATGGCAATAGAAACGAGTGTAGCCCAATTCGGTCTGTAATCATACGAGTGATCGAGTGATAACAAAGTCGGACGACCGCGAAGCGGGAGCCCGATTTGTTTATCACGACTTTACGACACGAATTCTTAAGTCTCTTCTACCAAAATGCACTGATGTTGCTGAGTAAAGCGGAACATTGGAAAGCTAAGCAGATGTTGTTTTTCAAGAAATCTGCGTCATTGTCTTTTCAGTTAGGAATGAAAATTTTCCATACCACACATTTCAAGAGTTCATGTCTTCCGCAGTATCTGATCGAAAGGAAGCTTGAAAGCTACAATCACGTTAAATTTGCCCCACTGTTTCCGCCTTAATTACAAATGCATACAGAAATGTTTCAGTGAACGATTGTTGCGACGAAATTCGTAATAAGAATCAAACACAGGCTCGCACATCAATCAGACAGGAAAGTGAAGCTAACAATCACCGTTTGGCCGTTGCTAAGAGCTTTGAGGCTTAAAGTCGAACAAGCTCTCCTGGTGCGAACGAGCATAAACCTGGTGCCCAAACAGGAGGGATCAAAAGCGCAGACCAAAAAGATGAAATTATTCACAAACAACTATCTTTCTTCCGCTTTTACATCCCATATTTCTTCTGACCTATGAAGTTAACTACTAGTGGACAAGAGGATGCCTGAATTAAGATAAGGAAGTGTTTTCATAGGAGGTTCGAAGGCTGTTAGTTTCCTAAGAACCAAAAGCTGTAATAGATAGATAGATAGTTTAATCTCAAATGCATTTGCAGCCCGAGGGCTGAATTACACATTTTTACAATCCAAGAAATTTAAAATTTAAAATTCAAAAACCTAATTACACGTCTTATTATACCAGCAATTTACAATATAATAACATAATAGTAAATTAAATAAAATACATTAGCTATAAATGTAAACTAATTAAAATAAATTTAAATTAATTAAAAGTATCTACATTATCATTATCATTATTATTACTATAATTATCACGCGTGCCGTAACAAAAATAAACTTATCATTAATAACTTATCAAACGGTCAAGGCTTTTAGGTAGTGCGATTTTAAACATCTCTCAAGAGGCTATTCTTGACGAATGCATTTTAAGAAGGGGCTCACATTTCACTCTAACTTCCCGGAGTAAGTATTCAAATAAATAATAGAAAAGTCTTTTGGGAGGAGGTTCCAATTAGCCTCTGCTTTTGTTTCTCATTGGCTGACGACCGGTTACTTCTGCTGCGAAAAGCTAAATTCTTCAACAGAACAGGAACTGATAGATATTTTGACTTCGCTTTCACAGACCTTTGAATCTGCTTTTATAATTACAGTTACATGTATTTAAAAACATTAGCAGTGTAAGAAGCGAAAATTACCTGATGTTTGGTTATGTAATCCTGCTTTTGTATTCGTCTTATTCCAGAGGTTGGATGTAAAAGATTGAGAAAGACAACCTTTAGTTGTCCCTCAGCAAGCTTCAATATAAGGTTTTGACAGAATCATCGATCTGTCTGCAGCTTGTCCACAATGCTTTCATCTCGACCGAATAAAAGTACGATGATTGCAAATAAAATGAAAAATGCAAATAGATGTCAAAAATGCAAATTCATATATGTCTTTAGTTGTGTGCACCCTGCCTTCGTCAACGGTAGAACCAAATGGAAACTTTTCGTGTCAAAGATGCATTTTATGTGCTTCGATGTTGGTTGGATAACCACCTGCTGGTGATTGACTGAAACATTGCCTGCTGATAGCAGTGCATATTTTTCTCCGTTGGTTGAGGGTTGTGCAAGAAAAGCAAGGATTTTACCAAACGCGGAAGGGAAGGGGCATTTGAAATTGGAAGACGCATTTGTGGAGAACCATCCATTTTTCAAATCTAGAAGAAAGTGTTACAAGGCAATTTAATTTTTAAGTCGGTCAATGAAACTTGCTCAGTCCATTTTAATAATCAACATGGAAATGGCTTGTTCTGCTATTTTTGGCCTGATGTGAAGCTGGACGAGACTCTCCGCGATTTAGACCACAATTTTATTCGATCCAAAAAAAAGCAACAACAACAGCTGAAGCAAACTGCTACGAATACATCTTAAAGCAGTAACGGAAATGGGGATAGTAACTCTAAAGCTTGGTGGTTAATGAGAAAGATGATACCTTGGTGTCTTACGCCATTCAATTACCATGACTGCCATAATAATTGTTGTTATTATCGTTGTTACTATGGCTTACACCTCTTAGCATTTCATATATGCCTTGATTCAATCATAAAGATGGTGGAAGGACACTGTTTGTCTATTAGCCGAGGCGGTTCCAGAATGTACTAAACGTGGGGGTCGGGGGCATGCCTCCACCGGAACATTCTGAGATTTAGATCCTCAGAAAGGTGATATCCAGGTTTTTTGAGACGATGATTGTGGTTTGTTAATGCCATTGAAAACAATCTCTGTTTTGAGCTATATTAAACATATACTATGTCCATCAAACTCGTCAGAAACCGCACGTGTTGGAATGTTTTTTTTATTTCATAGCCTTGCTCTTTAAAATACATCACATACGACAGATATATTCACAGCGTCAGACTATTCGTACATTGCTGAGGATTTTAGGTAGTTGCGCGACTGAACATCAAGGATGTGGGTCTTGATTCAACGACCAGTAGAGGACCACTGGCTTTGTTTCTTTCTGTAACTCAATGCACTAAATTTTTAAATGTTATTTGGCTTTGTCAGGAAAATAAATTATTTATAGCGCGATTGTCCATGCCGCTTGGATAGATCAGATAACCCCACGCTCATGATTTTTAAAAGTGATTCTTTGGCATATGGGTTTTTTGTTTTCCAAAAACATTCAGGCGCAATTCCGAACATCTTTCATGTTAATTATCTAGTTTCTCTTCTTCCAAATAACCAGTTCTAGCGGTAATTAACATCAAAAAAGATAACATGTACTGGCTGTTTTCTAAAATATTAGCCGTTTATACCGATGGAATGAGGCAAGGTGTTCTTCTCTTTTAATGAAAAATTAAAACAAGCGGAAAATACTATAGAGACGTAGCATTTGTGTGTTTTGTTGTTAATATCCGACGTCTTAACTGATTAACGTCGTAAAAGGTTCTTTGAAGGGAAAGTAAGTTTTCAAGATTAAACGGGCCGGCAAGGTCACTAGATATTTGCAATTAGTTGCCTTTAGGAAAAGTTGTATTTTCATTCTTTCAGTTAATTGCATTAAGTGCGCATGTCTCTTAATAAAACAAACAGATGAGGAGCAGTATTGGGCCAGCAGGTATCAATTTAGCAGGTGAAATGTAAACCTCAACTTTTGCCATGTTTAAAATGCAAGTGTTTTCTGTTTTGTCCACTTCTTTTTGTGGTCTCTTGTTTATCCTTAAGCCTTTAACTCCAATTTCTCCTAACAATATCAATAGAATAGCAAACAGACAAGTGATTAGAATAAAGAAAAATATCTATAAGGAGATTGTAAGTTGATCCAATGCCAAATTCTCTAAACTAACATCACAGGAACTGTATGGAAGATAGTAAGGAGAATTACTAATGAGATCTTGGCTCTTGAGAGTTAAAGGGTTAAGTCTTCTCGTGCGGATACTGAAAGTTTCAATTTATAAAAAATCATTTTCGGAAGCATAAGCCGTTGAAATGTCCATATTGAAAAACTCTGTTTCAGACCTTGAGAAATTCCTTGCCATGAGGATCCCACTAAATGAAATCTAATGCATTTTCTAGAACATATAAACAGCCGTTAAAAAATAAATAGATATCATGATTGTGGAGGCGGACAAGCCCCGAGTACTGTTTCTGCAGTCATAAAATTAAAGGAGTCGGCTTAGATTAATCAGGAGTCAGTCTTAAACGCTTTACGTGCCATGAGAAGCATGCTGTAGAAAAATTATTTCACGAGTACGTGAAAATAGTTCCTCGAAAGTTCAAGGAGTCCAAACTGCATTTCAAAGTCAAAGTTATATGCTATCTTTCCCTCGTCACCGAAATTTGACCAGTTCCCTGACATTTGAATTAGGCAATTTTATAACAAATTGAAATGAACTTGCCAAAGTGTAAAACAATGTGGTAAAATTCTAAGGGCTAATTATTATTTGTTTGGTAAAAAGATCAGATATCAATTGAAAACCTGTCGTAAATCTATGTATACCTAGACTGAAATTTTTCTTTATCATTTCAGTGCCGCTCTCGCTAAGAGCGGTCGTTTCGACTTCCCGTCAATTAAAAAAATGTTTCGTTTATTTTTTGCCCATGAATAGGGTTAAGGACACGTGTAGTGAAAAAATAGTTTAGTTCTTCTCCAATTCTCTTTTTTGCGTCACCACATGCCAAAAATGATTTTTGATCAGAGGAGAAGGGTCTCCTCGGATCACGCTGGTGTTAAAAATATTTCAGCTGAAGTTTCCATATTAATTTTTTGTCTGTGAACTAACTGAAATTAACACTTTCGATCGCTGTCCACACGGGTTGTCTAGCCATAAATTTGAATTAAGCAATTTATAACAAACTGAAAGGAACTTGCCAATTTTGATCTTCTCTACACTGTGCGTAGTTTATGGCCTGTGTTTCAAAGAAAATTATCGAGAAGGCGCCTTCCGATCACCTTTGGTTACTTTGTAAGCCACGCAAGCGCGCAAGTGTTACGATCGATCACGTTTACGCAATGCTCTCGGTCAATTTTCTTGATGAGCATAGACACAGATGCCTACTCTTGTTGAAAAGTCTGAATTATTGATCAGTTCGAAGTACATTAACATCTTTAATCAGGAGTCAGTCTAAAACGCTTTACGTACCACTGGAAGGCTACGGTAGAAAAACTATTTCAGTAGTACATGGAAATGGTTCCTTGAAAGTTCGAGGAGTCCAAACTGCATTTTAAAGTCGAAGTTGTAAGTGTTTTTCACCAGGCCACTGAAATTTCATTAGTTCCCTGGTATTTGAATTAAGCAATTTTATAGAAAATTGAAATGAACTTGCCAAAGTGTAAAACAAATGGTAAAATTCTAAGGGCTAAATAAAACTTTTTTGTCGTAAATTTATGTACGCCTAGACTGAAATTTGTTTATATCATTTAATTAGCATATACAAGAGGTCTTCTCCTGTTGAAAACTTTGAATTATTGATTAGTAAGAGGTATATTAATATTTTTAATCAGTATTCAGTCTAAAACGCTTTACGTACCATGAGAAGTATGCAGTAAAATAGCTATTTTCATTAGTGCATGGAAATAGTTCCTTAAAAGTTCAGGGAGTCCAAACTGCATTTTGAAGTAGAAGTTATATGCTACCTTCATCAGGCCACCGAAATCTGATCAGTTTCCCGGCATTTGAATTAAGAGCGACGGTCAGGAAATATCGACCAAAATCTTAATTTCGTGGCAAGAGTTGAAAAATCGCTTTCTTTCGTTTTTTGTCCATGAATAGCTTTTAGGTAGATAAGATACCTGATGTGGATTGTTCCCGCCAAAAGCTTTTTATTTTTTAGAAAAATTAGAACATCCGTTTTTGTGGTCGGAGTCACAAAATTGGCTAATCATTTACGTGAAATTTGCATACATCAACTTGCCTCTCGTTCGCAAACAAAATCGCACGGAGAAATTTGGACACTTTATTTCAACAGAATCACTGTTCTTCTTTTACTAGAAGATTCTTTTAGAGCAAAAGCGACACTCACCGAGCAGAAATTATTCAAAAATGAGGAATAGGTTTTATGGATAACAAAAACTCCGTTTTGTTATTGATTTTCGACGGCAATATTGCACATGTGGTATAACTCCAAATTGACTTCATTCTAGTTAAATCCCACATTTAGACATACATCTAAAACATACCTGGGAATTAGCTTGGGTTATTGAAGGAAATCTCTATAAGGCGGTATCGAAGTTAAGGAATTTTCATGGTGGGTCGTCGGTAATTGTGTAAACACTTCCAGTTTCGAAATCCATGAAACTGGATATTTGATCCCCAAATACTCATTTTTCTTAATCCTTGTAGGTTTAACAGTTGCAAAGTTGCGTTTCTACTTAAAGAGTGAGATAGAAAAGCCAAACTGGGTGAATTTTAGCCATTTTGAAACGCTAAACTCTATCGACCGGAGACTCGGCGTGACGAATTGTTTCGTGACTAAACGTGATATTTGGGAGTCGATCAGTCACGGAATCACAATATTAACAATGCATTTCTTGACGGCGTATGAGAACAGTGTTTTGAGGAAGAAAAAATCGATCGTCCTAGACAATTAAACAGAAAGGTAAAAGATTCAAACCAGAAGGGGCTCCTGATTCAAGGTTATGTCTTGACATCAGTTGCGTGACGGCGAATATGGAAATTATATGCGCAAAGCGCAAGCTGTGGGGTGGGGGACGGGGAGGGGATCAGGGCAGCCAGAAAAATAGTCTTTCATGGAATAAATCGACGACATAATAATCGCTAAAAAGACTCTAAAAACGTTGCGGCTTTATTTTTGAACTTCTCTAAACAAAACTATTTATGCCATTACCAGGATACAGGAGTCGAGTATCGGCTCCTAGAAAACCATATCCGAATCTTACTCTATACAACTTCATTCTTTCACTTTAAAAGACGAGCAAAAAAAAAAGGAAATAATGCGAAATATTTGTTATCAACCATTTTAAGCACGCAACTTGTGCTGCACCTATGTTTTTAGCCACTATTGTGAAATACTGCACAAAAATTTACTTCTCGGTGGAAAAACAGCGTAACACATAAGACACAAAATGTACCCCCTGTTTCAAAACCTCGAAACAATTTTCTGCTCTGCCTCGTCAAAATCGGTTAGGGAAATTACGTTAGCTAATGGTCTCCTACGAAGATAATAAGGCGACTCGACGGATCATCATATTGACAATTCTACATGTATTTATGAAGCAGATAACAACTTAAGCAATTAATTTTGGTCCGAAGAGCACTCTCTTATTTTGTTGTTAACAGGAATGTGCCGCTGAAGAGGATATGACAGGGGTCTTCCTATATGGGAAGCATTAAACAGGGTAAACGTTGCGGTGCGCAGTCTGAATGCAAAATACCAAACATTTTTGAAATCTAACTCTACCTATAACTCTAAAAAAAAACTGGATTCGGTTTGTGAATTAAATGAATCATGGCCAGAAATCGAGGACAGCCAGCGGTTTTGACCGTACGCTAATTTTTAGGGATTTTGAATAGCTAATGAGGATTTATACATTCGCAAAATGGCGGGGAAGCGAACGTATACTTTTTACCGTGCAGTTGATTTACAATTTTCTAGCCTCAACTAATTCTACTTGACATATGTAAAAACAAATAAATGCGAAACCTAACACTGGTTCTAAAGTCCAAGCTGTGCAAAATCTAACCTGAATCCCTATTAGACAAGCACCAACCCTTTGCTGATGCTTCCCTGTGATCGTTCGATCGTGACAAAACGGGGCTCCCTGTGTCGCGCTGGCTTGGTAACCTCTCTGTTTTGAAAATGGCGGCTGATCGAAGGAGTTACTTGAAAAAGTCTCCAAAATGCCTTCTTTTTCGATCGCTTCGTGCAGTAATGGCGCAGAGATTCACTCTCTGGAATTTCTATATTTCAGGGAAAAAACGAACTGGTTTAGCAAAGAAGTTAGGCCTCTAAAACCGTACAAAAATGAAGATAAACATATCCTTCAAGAACCAGGACGTGGGGAAGGAAAAACCGACATCTAATGACCTTTTTTCTTGCTTAAAGAGAAGCGCGTAGGCAATATTACAGACTCTCGTATGGCAAGGAAAGCCATCTTTTTATGGTGACTCACGGATCAACTTTGGGAGCTTGACACATTGCCAAATGAACATGACTGAAAGCCACGATCGCCTTGCGAAGGTTTAGACGAGGGGAAGTGAGCGATTCTTCGTCTAACTTTATTTATCCTTAAAGTTTCTTTTCTCCCCATTAATCCTTTATATGGTCGCCATATTTAAAGAACGGGAAAAGTAAATGATGCGCATGCTCCAGCGCCATGTTGTCCTCAATTTCTGGCCATGATGGGGATTCTGTAATGAGTCATCATGATAACAAGTTGGGTCCTGTCTTGATAAGGATGGCAAAACGAATGTCCTTTTTTGTCTTAAAAAGGTAAGTGACTCAGCGGCATAGGCCCACCTAACGTTCCCATAAGAACCTTCAATTTCCCAGGTTAAGATCTCTTTTCAGGTAAATACGAAAAACATCATCCCAATACAAGAAGATTCCCGTCAGAGCAGGGAAATCACACGAAAACCTGATCATGTCATTTTACTGTTGACACGAGCAGTTGCTGCAAAACGTGGTCAGTTTGTCGACGTAAGGCCTCTTCAGTCTGACTGTTATATGACTAACGTCTAAATCAAAGTGCTCGCACAATCTCTTCAGCATTTTTATGCTAAATTTGTTCAGTTTACCTTGCTTAACAAGGTCACACATATTATGACAGTCAAACACAATTGGATGTTGTAATGAAACTTCCCTCCGTACTTGATTTGTTAGGTCCTCAAGGGAACTCTCGAACTCCGCGGCTTCGTCATCATTTTCTTCTGTGTCATCCTTGTCAAGTAAACTCTTTTGGGTAGCAAGGCGACTGAAAAAGCTGCTTATTTGTTGGCTGGTAAGGAACTCATCGCTGCTGAATAAGCGTTCTCCGTCATTTCCTCTGGCGTGCATCATTTCTTTTGCAACAACTACTGGGTCAGCTTTGCGTCCCGTGGTCTCACCAATATTGAACTTTGTGGATAGGTACCCTTTCTGCTTTACATTAAAACGTGTTCTTCGGTTCTGGGATGATCTTAATGCCCAGCCCATAGGGAGAGTAGACTGTAGTGGCACTTGTTTTGGCACTTCCTGAACATTTCGTACACAGGGGACGCCCACCGTTTGAACCTCCAGTCTCTCCGCATATCCATAAACAGCTTGGTCTAGGAGTGGTTCTCGTTCGAGAGCACGTGTGTGTTTTCCGGAGTCTAGGTGTTGCTGCAGATTCGAGTAACGTTGGTAACATTTGATACATCCCTCTTCCGGACATGAAAAAAGACGAGCGTTGGAGGTTTCCGTTTCTGTTTCGTTACTCGAGTTTTCACAGGAACTATCTTCCTCGCTCTCCTGTCTCGGAACAGTATCTTTACGCTTGGATTTTACAGGAGCAAAACTCGCCGTGACGCCTTCCTTATTTACGTCCGTTAAGTACGGAACTTCCGAATTTTCCGAGACGTTCAGCTTATCCCAAGGAGTGTATTTCCCTCTGCCAATTCTGTATGCTCTCCAAACTCGCAATCCCTTGTCATCGTACTGTATATTCGAAATTGAACCCACTCCATCAAGCTTGATGTTCAAAGAAGCTGGAGCTTTTGGGGGTCCACACGAAGTCACCCTCACTGAGGACATTCCACCGGCTGACAAAATGGCTTCTTTCATTTCTTCTGACGTTTCAATGTTGTTTCCGGAATTCAGGTAAATCTTCATGTGGGATTTTATGGCTGCGGACCTTCTGTCGCAAGCCCCTTTTCCTCCTTGAGGATCGCAAAAATCCATGCGCTTCACAGTCACGCCGTGATGTTTACCAACCATCTGAGCAAGGCTGATTGTGTTACCACGATGGTAACACCCGGCGTTGTCCTGCCAATAGTATACTCGCTGTAGGTGTGGCATGACGTCCTTTAAATCTTTGAGTACGTCAGACATGACGGACAGTACCGCACAGCTGTTTTGACTGCAGCTTCTGAAGACATGGCACATGGTAAGGGTTTCGTACTTTCCAGCATTACTTGTGCTTTCCTTTCTCATGGCGACAGACACGTGCCAAGGAATTCCCCGTTTCCCAAACCAATCGCGTTGGCTTTCACGATATTTTCGAGGAATAAACTTCATGGCCCAATCTTGTACAAGTAGAACCGATGCGTCGTCCAAGTCTCGGAGGATGTCTAGTCTTGCTTTATCTTGGTTCACCGAACGCAACAAATGAGATTTCCAGGCAATTATATCACGTTTTGCTTTCTCGGTCATGAATGCGAGCTCTTCGTGTATTTGGCCTTTGGAAAGATGTTCAAGATTCACCGCCATCATCTCGATTGCTTTGTCTATCTCCTCTATAGTAACGGCAAGGGAATTACACTGACCACAAACGTCGCTATGATCATGGGCACATGTAGCCTGGTAGTCAACATCTTTAGGGTCGCTGAGAGCAAAAACGATGCAATGATCTGGAATACTTGAACTCTCTGATACGTGAACCTAAGTGATTAAAATGTGCGCAAATCCTCAATTCTGAGGAATATTTACGTAATGCATTTATCTAATGCTATCTTCTAAAACATTTCAGAACCTAAGTATTGTGAAGCTGAATGCCGTAATATGGCTCTCAAAACTCGGTTGCCATGGTAACGTCAATGCTGACGTACATGTGACAAACGACTTTAAAATGTCCCCTGATGATTTTTAGGAAAAGTCGCTAGGTTTGGTGCTCAAAGCTTGAGCAGTTTTGAAGTTATTCAACTTTTAAGCGAAGGGGGGCTTCAAACCCTTCCCGGTCTAAATAGGGTTAAGGGTGTGAATAAAATAGAAGAACGTATGGAATGCCATGAGTAAACGTAAAAGCTAAACCTCGCTCAACTTTTACGTTTACGTGCGACCTTTCAAACATTGCCTCTATTTAAATTACGCTCCTAAAAGCTATATGTGTATGCACGTGAAATTTACGCGACAGTGGGAATCCACCCTTATTCACCTACCTAGACGCGAGCAGTAACCAATTATAGAGCACTCATGTAGTAGGCAGTCGAGTAACATTCATAATACACCTACGCCAGGCGCGCAACAAAATTATTTCCCTTTTTCACTTTCTTATTTTACCTTGAAATCAGTCTTGAGGTACCGCTTTGCCTCTTTTAAAGCTTCCTTTTGTGTTTTTGCCCATGTAAGACCCATTCCGTTTTCCCCGAGCTGGTGCACAACGTTCACAAGATCTTCAAATGCCTGCGCACCAGAACAGCTTACGTAATCTAACCCTTGCAATGACTTGCGAGTCGAAGCGGAACAAACATGCAGAATTCTTAGCAGAGTACTGCGACTCATGGGTGTGAAATCATGCTCGGCAGAATATTTTTGGTACTGGCAAACGATTCGTTCAGGTATCATGTTCCGTACCACATTTGGAACTTGGATGACCTCGTTAGTTGACAATGTTATTGTCTTGGCTCCGAATGGAAGATCTTGAATTACATGGGAGCTTGTGATAAAGTCTAGGAAATGCGCTAATTTTGCTTCAGGTATGAATGACTTCGTTTGTGCATTGGTTGGCACCAGTTTTCCACTGCCATAGACTACAGCATGCTGCCTGGCGACCTTAAACCGATAACTTGTCAGGCCTGGGATCCACTGTTGAATTGTTGCCAAGTTAACCTTATCCGCCATTATGGACAATATCTGCCTGCGAGAATCCCACTCGTTTGCATTTTTGTAGCAGTTTGCCAGCGTGTACATCAATTCTTTATCCAAACCACTAGAACAAGTGTGATTTCCAGTTTCATTCTGTTTTGAGGACATAATAGATTCCCAGAGAAGATCTGGATCATTAGGCGCTATTTCACCAAGAACAGCTGAAACCGCTTGCTTAGCTTTGCGCTCATGCAGTCGTCTGGTCCTTCCACTGGCATCGTTCCAAGGTGTCTTTAGGGTGTACCTAATAGGACTAACGTCTCGACTTCTTAAGAAACTGTTAAGGTGGTCAATAGGTTCTTCCGACCTCATTCCTGTAGTGCTTGTCTCGGTTTCTTCTAGGAGGGTTGATGGTAAATATAATGACGTTTCTAGATCTAGTAAGTCTTGTGCTACCACCGAACAAGGAGTACTTGCAGCAATTGGAAGGTTACACATCACGCCCTAGACAAGGACACAAAATAAATATAACGTAAACTGTATTAAAGAAAATTAGTTGGGTACATAATTATCAAAGTTAACCAACACTTAGACAAAGATCAATAATCCCTCCTGATCTTTGTTGCCTTTATTATGGACCAAAAATAAAACCTTTTTTGCTGCCTTCATTTATGATAAAAAGTGCCTAATTTATCACATAAAATACCTTTCATTATGACAAATAAATACGAACTTTAAAGCGAGTGGTAAAGGAACCCGGAATGGTATATTGGAAACCCAAAACGTTTTTCTGGGCGTTATTCACCGTATCCTTAACCTTGAGAAAATCATATGAACTCGTATCCCTGGCAGTATAAGGTGGAGGGATGCGTGTATGTAGGTAGGGGCAAGTGGAAGCAAAAATTGCAGTTTTTTTAAATTGAACCCTTTATTCTTAAAAGAACAATTTGGCCTCAGCGTACCATCGCGGACTACGTGGTCTTTAACTTATTGCCACTGCTTCAAGTTCTCAGATTTTGGTGAGAATAGAAATAGAAAATCCGCTGAATAAATTTCAACTGTGTGCAGACGCAAGGGCGACATAAAATGCACGGGGTATTAAACCTCTTCATTATCTGCGGAACTCAGGAGAAACTGACGTAGAAGGCACAAAATAAGCATATGGCATTGTTTTCTTGGACACCAGCACACAGTCTGAGGTCTACGAAATCGGTTAATTTGTGCTCTCTATCCCTATTCGTTACATTTTAAGGAAAGGCAGCAAGGAAACGGGGCCTGCTCAAGCAGACTTTGTGATGATAAGGTCCCTATCCATTTTTTTTTTTTATTTTTATCTTTTTTGCCCAGCGGGCCTTGTTTGGTGCCACTGTTAATAACACTATTTCCATTGAGTGCCAGTTCAGAACTTACAGAAGTCTCGATGGTCTCAGTTTCCTCGTAAGAAAGGTTCTTGGTCTCCGGAAGCTTTGTGGGCAGCTCCCCTATTTTCTGCATGTCAAGATTAACCCGGCAGTTGCGACAAATACCTGTTGAGTGAATCGATGGAAAATGCAGGTTTTTGCTGATACGATATAATCACTATTCTGAACAACTACTGTCTTAATTTACACAAGTAAGGGAACCTGTTTTAAAAAAACTTAAATGATAGATTTTCCTGCCCTTTCATATACTTCAACTCTTCAATTCCCTACCCTTTGATTTACCTGAAACCTGATAAAGGTACCCTTTAGGGGCTGAGTCTCCCTGTAACTATCTATAGGCCATCAGGGAATCTGCTTTAAAAAGCTGTAATTTTAGGAGTCCGGTGAAGGCTTCTAAATTTACCTTTTTGCTGCTACAATCACTAATATAAAATGTTCGAATAATGAAAGGAAAAGAAGCACGTAAATAAACAAAGGCTATTGAATTTGCGACCGTCACGGCTACCTAATTATTGAAAAAGTCAAAAAAAAAAAAAAAAAAAGAAAAGTGCTTACAAAGTGCTTTAATTGAGGTGTCAGATTGGACCGCCATTTTAGAGCTGGTCTGTTTGGTTGAAAAAGATGAAAAATGATGTATTCATACCTGAACCAACTGGAATAAAAATTCCCAGTTTCTTCCATATCAAATAACAAGCACTTTTGCCAAGTCCTCTTTCTGCCTTTGCGTTTTTTTGGGCTTGTCCGCCGTGCTTCGAGATTGGCGGAGGAACTCGGCACAGATTCGATCCTCGACGCCACCCAATACCAAGAGATGAGCGGTGCCGGGGACAAATCGTTAATTCCGAAAGGTCTAACTCCGAAGAAAAGGATGTAGATACTCTTCCCAAAATAAGTTCGATTTCGGTTTCTACGTCAGTCATTGACAAGGAAGACTTATGACCCGCGATGTCTCTTTTGCAGTTCAGAAATGTAATAACCTCAGTTGATCTGCTCCTATCTCTGGGGTCATAAGAGCAAGAACCACCGACTAAGGATCTAAAAGAGCACTTAACGTCCATGATGACACAAAGCTGGCAAAACAAATTCACTCCAACTTCGCTAATTAAATTTTCCCTCTTTGCATTTAATTGACTAATTCAATTTACTACGGCTAGTAAACTGCTTCGAGCTTTAGCCAACTCTCTCATTTCTTCAACAAATAATAAAAATGAATCCTCACAATTGAAGAAAATATCAATTTAAAAAGCATCTATAATTTTTGTCTTTCTGTTCCGATTCTTCTGAAACCAAAGGAAGCGAAAAAAACAAGTATAAAAGTTAAACAGGTTAGCCGAGAGCTAATCAAATTACATCCTGATATTTATCAGGGAAAACATCTTACACTGAAAAGGGAAACTTCCACCTTAACAATGAGATAAAACAACCTCTCTTTGGCCGACTACCTTTTTTTCAATAAAAAAAGGACGAAAAGCTCACATCAGAATCGTTTTCAGTACGCTTTCGTGTATATTCCGGCCTGCTGTGTAAAAACTCCGCTTGACGTTACGGTCACGCAACAAGAATTGTTTACTCAGCCGTTGTAAAAAAATTTGAATGAATTACGGTCATTTCAAAACCTTCGCGTGAGGCGCTGTAAAGAAAACCCATGCTGATTCTAACATATTATCAAGGACAACCTTAAATCCCTCTAATGACATAGTTAAAAGGAAAATCTGAATTATATCACATGGTGAAAAAAACATTTGAATTAAGGAGGTATTTGCGGGATTTTTCACGTTTGAAAATACAGCACTTTCCTGCGCGTTGTTTGCTATTTATGAACAACAATAAAGATAAGACATATAGTTTCTGGGAAAGTACGGCACTCACTCTATCAAAATTCGGTGTCATGATCCTTTGAATCGTTTTTCCTTGAAGACCAAAAGTCACTTTAAAATATCAATTTCACACTTGCTTGCGGGACCTTTCGGGATCGTCGCGGGTCAAATTCGTTTTTCTCAGTTTTCTCAGAATTGAAGCGCTCTGAAAGAAAAAGAAATACATTGAATTTCTTCTATTCTTAGTAGCTTTTTATAGTCAGAAAATAAGCGAAATTCATTTTTCAACTCTTGCCACTCAATGGTCGATATTTCCTGACCGTTGCTCTTAAACAATTTTATAACAAACTCTAAAGAACTTGCATAAGCGTAAAACGATATGTTAAAATTCTAAAGGCTAATTGTTATTTGTTGTAACAGATCACATATCAATTGATAACCTGTTGTATAGTTATATATATTTAGACTGAAATGTGTCTTTATCATTTAACTTGCACATACAGGAAGCCTCACTGAAAACTTTGAATTATTGATCAGTAAGAAGTATATTAATTTTTTATCTCCTTCACATAGTTTTTAGCTGTTTAAATTTCAATATCTTATCAAAGTATCTAAAACAGTCGAATTATATTACACCAAGGTAGTTTAGTGTTATCGAATGATTTTAAAACGTAAATTGGCCACCGTAAAGAGTTTAAAGGCTGACGTTTCGAGCGTTAGCCGTTTTTCAGGGCCCTACGTCCATCGCTCTGACGAAGGGCTAACGCTCGAAACGTCAGCCTTTAAACTCTTTACGGTGGTCAAATTACGTTTTCAAATCAGTTGGTAACACTAAATGACCCTGTTATACTCTCCCACCGACGCAGCACCACAGTTTCTTTAGAAACATACCCCCTTTATATTACACCACGCCTTTTTTTCTCTGCCATCTTGTATTTGTAAACTGACAAAATCTAACATCAGACGTGACTTCAGAAAATCAACCAGTTAGAGCTGGCTAGTTTTCACAAAAAGATATTTCTTATACTCTTTATCAGAACAACAACAAAGAGAAAATTCAGCAAAGGGATCGATGAAGCAAACTTGTCGTCATGGATTCTTCAACATTATGAGTGTTCTTAAGATACCTGTCACTTAATTTTCCGTAGAAGTTGATATCCTTCAAACTTACTAACTCTTTTTCGGGACAAAACAGTTGCAGCACTTTTCAAGAAACATACAATTTTGGAGCAGATGCACGGAGAATCAAAATTTCACTCATACTCCACTACCTATTTTTCCTTTTCTTTCTTCCTCCTCTTATATTTTGCTATTATTCTCAGAAAAACTATTTATATCATTGCTCTCTCCATAAAGTTGTTAATCATCTCATGATAGGACTCCGCTTTTGATGAACAAGTTAATTTGTGTCTTGGCAACAATTTTCAGCATTTCACCCAAGACACAAGCTCAAACTTTTTCCCTCACTCCGGTATTTTCGAGGAAAAAATTGATCTTTACTGCATTCTGAAGTAGGTGTGAAAGAATGCCATGGGGATACGAAGGAGATGGCAGCTTTTAGCGTAACATTACCAAAAATGAACCGAAAATATAGTTCATCTAAAAGCTTTGAATGCATTCCAGCAAAAATATCCAGTTTACTATATAACTAGTAACATAATAATAATTATATCACCTTGGTCTGCAACAGCCCGGCAATGAAACCATGAGAAGAAAAGAACAGACGCAAAACCAAAGGGAAGCATCGTGAAAAGGAAGCATTGATCTTTCAAATACATCATATACAACTGAAATATAT